TTTTATCCATCCATAATAAAACCAGAGTATGTTTAGTTTATAATTGCTTTGTGCAGTCACTCCAGTTGGTGCTGCTCGTTTGGAAATTCGGCCCTGTGTGCAACCTGCAGCGAAATTCGCGAAACTTTTGCGGTAGTGCACTCTAGTGTGAAGTAACGGTGCAACTTTGAGATTAAAGTTGGCCGCAGACATTATTTGCAGTCATGTTGGTTGCTTGGTCGGCGCGCGGTTTCTCGGTTTGCGCGCCAAAGACTCGAGCCCGGAGCCATAGGGACCATGTGGCGGGCGCGAGTCCCAAAAGAACAGTTTAGCAGCTCGATGGAAGGTGAGCGGAGAGAGCAACCCTCGTCAAAAGCCAAAACACGCCTTAATCCAAAGAGCAGCCTGCACTCTTGATAAACTCGCGCAAATCACCTGCTCGGGAAATATTACCGCAAAAGTTTCAGAGGCGAAATCGAAGATAAAAAGAAAAAATGTCTGCGACAAACCCACACGAGATCGATTTTGTTTTCAAGAAACTTCTGGTCGCAGAATTTGACTGAAAAGGGAAGTCTGAATGGTGAGAGAGAAAAGCGTCATTTATCATTTCGCAACCAACAACAGCGGTTGATTTTTGCCCGCCTAAAAAGTGTAATATAGATCGGCTCTCCTGATACTCTTTTTTTTTGCCACTTGAGCAGAAACTTAGCCCAGTTTGTGGCCATAAATCGACTGCCGTGAGTGCGGTATGGTGGCGCGCCTTGGCCTCCTTTGTGTCTTGAGTGCAAGTGCAGAACTTGTTGGCAGCCATTGTGTTTGCGGGTACATTTAGCGACGGGCCTTTTTGCAATAATGCCCTGTTATCATCTCAAAGGTACAAAGGCAGAATGGAAACAGCTGCTGCGGGATGTTTTTCCAACATCCGCTTTCGCCATTAACAAGCACCGCAGTCAGATAGGGTGGATATAGGTCTTGCAGGTAAAACACACACTCACGAGTTAACTCTCTGAAGGCGCTTTAATCCGACCGGGACCTCCCTAGCAGGCTCAAGTCTCTCACTCTGCATTTTGCCACTCGGTCCTCTGACATCGGCAGGATGAGGGTGAATGATGATTAGAAAAAATCTGGTGAGAGGAAAAAGGGTCTAGAGAGGATTTCGCCATTAAGCTTTACCAGTTTGGTAATCAATCAAGCAAGGAAAAAAAATTAGTTTTTTATTAAAATAAATGCAAGGACTGTTGAAAAACAAAGTATTTTAACTATTATAGAGCAGAATGTAGACGATTACTTGAAATTTTAACTCTGAATTATTGTAACCTGTAATGCTGAAATAAGTACTCTAAAAGATTTAATAATAATATATTAAACAATTCAAAAGAAGAACCTAGGATTTCATGCGTTCGTGCTAAACATTCAAAAGAATTGATAAAAAAAAACTAATTGTAAGAGTTAAAAAAATATGCAGAAATTCATTTAGCAACAAATTCTGTCAACAGTTTAATTGTTTTTTAGAATTTGCAAGACATTTTGAGGGCAATAATTCCAAAGATTTCAGTGACGAATCCACGTTGAGTGTTAAATTTCAATTTAGGTGAAATATTAAGCATTCTCCTGGTTTCTTTATTTAATATTTATTGCAAAAATCTATTAAAATCTAACAAAATCTAACTAATAATAGTAAAATTTTGTAACGATTTACCCTACTATTAAACTTTTTAACTATAATAAATTATTTGAAATAAAATGCAAATTTTTAAATTTGGTATAATTTAAAATTATCATTTCATTGTTTTACATAAATTTCATGAGTAAATTCATAAATTTGTTCATATATTTAAAAAAAATTTAATGTTTAATGAAAAACAACTTGCTTAGGTAACTGTAAAAACTATGTAATTTTGTAGATTTGTGCAATTACTAATAAATTTGTGCTCGTTGTTGATACCCTTTCTGCTCATTTTCGCATCCCAATCTTTTTTGTATTGACTTTAGAAGAATAATCAATACTAATGACTGCACTTTATTTTTTATTTTTTTCCAAATAGATTTAAAGATCGATTGCTTAAAAATATCACAAGTATTTTATTTAAATTATAGAGATCACTTTTTATGTTACAAACTTATTACATAATAATTAATATATATCTTATATTAATTAATAGCTGTTCAAAGTCTTTATTATACGGTTGTGTTATTTTAAAAATAAGTGAAGTTGCAAAGAAAATACTCTACTTTTGTAAGGGCAATATTATTTCAGTATATGGCAAGTTGTATATGAGCTGAACTCAATATAGTTTTGCGGGATGGCTAACCATAAGCAATCAGCCCCTGCTCTTGAGTGAAATCATTTTGCACCTAACCCTCTGTATATAACTGTTCAGTCTGTTCAAATAAAACTGAAGCCCTTGGGCGCGGCTGTGGTGAAAATCAAACGTCATGTGTATTTGTGTGCGCGAAAACTCCACACTAGCTCATATCGGCCCTTATAGCGTATTATATGGAGTTGCAAAGTTGGCCGCGGCTTGTTTGTTTGCAGCGCGTTTGGCCCGAAACCGCAAGAACTTTGGTTGGGCGCTAACAAATTTATATACACGCGGAGGCAATTCTTGGGGATGAGGGTTTTGTGTGCTATAAAAAGAGAGGCGGAAGTGCGGAAACTTAATTTTACACGCCCGCATGGCGAGAAAGCCGCTCAAAAGTTCCGGTCGGCCTCTTTTGTAGCTCGTGGGAATTCTTTTTCTGCGGAGAAAATTCGCCAGTGGGCAAAAAAATGGCGGTGGTGCGGCCAATTAATAAAACCGGCGTTAAATCATGCCTCGGCGGGGTATTAAACGCGGCGGCGATAATGGCCTCGCGGGTGGTTAAGCCAAGGACGGACTGCTATTTGTTTCAGGAAGGACAAAAAGCAGAGCGACGTGACTCGAATGGCATTCCTTTTGTGACGTCACACAAACAGTAATTGCTTGCGTAGTCATGCATATGATGTGACGATCAAAATTTTTTAACCATTTTTTTCCGTTGTTGTCATGCGAGTTATGGCAGAGGTGTTTGTTTGCTCTCGTCCAGCAAAAGTTTTGCAGTCTCGTGAAGTACAAAAAAAAAGTGAAATTATTCTTTGCAAAACGTCGCAAGTCTTATTTATTCTGCAGCCGGCGGCTCGGTTTTAATACAAAAGGGGAAAAGGACAGGCAAGTTTTTTTTAAACATTCTGCTGCCAGGACTGACTGTTTTTCTTCGTTTCAGCAACAGTCGCGGCTGCTTAGAATTTCTGGGTCTCACTTTGGCGAAGTGCCTGGAAAATCCAGCTGATGTAAATTTATTTACTAAATTTTATAAAACTATCCGTTTTTTATCTTTTTAGTAAACAAAGATAAAAATTAATATGGACCAAATTTAACAACCGATGCAAATAAAATGATAATAGAAATAATAAATTTTTATACGTGGAAAAATTCAACCGCATTATTTTCTTTATTGTGTGTAATTAAAATTCTTGGTAAAAATGAAATGGTAAATCCTGTTACAAAAAGCTTTACGGTTTCTGCAATTTTTTAAATTTAGAAAATATTTTGTTATATAATTTGAGCTTGTGCTTGAACTCTTTACCGCCCTTTACTAATAACACCTTCTATTTAATATTAATTTCTACTTTATTTCAAGAGATATTTGGTAAAAGATAGTAAAATAATCTATTGATTTAAAAAAAAAATATTTCATAAATCAAATTAATTATTTTCTTTAATAAAACGTTACATTTATTTTAAAAATGTAACTCATTTTTTGGTTTTGTTAACTAATAATTTAACTTCACCGCGTTGTCAGTTTGCGTGCTTTTGTCTTCGCAACTCGAAATTTATGATTTTCATTCTTCACAATAAAAAAACTTGGATTAAAGAGTGAAATTTGTTTGGCGAGTAATAAATGAGTGAAATGAAAAAAGGGTGCCGCTGACGGGGAGCAAAAATATCATATTACTTTTTTGCGTGTGGGCTTTGCAAAAGTGAAAAAACGGATCTGCTGTGCAATGACGGGAGAGCCGTGTGGAGTGCTGATGAGGGCTCTGAAATGTGCTGAAAGCGCTTTTGGCGGCGCGAAATTTATCAATACAAAGGTCTGCTTTTTGCTAAAATTCCATCAGCCGTAACATTTGCATCCGTACGCCGATCGAAGGCGAAAGGACTGATTGAATTCACTGCATATATATAAGAGAGTCTTTTGATTTTTGATACATGCTGTGCATTTGCGGCCCGTTGCATACCCACAACAATAGCCCTGCCTGTTGGGTGTTGTTTTACATGATGAGTTATGCATGCAGCACCGGCCACTCTCATCCATTATTCGCAATGCGCCTCTCTGCCTTGCTGTGCTCCATTTTCGCTGGAGCAATAAAAAAAAAACGAGCCGAACGCGGTGGCGCTTCTCAATTAGGGGTGGAATTAATTTGATCCCGTTTCGTTCATTAATAACAGATCAGCGTGATGAACAAACTGCGGTATAATGAATTCCATTCGATGTCCCATGTCATATCGCTCGCAATTGATTCCAGTGGTAAACATTTGGCATATTATTATTGAGGTTTAGCTAGGTTTAATTGGCCCGTGACCTTTCACAAGTAAAAATTCATCAATTTTCACGATTAACTTGTAATTATCTTTAAATTTAATCTACTTGATTAAATGAAGCTCTAGAAATTGATTTATCAAAAAAAAGTGAATAATATGATGAGTTCATGAGTTGATGACACAGTAGTGTACTATTGTAAATACAAAAACAGTCACGGTCAAAAGGTCACTTGAAGGCACTAATGATGGAACTTTGTTCTGCCTCTAACAATGAGTCGAGTTCAGACAATACAAAAAATCCCCCCGACAGTGCCGATCTGTTGAAACGTGTTTGACATCAGGAAAATAATGCGTTTTCATCACACAGGCCTACAGTTGGAGGCGCACGCACGTCTCCCTCCACAATTTATTTGTGGTGCAGTGAGTTTTTGGGGGGCGAGGTGCGTTGCATTGATGCATTCCACCCGGCTCAGTTGTCAGCTGTTGTAGTCGAGCATTGCACTTTTGTATCTGTCTATTCTTTGGATCCTGTACAAAATTTACCGAAAATTCGCAGAAAAGCGGAATTTTTAGCACTTCTTTTTACCAGGCGGTCCAAGATGAGTGCATCAGAAGGTAAATTCTGTTCCAATATAACGTTTACACCTGATTTACACACGTTCCCCAAAATGACAAATTTCTTTTATCCAGAGATTTAATTAGCCTATGAAATCAATAAAGAAATTTCCAATAAAATTATTGGGAAAAATAATATTATTAAAAGAGTAGTAAATTAATGTAGCTATATTGGTCATTAATTCATCGAAAAAAAATGTGAAGTTATATATAATTTTTTTTTAAATTTTTATAAAACATTTTATATTCTTTTTGTAACAGAAATTATTTTATAATTTCATGCGTAATTTAATTATTATACTTGATTAATATGTTTAAAACTTTTAACCATTGTTGCTATTTTTGTGTTTGCCTTTGCTGCCTTGTATGCATAAACCATTGCTCAAAAGTAATTAAAGAAATTTTGTAAGATTTGGATTTAAATTAATTAAAATAATGCGCATGCATATGCATTTAAAAATTAAATTATTAAAAATACAAAAACAAATTGAGTTGTTAAACTTTCACAGGCATGGCAAAGTGTGATTTACTGGTAATTGGAGGCGGTTCTGGTGGCCTAGCTTGTGCCAAAGAAGCAGCGAACTTTGGCGCTAAAGTGGTGCTTGTGGACTACGTCTTGCCCAGTGTCCGAGGGACCTGCTGGGGCATTGGTGGCACCTGCCTCAACGTAGGATGCATTCCCAAGAAGTTGATGCACCACTCTGCCCTTCTGGGTCTGTGCCTCAAGGTATAAAAATTTACCGTTTCTATCTTTATACTTAAATATATAAATATTACAAAAATTATTTTAAATTTTCAGGACGCCAAACACTTTGGTTGGTCGGTGAGTGAGGAAGTGAAATTCAACTGGAAAACCCTTCGAGACAACATAGCAGAGCAAATCAACTGCACCAGAACTGCCATTCTAGAAGAGCTGCAAGCGTCCGGCATCGAGTACATCAATGGCCAGGCGTGTTTTCAAGACAAAAACACCATCATGGTCAACATGAAGGACCAGTCCATGCGCCTCATTCAAGCAGACAAAGTGGTCGTTGCCGTCGGCATGCGTCCCAAGTACCCAGACGTCCCAGGCGCCCGCGAATACGCCATCAGCAGCGACGACATTTTCAGTCTGGAAACTCCTCCTGGAAAGACTCTGGTGGTAGGCGCTGGATTTGTTGGAATGGAGTGCGCCAGTTATTTGCTGAGCCTGGGCTTCCCTGTGACTTTGATGACCAGGTCGCCACCTTTGCAGCGTCTCGACAAGCAGATGGTGTCCCTGGTCATGCGAGACATGGCGGACGCTGGCCTCCGAATTTTGTCTGGCGGTCTTACCACTAGTCTATGCAAAACTCCTGAAGGCACCATTGAGGTCAAGTGGGAGGACCTGGACAAAAAGTTGAGCTCGGAAACGTTCGACACTGTATTTTACTCTATCGGACGTGAAGTGGACATTGAACACCTCTGCCTGGATCACATTGGAGTTAAAACCTCCGCGTCTGGGAAAATAGTTGTTGACCTTCAGACTGACCAAACCAGTTTGGACAACATTTTTTCCATCGGAGATTGTGCTGCTGGTGTGCCAGAATTGGCCCCTGTTGCTCAGATGAGCGGCAAATTGCTGGCTGGGCGACTTTTTGGCCAAAAGAAGCTGCACATGGACTACAAAAACATCCCGACTTGTTTGTTCACCACTTTGGAATATTCGAGTGTGGGGCTGTCTGAGGAAAAGGCCATTGAGTTGTACGGAGAGGACGGCGTCCAAGTTCACCACATGTATTATGTGCCGACCGAATTCACTTTAGCAAAAAGGGACAGCTCCAAATGTTACTTGAAAGTGATTTCCTCAACTGAAATTGAGAAAAACACAGTCCTGGGTGTTCACTTTGCTGGACTCAATGCTGGCGAAATTATTCAGGGTTTTGCCTGCGCCGTCAAATGTGGACTCACTCTGGACCAGCTTTTGAGCACCGTGGGCGTTCATCCGACTGTGGCCCAAGAGTTTACCAAGCTGAGAGTGCGAAAGGGCGACGGACCGTGCCCAGGCCTTCCCGATTATTTTGGATGATTTCAAAATTCAATTCGTTACCAAAATTTTGAAAAAAAATATAATGTTCTTTTGTTGATTAATATAAAACAATATAATAAACTGATTTTCTAAATTTATGAATAAAAATAATAATTATTTGGTATTAAAACCAAATTATTTTAACATATTTTTTCAGTTTTGGCTACAATTGATAATGGAGAACTTTTGCTTGTTGAAAATCAAACAAAGCTAGGCACCGCGCAAGAGATCTGGGAATTGAGCTCCCCTTCCACTAGCAGGCGCGAGCAAAATCTATTCAAATAGCATGCAGCACTGTGGCGCGCCGGCAATCATTTTCAAATTAGATATCCTGAAGGAAAGTGAGACCGGGCGAGAACAAAGGCTCGTTCTCTCTCGGCTACATTGTAATTTTGGGACCAATTCAATAATACTGATTGTGAGCAGCAAAGAGAAATTAAGGCTGGGGGAGACCTTACTTAGCTGCACGATTGCTCTTCGAGGCTGCCGGACCGCTCCCGTGCCGAGCGCATTAGACTCTCCTTGGTTGCCATGGCGACACAGATCTCCTTTGTACGCTCACCAGCTTGTTTGTAGCAAAAATTAAAAAGCTGGTTGTAGCAAGAACGGCGCGACACATACAGCAATCGATCCCTCCGCTTTTCTATCTCTGCGTAAGTGTCACTCTCTTGCTGTCGGATGCACGTTGACTTTTTGTCGGCAGCCGCGTTAATCTCCTAATAATGTGGCAGGCGCAGAATCTACTTTCGCAGCAAAAGACGCGGCGCTAAAAGCTTTTTTCGCCGATGAGACCAACTCTGTTTTCAAGAATTATAGGACAATGAGAGATGTGTGTGAGTGACAGCCTGGGGGAAACTGCCTAGAAAATAAGCTCTCAAAGAGATTTTTTATGTCATGTCTTCATAAAATTGCTCCTGCACAAATAAACGCTTATTATGCCGGATTTTCTTTTTCACGCACAAAGGGATCGAATTTATTTTCCATCAAACTAGGACTCACCCGTGCCTTGTTTTGAAAGTATTATATATTATATTATAAAAATGTTGCATACTTGATATTCCTTATGTGTACCAGCTTTGAAAAAGCTCTGCTTTTTTATGCAGAATATTACAAAAAAAAAAGGTCTGTGTCAGCTCAAATACCAAAAGCATGAGCTGAATTTCAAGAGAAACACTCTTTTGGCATAATACGGTGAACCAGCGAGTGCTTGTTACTAATCCAATGAACAAACACTTGTTAAGCAGCAAAGCAAGCGTATTTGAAATTCATGCATATTCATACGACCAACGTCTGCCTCGCGACAAAGTAAACGTTGTGTGTATGGATCTCTCGGCTCACAGGTTCGCGCGTCGCGCCAAAAGCGGAGAAACTCTCATCTCATTGTCAGAGGTGAGCATTATATTTTTGGCACAGCTAATTTGCCATTGCTTAATTTTGCATGCAAACTAGCGCGACACTCTAAAGTGCGGCCCTTTTAAAAAATTACTAAGCAGCGTGAAATTAAAAGCGAAGGGAAACTCTGAATTTTTAGGACCTGGGCCGAATAAATATTAGGCCTCACGTCGGCGTGTGCGTGTTTGCTCAGCAAATCTCAGTGTGCCGTTTGGGGAGAAGCTTTTTAATCAAGTTGATGGATTCTGTGCAAAGAGCTGCACGAATTTACTTTTCCTCGGAAGGTATACACACGACGTATGATTTATTTATGTTGCAGCACCCGAGAGAATAATTTGGTTCGCAAATTGAAAATTCGATTGCTCGCCTCATTGTTGCGACATCTGGTTGAATAAATATTGACGCAGCGCTCGTCTTTCCGCTGATTAATTTCCTAATTGGATTTATCACGCAAGGTACACACACACACTCGTGTAATCGAATTTTAATTTAATTTACAGCCTCTCCTTTTTGCATGTTTACTCCAGTTTGCTCGTGAAGAGCGCTGTTTGAACACACGCGAAGCAGGAAAAGCTATAAATTTCGCACGCGAATGAATATTAAATTTCACTTCACGGCCACGCAATTTGCATATTTATCGCGCCCGATCGCGCCCGCCAGCAACCACATGTTTGCGCTCTCGTCCGCCAGAAATCCTCGCCACACAGAGCGAAGAGAAAACAAAGCCTTGCAAAAGTAAAACGAGCTTTATCTCTCCTACACGTTGCTTTTTGTTCCCGGCTCTTTAAGAGGGTCGTCGCAAAAAGGAATCCTGATTGGATCCAATTCGGTTTGTCTTCAGGTCAGCGGGTCCTCCTTTGTAGCAAAGATGAAGGGGCTTTCGTTGCCTCTTCCCTCGTTTGACCCGCAATCTCTGCGCTGATCACCGCCAATGAATGCGCCTTTTGATTCCGACAACAAACACACGTCCGCACAAAAGGATGATAAAACCGGCTGCCTCTTCATGATCAAAGCTTCGCATTTCGCCTGCTTTTGGGCAAACCGCACAACTTTGCAAATAAAGAGGGCGCTTTAGTTCAGATAATCCAGATTTAGCGTTTGGAAAATCGGATTCTAGAAAGCTTCAGCAGTTATTAATAATGTTAAAAAATAAATAAAAGGATTCTTTCAAATGCAGTATTTTTTATCAAAGTTGAAAATATACTCTGCTATAAAATTATTTGCTGAAGTTATCTGACAATTTTTGTTTAAATAATCTTGCTACAATTTAAATTTTGTGTAATTCATGTGAAATATTTAGAGAGGCATTATTTACATTGCAATAAAATTTGGAAATTTTCTGCTTCAATCAGTTCAATGCAAATAAAAACTTTTATTTTTGGAAATTTCCTAGGAAAGTCACAGTTTGCTCGCAATTTATCGACATTTCGTACCAAAATAATTAACGAAAAGTTAGTTCCGTACACGTAAATTCCTCCACGCAAACCTGCTCGGCTCGTACGTCATGCCAGTTGCATACCAACGACATTCACAGGCGTTTTCCAATACTCAGCCGACCAATTCGTTCAGCTCGCTCGATTTCAAATCAGTGAACAATTTTCAGCACAGAGAAACGGAGGGTAAAATGTTAAGTGAACTCTGCTTTATTTTCTCTATATTTGGACAGTGGCAGCCAAAGTTATTGCGGTGCTCAACAGCAGAACGTGCCTGACGCGTTGGCCAATAATAAAATAACGCGACAGCTATTTGTACAGCAGCAATATCGCCGCTTTGTGTTATGGTCACGGCTCCTTCTAGCGATAATTGAAAATCAATATATATAATGTTTACAGAAACACAACTGGCGCTGCGAGAGAAATTCACTTTTACAATTTTTTTTTTTGCCATTGTCAAGAATTGTGGATCAACTTTTTCTCTGGTGGTCGACAACAAAGGCGCATACGACAGAAGTGCGGAACGCGAACACAAACCCTTTCATCTAATAATTTATCATCTGAGTCGGGGGGAGATTCCTTTCAAGGGTACTGCTAAAAATTTTAAAAGTCCGCAGGACGCCTACCCGTAGGAGAGTGACTGCTGGCATTCCTCAGCAGGCAAAGTCGTTGGAATGTTTTAATTTGAGAGAATATAATTCGTACTCAAGAATTTATAGCAGTCGTCGTCAATGTCAACAGAGCTCTTGCTGGAACGGAGAAAAGACGCAGGTATGGAAGCAAAATAAAAAAATTTAAACTGCGAGATAATATAGTCAGTTGTCATGTTTGTTTGTTTATTGGGGTTTTCTGAGAAAAGTTGAAATTTTTCACGAAAAGCAAACAGAATTATTTGTTTAAAAAAAATTAGCTCCTAAAAAGGAAAGGAGATAATTCAATCAAATGTTTGTGTTGACCTATGTAATAAAATTAATTTAATATAAAAATTTATACAATTTCTACAATACATATTTTCCAAAAAATTCAATTGTTAAATTATTTTAATTATTGGTAAGATAAGGTAAGATATAAAAATAAAATTGGCTCAAAAAGTTGCATTTAGTCTAAAAAATCTCAAAGATAATAAGTTTGTCTTTTTCTGGCAGAGCTGACTTATATTCTTTCACAATTTTTTATGAAGAGCACATCTGGGTGAAGCAAAAAATATGATTGACTTACTTCCAGAGTCGCATTTCAACTCAAAAAGATCCCCTAGTAAGAATAAATTTATTCAAATTTCGTTTCACTGAAACTGCAAAAAAGGGAATTTTGCTGGAAGCATGCTGGGAATTCGACAGGGTGTGTGGCCTCCCCTCTGCGCCGCCCTAATTCCTCGCTTCCAAATGCAAAGCAATTCGCTCTCATCGCTCTCTCTGCCCTCTCTGTTCATTTCTTTTGTCGGCTGAACCGCACCCGCGGCATGCAGATCCACGGCACAAGACCCGACTGACATCAGTATGCAGTTTCGTGGTGGTAGGATTTTTTTATTTTGCGGAACGGCGCGGCATCATTATTATCAGCACGACCGGGGCGGGAAAAGAGCAGGGCGGAGGAAATTGCTCCGAGGAAATTCGAAGCTTTTATTGCGAGAGGACGGATCGATTCGATTATTATCTCGCGAACAATGATCTTTTCTGCAAATGATAAATGTCGCTAGAGCTTTTTGCGGACTTTAAAAGCGACACTTCGCCTTCATGCCGTCGCGCAGGATGCAAAATTTAACGATCGTCGGCGTCTCGAGCGATTTCGGAAATCATTCGTGGGACTTTTGCGGCCGTATTTCACATTATATTATACATTCAGGATCGCTGCGTCACTGCTGCGAGGGAAAATTGTAAATAATACGTCACATGCACAGAAAGAACCTCTAGCTTTTCATGCGATACGCCTTCTTTAGAATCACTCTCGGCGCTTGAAAAATTCAGAGCCGCTGCAACGCGAAAAAAACTGTTGAGAGCTTCTTTTGTGGATAGCGCGAATGCAAAATAAAAAATAAAAAAAACACGCGAGGGTGCGATGGCACACATTTGCATTAATGCTGCCAAGTGGAACGCGCCGTGAGCCGTGTAAAGAAGAAGGCAAAAACCAAGAGACAGGTTCATTCACTAAAAGCGTTTTAATTAAGACGCTGAAGGTAAAACTCTCAACGAGAGCCTCGAAAACAGATTAATGGACCAGAGAGACTATAGCGGCGAGCGCTGCTTTTGTTTGCCAAGCGCTTAAAAACTCAGTCGACTAATCCATCTATCAGGTGCTTATTAAAAATCCCTCCCTTTGATGCAGACCTGCTTCAAACAAATGGCAATTGTGCAGTTTTAAGTCCGGATACCTTTTAAAATTCTAAATGAAACAATTAAAAAAAATAAACAATTTAAATATGTTACCATAATATCTTCTGCATTATTTTATTTGTTTATCAATTTGCCCGTTTTTTTTTAGCAAAGCTTTTGCTGCAACAAGAGGCCCGCAGTCACTTCATAGACCTTGCTCTTTTCTCCGGAGAGCAAACAATCACTTGGAATCAAACTCTTTATTACGGCGGAGGCACGCGTTGCGCCCTTTGCGCTCACAGGTGGCAGCAAAACAAATCGCCTCCGTGCCAGAGCCACCCCCTGACCGCCGGCACACATGCATGCACACGGCAATCATACCGCTTATCGACCTGCTGTGCGCGATCTGCTCCGTCGTTCTCCGCACGCCCGGCGCCCGGAACGCGGCGGAGCAGTCGGACGACGGCGCTTCCAGTTCGCATCTCTTGGCCCATTGTGCCGCACTCGCACTCGACTGAACTCGACGTGTGCTCTCGGCACAAACAGGTTGGCATTAAAATGCGGAGCTCGCCCGTCGCGGAAATGATCGCCGACGAGGCCCAATTTCCCTTTTTCTCCCCCTCGGTCGCGTTTCACTCGCTGGTCTTTATCGTACAGACTTTTCCACACTCGAAATATGAATGAAAAAATGTCATTTCCATCGACGAAATTTATTTTGATTGGATTTGAGAAAGAGGGTGATTTGTGATTTTTTTGGAGAAATAGGAACTCTTAAAGGGGTTTTTAATTGACGAGAAAAGTTCTAGCTGGTGAAAATTTGGTTTAGTTATGAATTTTGCTGATAAAAGCTTTTAGGAGACATTTGCTAAGTGTATTGTAAAAAGAAATTTCAGCTATGAAAAAATTAAAATGAGATTGCTGGTGAACAGAATTTGATTTTTTTTTAAATTCTGATGCTATAATATAATAAATTACTTTTGACAAAATAGGTGATTTAATTTCGCAAAATATGTGATTTCAAAATAATAAAATTGTAAATAATTCAATATTTGTTGTGCATTTAGCTCTGTTTGGCAACCAGGTTGATTATTATAAGTGTTGAGTAGTTTTAATATTCGCAAACAATTTAAAAAGTCTTAAAATACATGAAAACTCCCCAAACCCTAGTTTATTTTGACAATTTCAGCGTGGAAACTCGTAAAATCTGCTATACTTTTCGTAATTTCACCCGTTTATTGCGTAGCGCCAATTTCCATTTTCTTCAGCGTGCAATTTATTTTTGGCGCTTTGATTAATGCACCCTTATTATGGTGTCGGCGCCCATATATGTCTCCGCGTCCCAAGGGAAATGGAAAAATATGCGCACTTGGAAAAGTGCCTATTCGTCTCCCACGGAGAAAGAAAGAGATCACAAAGTTATTGCACGTAACGCTATGGAAATAGAAATTCAATTTTGCCGATCGTAAATCTCTCATGTTAACAAAGTCGCTTGCTTGTGATTTGTTTTCCACGTGTTCTGGCATACGCAGAGAAAAAAAAGAGGGAGAGCGAAACCACTCGCACATCTGCAGAGAGGCTGAAAGAAGGTTGGGGGCAAAAATGTGACGTCGTCTAAAATAATGTAGTTTGATGTGGTACTTTCCACAATCCTTCTCAGTTTCCGAATGCAACAGTAAATTTTTACAAAAAAAATCTTTGGTCTCAAAACCATAATTTTCCTTCAGACCTGCGCTGTTTAAACTATGGCCTGGCAGATTTTGCTAAAAATTAAATAGTCTGAATAAATAAAAACATTTTAAGAATTTTTTGACGAGGAAAAAAGGGCCATTTTTTGACGCATAGGAGCAGTTTATACGAGGAGTTCCTGATTACAACGATAAAAATTGCCAAATTTATCTTTATCAAATGGTCCATGTTCACAATTGTACATGAAGACCTTAATAAAAAAAACTTCTGAGTCACGAGAAAGGGTATTATTTCTAATTTTTTTTTTCAATTATTCGTAATTTTTGTAACAATGATATTATTTGTGTGAAAAAGCACCACTCTGGCGCTCTTGTCTAAATTTTAAGTAACAAATTGATTGAAAATTCAATTATTGGACTTGTCCTACCTCTGGCCTTGCGTTCCTTCTTGGGGTTGGCGGAGCTCGGGCCAGGCATCGACGAGTTGCGGTACATGGTGCCCTGCACTGGAAGCGCAGCCCTCACCCAGGCCCCGGTGCGTAGGTCAGTTGTGGTCCTCGTTCACGAGCAAGCGAGTCAGCACTGCTGGTTTTCAACAAGTGCGCCGCGAAAGAACCGAGGCGGCGCCAACAATCGCCTCAACCCGGCCGCGCGCACGTGCGTCGGCCCTGCACACTCGCACCGCCCTTCTTTGTGCCTCTGCTTCGTAGTATACTACACATTTATTTAATGGCACAACATAAAAAGACACTTAGACTTAGTTGTATGACTTATATGATTTATGTTGCTAGTTTTGTTTTATTTTTTTAATTTTTTTTCCACATTTTATTTGATTAAAATCAATTTTTAAGTAAAAAAGAGAGTTACTAAAAGCTCAGGAATTGCAAAAGAAGAAAATATTTTAATCCAATAAAGGAACCGCACTCCCCTGACATCCATAATTCACAAAAGAAAATAAATCGCAAAATAACTACAATTTTATTTGTAATAAAATAAAAGAAAAATGAGATTACAGTCTATGCCCTCTTTTATCCTCTAAATAATATTTTTCAAATTATAACTAATTAAAAATTAGTTTTAAAAATTCATGTATCATATGTTAATTAAAGAATTTTTTTTTCTAACATTTAACATTGATGAAAAAGGAAATAATTCAGCTCACGGCTTAATTTTTTTATGAAATCCACCTCAAGTGTTAACTTCCTATCAAATGTTTTTGAACTATGACTATAATGATATTGAATGTATTTATGTTATTTATGAAAATAACCGAAAAAAATTGACGCGCGATTTTCAATAATAATGCACGCTTGATGGAAGCGATGTTTGTTTTGAATATTTTTGATATGTTAATTGTAATCAAAATTGGATATATAATTTAAATTTCATCTGCAAACCTAGCTGCGCATGTTTGTATCATTGTAACAATTCAATTGTAACTGTATAATTAAACTCAACAAGAAAAAATAAAACATTTTTCTAAAAGTAATGTTAGGTTCTGGCCTGGTTCTGGCATGAGTCAAGTTCCCAAAAATGAAATCTTTTCATAACACCATTGAATTGAAAAATAACAATATATGTGATAGACAAAATCATCATTTTAATTTTCTGATTTATCCATTTATTTCATTTATATTTTCTGAAATTAAATTTAAGCAATTATTTAAAAAATAATAAGTCCACTTTCTTAATAATTATAAAAGTTTCAATTTTATTAGGCTTTTAACGCATTAATTAGTACTTAACTTTATACCTAACAATACCTTCTTGGAAAATACAATACGTCATATTATTTAAAATAATAATTTATAGAAAATTTTTTCTAAATAAAGTTGTTAACACAAAACACATTAACATAATAAAACGCAGCAAAGCAACCCGTACACGCACACATGATTATTAATTTATTGTATCCGCGCAGACCTCAATAATAAAAAAACTGGCTGCCGGCAATTTTACTTCAAATTCAGCAAAATTGCACAAGCCCCTTCCCAAATCAGGATCTGTGGCGCCATCTATGAGCAGCCTTTGCCATTATCGACCAAAATTTCGCTGCTCCTGCTGGTGCTGGTCTTTGAAGCCGAGTCTCTCACGTGTACCGTTGTACTCGCCTTCCGACTCGTCCGAAAACATTCCATTTTCCAGAGGCAGTTGAGGAATCGACAGGTGCGAACTTAACCTAGGCAATAATGTTTCGGCCTAAGCCACGGCTCAATTAAAGTCGGCCCAAAGTGGTTCGAAGGGCCGCAGCAGGGCCGTGGCCTCCATATGGCCAATCGTCCGCCACGAATCCACTTTTCCCGGTTTGTTAATTGTCTGTCCACTTTGCAGAAGCCTCAACATGTCGCGGAGGCAGAAGGCGACCGAGGAGACGGATAAGCTGACACGAATCGCCATCGTCAGTACAGACAAGTGCAAGCCGAAGCGATGCCGACAGGAGTGCAAGAAGAGTTGTCCGGTCGTCCGGATGGGCAAGCTCTGCATTGAGGTCACTCCGAACGACAAAATCGCCATAATTTCGGAGGAATTGTGCATTGGATGCGGTATTTGTGTTAAGGTTTGACTTCCTTCTTAGCTAAAAATTATTTATTGGAAATATAAACTAGAAAAAAAAACAAAACTTTCTTCCAAGAGAGATGAAATTTTTTTTTTTTTAAATTTCAGAAATGTCCCTTCGAGGCCATCACAATCATCAATCTTCCGAGTAATTTGGAAAAAGACACAACGCATCGTTACTCGCAGAACAGTTTCAAGCTGCATCGTTTGCCCATTCCTCGCCCTGGTGAGGTCCTTGGTCTTGTCGGCACCAACGGAATCGGCAAGTCAACGGCTCTGAAGATCCTCGCCGGGAAACTGAAACCCAACCTGGGTCGTTTCACCGATCCCCCAGACTGGACAGAAATTCTGAGCCACTTCCGCGGTTCTGAATTGCAGAACTACTTCACCAAAATTCTCGAGGACGACCTGAAGGCGCTCATCAAGCCTCAGTACGTCGATCAGATTCCCAAGGCTGTCAAGGGACAAGTGCAGCAACTGCTGAACAAGAAAAATGAGCGCAACAACGAGCCGGAAATTTCAGACATGCTTGGTATTTTTTTTAGTACATAAAATTTAATTAATTTCTTTAACTTTTGCTGGTCTACAGATTTGCACAATATCAAGAACAGAAATGTGACGGACCTATCTGGAGGAGAACTGCAGAGATTTGCCTGTGCTATGGTTTGCATCCAGAATGGAGACATCTTCATGTTCGACGAGCCTTCCAGTTACTTAGATGTGAAGCAGCGTCTCAAAGCTGCTCAGACTATCCGCTCTCTGCTTAGAGAAGACAAGTACTGCCCGATTATTTGTTTAAAGCTTTTCTATATTGAATATCAATTTCAGGTTCATCATTGTGGTTGAGCACGATTTGTCTGTACTTGATTATTTGTCCGACTTCATTTGCTGTTTGTACGGCATGCCTGGAGCTTATGGTGTAGTCACCATGCCCTTCTCCGTACGAGAAGGCAAGTCAGCTTTTTTTACTCAAATGATAAATATTATTGAATTCCAATTGTTTGCAGGTATCAACATTTTCTTGGACGGTTTTGTGCCTACTGAGAACTTGCGGTTCCGAGACGAATCTCTGGTGTTCAAAGTATCAGAGTCGGCGACAGAGGAGGAAATCAAACGATTGAACCACTACGAGTACCCAACCATGACCAAGGCACTATTTTAAATTATTTGACAGAAAAATTTATTGATTTTTATTTTCTGAAATTTCAGACTCTGGGTGATTTCAGGATGGAAGTTCACGGAGGTCAATTCACTGATGCCGAAATCATTGTACTGCTAGGAGAGAACGGCACAGGCAAAACGACTTTCATCAAGATGTTGGCTGGCAAGGTGCACCCTGATGATGGCTCAAAGGACATCCCACAGCTCCACATCAGCTACAAACCCCAAACCATCAGCCCGAAATCGACAGGGCCTGTGAGATGTCTGCTGCATGACAAGATCAGGGACGCTTATGTCCATCCTCAGGTTAGAATAAATTCACTTTCCGGGTCTTTTTAAATCTTTATGAAATTGAAAGATTGTTCTTTTACTTTATGGTAGATTGAATTATATATTTAGAATTTTTATTTTCAAATGTTAATCTTAAATGAAATTATTTTAGTTCATCACCGATGTGATGAAGCCGATGAAGATTGATGAAGTAATGGACCAAGACGTTCAAAACCTCAGCGGTGGTGAATTGCAGCGAGTGGCTATGGCCCTGTGCTTGGGCAAACCTGCCGATGTGTATTTGATTGACGAACCGTCTGCCTATCTCGACTCCGAGCAGCGTCTGGTTTGTGCAAAAGTGATCAAAAGGTTAATCATTTCTTTCTACTTGACGTTTTAAGACTTATAAAAATGAAAATCCTTAGATTCATCCTCCATGCCAAAAAGACTGGATTTGTGGTTGAGCACGATTTCATCATGGCCACTTATCTTGCCGACAGGGTAATCGTGTTTGAGGGAAAACCCTCTGTTGACACGGTTGCCCACGCCCCGCAAAACCTGTTGAACGGAATGAACCGATTCTTGGAGCTCCTCAAGATCACCTTCAGAAGAGATCCCAACAACTACAGACCCAGAATCAACAAGCTCAATTCTGTTAAAGTAAGATTAAAAAAAAAAATTGATTTGATTCAATTGATTTATCATTTTATTTTAGGATACAGAGCAAAAGAGAGCAGGGCAGTATTTCTTCTTGGAGGATTGATTTGTTGGACCCAAAGTACCATACTCGTCGGTGCAGGCACTTTCATTACTCCCATCAACCACTCAAAAGTAGGATGCTCATTTGCCAGCGTAAGGTCAGTGCGAACATTTCCAATTTCAACTTTTCATTGATCTGCGCGCGACTGACTTTACATTTGTTGAACGAAAAATAAAAATGAGCGACTTTCGAGTGCAAAACAAAGCTTTATTTCACGCTAAAAATTAGGTAACAATTCTAACAGTAATAGTATTATAATATCACAATGAAAAGTTCACCAATGTCGTCATTCCTCGCATCTGTTGTACATTATTTTCAAATCTTTCAAAGAGGCGATGGGCTGAAAAAAATATTTTAAAATCAACTTCAGTCAGAAAATAATTGCTTTTACGGGGCGCTTCATTTTCATCATCTTCTCCAGAGCCTCTTTGTCTTTTCTCGTAAAAAATCCAACCTGCAATCAACAGATTTTGATCAAATTTTTACTATTAAAGAATAAGTCTATACCTTGGAGAGGCCCAGCACCATCATTAACAACAATAGAATTCCAGTCACTGAGGATATCATAATGACAGTAGGGTCATACAAGAAGTCGAACTTCTTAACCGTCCGAATCAATGTCACCATTGGCTGTGCACTCTGAGGCCTTTTGACAGAAATTATTATTTGGAAATTAGAAACGTAAATCAAATACCTCCTTTTTGAAGGGCTGATAACATTAGCAGGCTTCGTTATTCCAACTAGCGCCTCCGACTTGAGTTGGACTATGTCCTTAGCTCCCAAATACTTTCCTGCAACAAAATTTTAGCTGCAGTTCTGTTTCATTGAATTTAAATAATCCTAACTCAAAACGTGAAAATCGGCGGTCATGTCAAGCTTGATCTCCACAAGGTTGTCATTGTCCTCGAACGGGCCAACCCTGCAGGTCAGTTTGACGCACTTCCACAAGTGAGACGAGCAATTGACACTGAACGTCCTGTTTGCTGGATAATTTTGGTCCACTTGGTGCAGCTCTCTTTTCTTTCGGGGGTGTTCATCGTCCTCCTCATGTTCGTCATCAACCTCGTCTACACTGGTGGTATTCGAACTTTCCTCTTCTAGCTCTTTGGAAATTAAATTTTCACATGCGCCAGACGACGGCTGTTAATAAATTGATTAGACATTCAAATGAAATTATTTAATTTCTACTTGGATCGTCCAATCCAAAAATTTCTTCCCTCTTGCCAGAGCATATGGGATGGTGATGTTCACTTCAACCTCCTCAATTCGACTAAGTCCGTCTTTTTCAACGTGAAATCTAAGGTCGAAATGCGGCTCCTTGGAAAGGTCAAATTGAACCGCTTCGTCCGTCGGTTTTCTAAATTTAAAAATAAAATACTTGGGAGGATATTGGCTATGGAAAATGTATTACCCGGAAATCGTCACTGCAGCTTCAGTTAAAACTCTGATCTCTTTCTGAGTAACCGTTGTCGAGGAATTTTTCAACCCATTCTTGCATTTTACCTTAGCCGAAAAACTCAAATCTTTTGTTGAAATCAGTTCGTTTGATTCTATTTTCAAGTTTAAGATTTGCTGTTGAATTGATTAGAAAGGGAAAAGTACTTTAAAATTAATTATTCACTGTTCTGTTTGCGAGCAATGGAGTGACTACAGAGCATTCCAGGCTCCTTTCGGCATCTTCTTCTTCAAAGTCCAAATCAAGGCACCCGTTGTCATTCAGAAGGTGCAGATACGAAGGGTAATCTATTGTAATTTTTGCACCTCTTGCTGGCATTCCATAATTTATAAGCGTAATTTGCACAACCAAATCGCTTTCCAAACCAATGGGGAAGTATTTGAGTTCCCTTTAGCAAAATTATATTATTATTTTGTGATCAATATTATGTTATTCCATAAAAATTAAATCTAGAACTTTTTTCTCTAAAGCTTTAATTATGGTAAACCGCGCGCTCAATCTTGCTAATGTAGGTCATAAAGAATTTAAAAAGCTACAAAACCATGATTTAAAATAACTAATTGCAATTATAATGAATTAAGTAGAAACCAAACTTACTTCCCTTCCTCGTTGTAAAACCGCAATTCAATGTGCAGGTCCGCTATACAGTCTTCATTTTCGCTGCAAATCGGCGCGAAATTAATCTCGGCCACTCGAATCGAAGGCATTTTCAAAATTGCCGGAATTTTTGCTAGAGCTTAAATGAAAGAAGTTGTTATAAAATGTAATGATTAAAAAATTATATTTACCTGTTTCCTTTGAACCATCCACTTGAGCTTTTTGTGGCAAAGAATATTCAATTCTAAACCTTATTGGTGACTCAAAATCCGTCATGTTTTCCTACGAGCAAATAAATTTTATAAAAATAACATTTTATCTAAACCATTCATACGTATATGAAAAACGTGAGTTTGTGGCAGCGTGTTTGATTTTTCTTGAATATTTCGCTTTCTTGGAAAGTGGACCGTCCGCTGAACTCTGGTTTGTCAAAATAAATCCGCCTTGTGGCAAATCCCAATTCCAAAGTCCTGATCAAAACTGTTGATTTCTCTTGCAATTAATTTACTCGTCTTTCAATTAAATGAAAATTTACCTCTCGATTTTTCTATTCGGTGACCGATGTAACGCGCACAACTTAAAATAGTGAAGTTGGTGCTGTTGAAAGTCAGCAGATTTTCCTCTTGCTCGATGGTTTGCTTCACCTGGATGACAGGTTTCGTTCTGATCAAAACTGTATGCCCTGATTTGTAAGCACCAACTGCGAAATCTAAAGAGGAAACAAAAATGAAAAATATAATGTGTAATGGCAAAGTATTAAAAAAATAAAACGTGCCTAAATAACCGTTATTGTCAACATCAACGCCTCGCGAAATCGAGTATCCAAATCCAGAAATTCGCGGCTCGAATTGCAAACCCTCGATTTTCAATGGACCCGTAAAACCTCTCAGGTTTCCATAGTAGAGATAAACTACCCCGCCGTCTTCGTACGGAGCAGCAATTGCAAAATCTAAAAAGACATTTTGAGCACAAGTTTGGTGGAAAAAATACTTAATTAGTAAACCTCCGAATTTATCGCGGTTTAAGTCGCCGAGAAAAGCGACGGCGGTCCCGAAACGACCACCTGTTGCGTTTCCGACTATCACGTGTTTCTGGCCCAAGGACCTCGCCGAGTCCTTTGAATATATGACGACTTTGCCTTCATCAATCCCAGAAAATCCTTCTCCGGCCCTGGAAAAAATAGGCGCCGCAACGATCAGCTCGTCGGTGCCGTCGCCGTTGATGTCGCCGGACGCTAAAGCGGCGCCGAAATTTTCACCCACCGCTTGACCTTCCAAAAGTTGAGTTTTTCGCAGAATCCCATCTGTGCCGGGGAAGTCGAAGATTAAAACCTGAACAGAAAACGTATTCGTGCAATTATGTTATTTAATTTAATTGTCACTAACGCTGCCCTTGGTATTGTAACCTGGACCACCGGACGCGTACAAAGTTTTGGATTTGGAAAAATATCTTCCAAATGTGACTGAGTAGCCTAAAATCAAAATTGATCAATTTACTTCCGTTACTTTTACTTCCTCAAAAACAAACCAATGTTAAGTCGTTCACCCGAGTAGAAGTCCACAACATCAGTTACATTAAGGACTATCAAATTTCCTGCTGCGCCGCCTGCTTTGGTCAGGCTATATCTGGCCACGGAGCCTGAGATTGCGGTTAATCAGCGAATTTCTTTTTATACATAATTTTTCAAAAACTACCTTTTCCTTCACAAACGTTTGGCGCGCCAATGACAAAATGCACCTCAGCCTTAAATAAATTACATTTGATCAGTTTTGATGCCACAATTTTAACAACATTCAAATAACCACCTTGGTCGAATTTAAAATTTTGACCGAGAATCCAGCCTGCCCATAAATGTAGTTCTTGATCGCACCCTGTCCTTGTACCCTTACTTTTCGTTCAGTTAATGCACGATCTAAACGCAACGATGGTTTTAAAAGTCAAAATTCAGAAATTATGGTTTTTCCTTACTTTTATTGGCAAGAGGCTCCACGATTTTGGAAAAATTGAAGTCACTTATAGCGCCCCAGGTGCAAACGCCATGCATTCGCAGCACGCCACCCTCTGATGCTCGCAAATGTGGACTACATGTCTGTAAAAAATAATTCTTGTATTTAAACAGAAAATCGATATTTATTCAAATAAAAAAAGTCAAAAACTTGAGAAGTTTGTCGAACTAAAATTTCGTTTTTTTAGTCGGCGAGAAAAGCAGTTGCTCGTGAAATATGAATGCAGACTCAGACTGTAACCAAAGCTAATGTAGCGTCATATTTTTTCAATACCAAACAAATTTTTTCTAAAGGAAGAAAAATACAATATTTTTATCTAACTAAAAAAACTATGGTGATTAGAATTTAGTCAAATTTTACTTGGTGGGAGCGTGTGAGTTGTTTATTTTTTACAAATCTTTATCTTGCTCCTTTTCTTAAGCTGTAAACTCACAAAACCCACGGAGGAAAAGCCGACTTTAAATTCCAATCACCACGAATCAACCCTTGATTGTGAAATTCTGTCACAAAAAAGCATTTTTTAAATTCTTTTATTAAAACATACAACGAAGTAATCGTTATAAAATAATTCAAAAGTTCAATTGCATCATGTTTTTGATAGATTTTTCCCCTTTATTGAATTTGGAAATTTAATTTTAAAATAATACAGTATGAAGTAGAAAATTAATTTTAACAAACTTACAATATATTCATCCAAATTGGCATCTACAGCGCTTCCAGACAGACTGTCCTTGCGGTGATATATAGTTTTTCCATCGTTCAGTGATTTATATTTTGGAGTGACTGAAATTTTTCGGCACGCTTCATTTTTTACTAGCCCGCATTTGTAATTGTGGCCATCGACTTTTGGAGCTCCCACCAACAACCTACGCGCAGGAATATTAAAATTAGATTGCCAAAAAAAAAAAATTGTCTCTGTTTGCACTTACCAAGGCGGATATTTCTTGGTCGCATTTGAATTGGCTCGAACAAGGGCAACGCTGAACCCAAAATAGTTCTCGTTTTGGTCTGGAGATTTTAACACCAGAGGATGATCAGTGTCCACGTTGTGCGCGTCCGCCTGAACCAACGCTAAGCACACTAATGATATCAAAATCATTGCCATTTTTAATGAAAAACGTTGTTTTTGCAACGCATCGCAAAACACGTGTGTCAGGCTGGTGAGTCGCAACCGCACAAGCCGGTCTGCGCGAATGATTCTTGCGCTGTATAAAGCACAAATTTATCTCTGCCCAAGGCAGTTGACAGGAAATCCTCAAGATAAAACTCGCTATTTCAGATTCATATTCAATATCAAAGGATTGTTATATAATTGAGAACTATTTGTAAAATTTTGGTTGCTACTTGAGTCATACAAATAATTACACCACAGTTTTTATTGGCGACTTTTTACCAATTAAATTGAAGTTAATTAATTAGCTCAAAATTAAAGCATTTATCGCGTTTTCTTTAATGATCGCTGCAAGATTCTCAATTAATCATTTTTGTTCCTTCTTACTCACATAGTTTTGTGCCTAATTGCAAACTAGAACGAGAAAGGAAGTAATTATTTTTATTTATTACGCAAAGTATGCCTTCAACAAATATTTTGGTAGGAAATCAAGCTCATTTGTGTTGCTGTTTGCCTCGGTTTTATATTAAATTTTAAGATAGAGTGAAAACTTGCGAGTTTTCATGCTGTTGGAAGATATATATATATTTTTTTAATTTAAAGATTTTCAAGTATCAATAAACAATCGTCTGAGATACTTATTTTTTCGCTAGTCTGGACTTGTGATTCTTACCCAATTTTTTACTGACACTTTTCATGCGGTAACTTTATTTTCATATATAGGCAACCTGCGAATCATCCTTGTCAAGAGATTGCCTAGATTAGCCCATTTCAGGAGCTTTTGTGCTGGTGGCCTACCTAAAAACACTTCAGCCGCCTGCAAAGTGAAGCATTTACCAAATAAATAAATTTTAAAATCCAAACTCTGCAACTGAACTTCAAGTAATAACTTTAATCATGTTATGTACGCAATGAAAAGAGGAAAAAATTTCATGTTGCTTTGAATTTAAAGTGGCTTTTCCTCAATGGATTTTTTAGTTGTTTATTTTGTTTAAGATGAAGCAATACCCTGATCTTTTTTCTTCAACAATAAACAACTCACAAAACTCATCAAGGAAAGGTTGACTTTAAATTCAAATCACCATGAATCAACCCTCTGTAGTGAAATTCTACGACAATAATGTATTGATATTTAGTGAATTTGTGCTCCTGTTGCACTGTAAATATTTTATATTTGTGACTAAATTTAAACTACGTGGAAAATTTGCTGAAGTTAAATCAAATTTACTATTAATGATTTATTACATAAATTAATTTAATACAATTTTAGACTTATATATTATACAAATTAATTAGTGTTTTATATATTGAATGTTTTTGTTTATTTGATGAAAAAAGGTTCAAAATCAAGCATTAAATCAGAAATATAAACAATTAATACATAAGTACATAATTATAAGTTTTCTTTATCTAAGTATACATTCCTAAAAGTAATGAATCACTCAGCCAAGTAAAATTTGAAAAAAGCCATTTATATATTATTTAGTGGGCTTGTTGTCATCATAGACAGTGTTATCTTCGCCATCCAAACCACCATTGCTCATTACTGCACCTGCTGCGGCCATTTGAGTCTGTGTGAAGGGCAAACCAAAATTGTAAATTTATTTATTTTCAATATTTCAAGTCGCACCTGTCGCTTCTGCAGCAAAAGCTCGTCTCTTGTTTTTCTTTGGAAGAACCCAGCTTTCACCAAGCCCGTCACGAGCAGCATGAGCAACAAAATTCCGCCGATCACCGAAAGGGCTATGACCCAGGTCTCCACTTTACCAGCTTGCGCGCTTCGCAACAGAACTGCAGAAATGTGAGCTACGTCGGGGCTGTAATGGGAATTCATATTGGTTTAAATTAAGCATATTTTTTTTTAACGTCACCTCTGCACTGCAGGCTGCTCCACGGATTTAGGATTCACAATTTCAACTTTGGCAGTTGTTGCAAAAATGACTATGTCGTTTGCTCCCAGCTCTTTTTCTGATATTTGAAAAATTTTCATTTGTACAATTATTTCCTAAATAAGAAATTTAAATACCAAGGAGAGCCATGTCCAAATTGAGCTGCAACTTCAGCTCTGCTGGTCTTTTGTCGGTCAAGAGTGGACCGCTGCAGATGAGTTCTGTGCATTTCCACTCGTTGTTTGAGCAGTTTATGAATAGCGTTCGATTGATTGGAAACTTGAATTCGTCATATCCAGCCTCACTCATTGTATCCCTTTTCGATCTGACGTTTGTCGATGACGAGGCGGCGGAAGCAGATGAGGAGGAACCAAAGTCGGAAGAAGATGCGGAGGCGGAGGAAGCGCCTATGCCAAGATCAAGGTCGGGATTCAGAACCGCGATAGATCCGTCTGAACCAGGTGGTGGCGTTACTGGGGGTGCTGTTGTTGTCAATTGTTGCACAAATTCATTTGGTTGGCAAGAGAGTAAAATGCTGCCTGAGTAGAACTAAAAAAAAATAAAAATAAAAAAAAATATTAAAATCCTCGTAGGGATTGAAAAATAATTTGATAATTACTTCGGGTGGCGAAAGATGCAAGAATTTTGTCGACCCAGCAGAAACTGGAATTTTAACTTTCAAAGCCACTTCCTGCAGAGGACTTTTTCCTGCTTTCTCCATCTACAGGAAAAAATGTAAAATTTATTTGAACAAAAAATGTATTTGTCAATAAAAACCTTGTAAACCAACACAGGCGAAACTTTACTCTTTGCCTCTTTGTTTCCAGACTCAAGCTCAAATCTGTAATCTTCTTGCTGAGGATGTCTGTACCAAAAAGAAAATTATTAATTGCTGTACAAAAAGTGACAAAAATAAATCCGGTTATATGATTAAATTGGTAACTGCACATATGTTTACGTAATATGCAACTCGCGCAACACCGAAAATTGATTATATTTTTCATCATAAATCTTTTTAATTTTTAAAATTTCTAGTAAATCTCCAAGATTTGCATTCAGGTCAACGGTATTTTGTAATAAAAAATCGGTTCAGTATTTCAAAATAGGATACGCTGACCTGAAAGCAAACCTCGCGGGTTTACCAGAAATTTTTAAAAATTCATTCGCACAAAAGTTTATTTTCTGTGTTTGAGCGGGTTGCGTTTTACGCATATAGACAATTTTAAAAAAATCGCTGTTTTTAATTTTTTTTTCTGGGAAAAATAAAATTTAATATACCCATATACGGTGACGTCGGCCTGATAAGCAAGTGGCAGAAGCAAATTTGTGGTCAATGCTTGCTGGTTCAGTACAACAGTGTTGGTGGTTGCTTGAATTCCGACCGATAGCGCCGAGTCGTCCATGACTGACGTCTGCAAATCGAGCTCAAGCAATAGTATGCGTTGCGTTTTGCTCTTCAAAGGGTTGCCGACGTCGCACTCGACAGTGCCGTTTGCCGAATCTTTGCAGCCACTCGGGATTGTGACCGGCGAGCTCGGCAGTTTGATGGTCACCTTTGTGTTGTACGCAGGGTCACCCTGGTTGTCAACAATCAACTGAAGCACCGCCGAGTTCACATCTTTCACGACATATCGATCAATTGGCACGAGAGAGCTAACAAAATTATAATTTTGAATTTAATTTTTTTTTCGTCTCTGAACCTTACGAGTAGGAATCAAGGAACTGCGCCTGTAATTTTAATTCTGCGACACACTTGTTTTCAATTCGACACGCAAGATAAAATCCCATCTCGGCTTTTGTAGTGACCGTCGAGCCCCTCAGTAAAGGGCAATTTCTACAAAATTTATCTTGGCCTAAATATTCAAGAAAAAAAAATTAAAAATATGTTATAAATTGGATGTCATATTTTACCTGAAACCCTGTTATCTCCAGAAATGAAAATAGGCGCCGCCCGCGCTGTATCTTCTGGAGCAAGCGAAAAGTTTGCAATAACTTGAATTGGAGTAAAAACATTTCTTATATCTCCCTAAAAATTAAATTTTGTTATAGATGAAGAAAATAATTTTTTTTTAATTAAAACCTGGAGTAAAAACTTGATCATGCGGCAATCTCCCTGAAGTGGAACTTCCAAAGTTTCTTGTGTGATGCTAGTGCTTGGGTTTAGTGCTCTATATATGCGGTAATTACCCGGATCCATACTCAAAACCATGATAACCTCTGAAAATAAGTGAGCTTTAAATATTTGATATTGCAATATCAAGTTTAAAAATTAAAGCTAAAATCAAGTTTAAAAAAATGCGTGCAACTGTTTAAAAAAAATTGTTTCTCTTTATCATATTTACTGACTTATTTTCTTTGGAGGAGATTGACCGGAATACATGATGCAGATCTCCGCGTTTAACTCCTTCGAGTCGTCTTTCAGTTTTTCACCCAAAAACGAAATTTTTGCCGTGAGAGTAACCACTGGTTTAGCCCGCAGAACCACAGCATGCCCTGATCTGTAGACACCGATTGCGATGTCTTTTGAATGCAATAATTGATAAGTTAATTTGAAATTCCAGTATTTTTTGTTACCCTTATATCCATTTCCATCAATATCTTGACCACGCGAAATTCCGTATCCAAAACCAGACATCTGAGGGTTAAACTGCGATCCAGCTACAACTTGGCTTAAATGCAAACCTTGGGCACTGCCCATGTAAATGTACACAACACCAGAGCCCTCGTAAGGAGCAGCGATCGCAAAGTCTTTGTTGTTGAAAAATATCCATTAAAATATAAAACGGAGTCGCTTTTGAAATTTTTACCATCATAGCCGTCCAGATCGATGTCACCAATGCAGGCGATGGTTGACCCTAAACGACCGTTTCGAGCTTGCCCTTTAATTTCGTGGTTGAAAGGCGCAGTTTCGAGCCGGCCCTTTTTTATTTGGATGCTTTACTGGAGCTAAGTAATCATATAAAAATACATACCCTGAGGCTTCCAAAGTAAACAAGGACTCGGCCGTCATTCTGCGAGTACGGCAGATTTGAAAATTGCGAGGCGCCTACGACTAAATCATCAATTCCGTCGTTATTTATATCTCCTGAAGCGATGGCGGCGCCAAAATATTCGCCAGGTTGACTTCCATCTAAGATGTCAATCACCATGGGAAATAGTCTTTGCCAGCGGTTATACGTTATTTTGTACACAAACACCTGATAAAAACGTATTTTGTTAAACATGTCATGAAATCTTTATAAATTCAAACCGATCCAGTTAAATCGGCGGCAGGAGCGCCGGCGGCTATGACCAGCTCGGACCGTGAGAAAAATTTACCAAGCGCCACGGAATAACCTTTCAACAAGAAAATTACAATTAAATCAACTTTTCCAAATTTGGAGGAAAATGATTTAATTTACCTAGAAAACTGTAATCCTTAAACCGTTTATCTTCATTTAAATTGGGGATTAAAGGTCCCTGAGTAAATGCGTGTGCGATCGGAGACCTTCGCCTGCGAGAGCGTCCTTCACTCCAGTCTGAATCGTCCCGATAGGTCACCGTGGAACCGTCCCAATTTCCAACAGACGGCGCACCTATCAACATCTCATGTTTCCCCTGGAGCGAATAATTTCAATATTTGATAAATTTATACATACAAAAATATGTTTTTATTTTTACTGTACCGTCGCACTACTCTGCATTGTAACCGAAAATCCTGCTTGGCCCCAAATGTATTTCGGAAAATGTTGGTTATTGATCGGTTCCAAGTCATTGTTTCGACTTCCTGTACGTTTTGCGTGTGATTATTATGAATTAAAATTTCAAATTTGAGACCATCAGAAAGCGGAATGAAATAGTCAAAGTTATCAGCATCCTTAGACTGCCCCGAATAACAGATTCCGTACAAGTGCAGGTAGGCATTGTCATTGTTGAGCTTGGTTTTCCAATTCGGACTGCAAACCTAAAAAATTACTTGCAATTAAAGCAGTTTTAAATTTGATGCGCTTGACGAAACTTACGACGAATCTTTCATGTGTCATGTCCATCGTGCTGCCTACCATCGCACCGTCCCACACGTTGGTGTATTTTTTTGATGAAGCTAATTAAGTTTTTATTAAATTTTGTCTGAACTTGTTTTTGTTTTTTTTTTTTAACGAACGGGGCTCTAGTTTGAGTCTATTGCATGGACCCATGATGGAGCATTTATAGACGAGGCCACTGTCGCGGCGAATTGATCTCAAAACAGAGTTGTTTGATTTAGGAGCGCCCACCATCATCCTAAGCATTCAAAATTTTATTTAATTATATTTTATAATCCTGGATAATTGATGAGCAATTTATATTGATATTTAAGTTTTATTTCTAGTAAAAATAAAATAATATAATAAAATCTTACCACGGATAATCATTATTAGCGGGGCTACCTGGGTGGAGCGCCAGACTGTATCCAAAATAGTCGCCAGGTTGATTTGATTGATAAATAATTGGGTGGAACAAATCAAGGTTGAAAGAGCTAATTCCAACCAGGAACGAGGCCGAAACAACCAATTTCAGCCCCAAGTACATTTTTATTTGGGGCCAACACAACAACTAGCAACGCTTTTACTTTTTCAAAGCTTTTGAGGTGGAGACGCCTTACCCACATCCATTTCCGTTGAATTTTATAAATATTCTTCAATATCTCACGTCACCCAGAGGCGGTTAAAACAACTGTAATCGGGGTCTTTAGCATTTAACCGCAATCATTACATATATTAACAAGGCAGCTAAATTCGGTGTTTGCTAATAATGCCACCACACTTTGAACTTCCGCGTAATTGACCTGAGTGAAGGAATATTATATATTAACATTTTAGAGCACTCGATCAATGTTAATTTTTTTACATTTTCATACCCTCTTGTCCCTCTTGTGTATAATGATTAATGAAACATGAATTTATGGTAACTTTTAAACCAATGGTTTCAACCCCCCCCCCCAATGTTCCGACAAAGCGCAATAATTCTTATGTTAAAAATCTTTGTGGTAAGTGGTAATAAATTTTTCATAAATTTTAATACATAAAAAATTAAACAATAAAGAATAGAAACTGTGATTGTTGTGTGCTTGATATTGGTGGCGTCCTTGCCCTGTTATCTTGTCTCCTGATATCATTCTTTTTGTAATAATGAAACTTGAATGAACAGGATTTAAGCTGGAAATAGTTGTAATAATCCTTTTTTCGATTGATTCCTAAAGGCAACAAACCAACCGATTTTGGCTGTTGCCGCGGGACAAAAGTAAGTTGATGACGTGAGCAGGAATGTATATTAGAGGCATTGGGAGCCCATGAGAGGCCCACGAAAATTATGAATTCTCTTTTGCAGTGGCTGAAGTAAGAAAAGATTTTTTTTAATTTTTTTAATTAAGGCCACTAACCGGTGCAATTTCAGAACTACAGGTTTGCCTAAAAAACATAAGTAAAAGGAAAATTATCTCTTCATTTTTTTTGTTGGTGGGGAAATCGCTGCCGCAGGATCACAAATTCCCTTTTCAAGCTGCTCGACGGCTTTGATTTCTGCGGCGCCTCACTCATATAAGAGGATGTGGTTTTGACCTCAGCACGCTGCGTGACTGGTAACGTGTTGTCACAAATAAATATTCCACATTGCCTTCAAAGGGCATAGAACTTAATAAATATTTTATTTTACGTCTTCTCCATACTTTCTCATTTTCTTTTATGTTCCATTTATGTTCAGTATCGGCATTTTTGAGGTCCATCTCGGCACCCAGAACATTAACAACCCAACCGAAACAAACTATAACACAGCTATTGCCTTGGATCAAGCTATTCACCCATACTTTAACTCTTTAACCCTTTCAAATTTGAGAATGACATGTTCGCGTCGAACAAATGGACATAGAAGTGTCCGGCGAGAGAATCACCACAATCAGCCCTCGCAGGCTGACAAAACCTTCAACGGAGAACAGGCGGTCATGACCTCCGTTGGCGAGATACTTCCGACTGTAAGTCAAAATCCAAGTAATTAATGAAAAATTAAAAATTTCTCAAACTGCAGTCGACCCCAATCTGAGCAACGAATTGAAATTTGTAAACGATCACACAGTGCCACTTGCGCGTGGACACCTGATACCTGAGTTGGTTATATAGAGACCTACAGAGGCTTCACCATTTGCCCATTGAGTCTCAACGATTGCTTTCAAATTTAAAAATCAAGAGTAGACAAGATTCATTTTTTTATAATCAAAAGTCATTCTTATTATATATGTTTGTTTTAATATTTAATAAAAATTATAAAAAAAAAATAAATAAATTCTTGAAATACAAATTTGTTTAAAGTTGTTTTTCACCAAGAATCCAACTTTTAATATTGACGCTGTTTGGTCAGTGCTTTCGATGAAAGTATTTTTTAAATGATTTATTTCACTCAAACTTCATCATGTGAACTAAATGAAATAAACCAAACCGTTTAAAAACCATAGTTGCGTATTGAAAATTTTAGAATTCCCGCTTTGACTCATCTGGGTCATTTTTATCGGTGGGGCATTTCAAAAGTTATCAAAATTCAGCTTTTGGAATAATAACAAGTGGATTTCTTAGTCTCGTAATCATGATAAACAAAGCGATTGCAATCTTATTGTTTGGCAAACAGCAACTATTACAGCTCTATCAAAGCAAATAATATTCCTGCAGGCCGATAATGTGTACGATGTGTAACTGCGATAGTAATCCGTTTTTACCCAAAGAAAAATAAGCTGGTCTCTTGGGTAGCATAGCGCATCAATCAAGTCAGAAGTGCTGTACGGAGATAACGCTAGTTTTTCGGCACCTGTTATCTTTGGTCTCGAGACACTCAAAAAATGCTCTTGACAACAAATTTCAGAACGACCGATTGCAAATATCTAAAGTCAAGAAACCTTGCTGGTGACTTTTAATTGGTCATGGCCGGAGGCAGAGATAACGCGACTGGACCAATATAAGGAGCAGAGGGACAGATCGAAAGCATTCCCACTAGCACCATGAGGACCGTCATTGCTCTGGCACTTCTCGTCGTCGCGGCTCAGGTATGATTCTAAAATAATTTTTTCCCTTGGAATTTTTGAACAAAAATATTTCAATAGGCCGTCGAATGGCAAAACATCAAGCCCCGACATGCCTATAGGAACACCATCAGGCCTGTTGGTACGTTTCGATATGGAAAATTCAAAATCGCAGAGAGTTAATTTTCTTCTCATAACTTTAAAGCCAGGCATAGCCGCATCGTCGGCGGAGTCATCGCCTCTCCTGGACAGTTCCCCTTCCAGGCCGGTCTCTACCTCGACGGCTCTGGTTTCTGCGGCGGCTCCCTCATCAGCGACACCGTTGTCATGACTGCTGCTCATTGCTGTGACGGGTAAATATAAATTTTCCATCTTTCTATTCTACTTTTGATTAAAACGAAATTAATTTTATTTTATAATATATGAAATTAAAATTGCAGAACTCGTACCTATGACGCTCATCTTGGCGCCCAAGTAATTGGCGACCAAACCGAGCCCAACCACCAGGTGGTCAGGTCCACCGACGGCCAGTTGCACGAGAACTACAACTCCTTCACCCTTGACAACGACATCTGCGTCATCCGCCTCCCCGCCCCCGTCTCTGGCAACGGCATTGCCTCGGTTCGTCTGCCCTCTCGCTCCCAGGTCGGAGAGACTTTCCAAGGCGTTGTCGCTACCTCGTCTGGATGGGGACGCCCGTCCGACGGTAGGTTATCAATTATAAATCAGAACGTGTGAAAGAAAATTGTTTGCATTTGTCTACAGCTGACCCGAGCATCAGCCAAGACCTCAGATTTGTCGATGATGTCACCATTATGTCCAACGCTGAGTGCGCCAGCTACTTTGGCAGCATCATCACTCCCAGGCACCTCTGCATTGACACAACCAATGGCGGAGTTTGCAACGTAATTAATAATGATTGTTAGTGAAAAATTGTGTACAATTTAATTTGTGCAGGGTGACTCTGGCGGCCCTCTGACCATCTTCGAAACCGACGGCGTGAAGACTCAGGTCGGTGTCACCAGCTTTGTGTCCTCTGCTGGTTGCGAATCTGGATCTCCCCACGGCTACTGCAGAGTTTCCGAGTACCTCGACTGGCTCGCGACCAACGCCGGAGTCACCATCCGCCCTTAATTGCCCAGACTGCCAACCCTTCACTCAAACCCCACTCACCTGTGATCATGTACCTTCTATTAAAAACATAATAGAGAAGCATGAAAATTAAATTTTTTTTGTTATTTTTCTACATAATTATACCCTCTATTATCTTGATTGCGATCGATTGTAGACTTTAATTCTAATTTACTTGAATGCATTTCATTTAAACTTGAAATTTACTTGAGCTCAAGGAGAAAACTTTTTTATGTAGTATAAATGGCAAAATTTTAAAAATTTAAATATTATTAAAATTATTGTTATTGTTGTCCATTCTACACAAATCAAGTCAAAATAGTTTCCTAGCATAAATTTTTAGTTGAGCGATGAAAATCACGTTGATCACGTTTTTGGTTGGCACGTGAACTTTACTAACATATATATTAACCATATTAACTAGTGATAGTGATCAATATAAAAAAAAACGCCCTTTTAATTTATATTTAATCTTAATTACGTACATCAGTATCTATAGCAAGCTTTTTTTTACCACACTGGACCTTAAACAATTAAAATTTAACATAAATGTTAATTTTTGATTGAAATTGAAAAAAAATTTGCTTCCAGAAACGTTCAAAGATATGTACCCGAAGCCCTAATGGCTAGATAATCCATGTCACACTCCACTCAAAACACCTACCCAATCCAATAATTATATATTTTCCTACACAAACCAGCCTAATATGAATTTAAAAATAGTACGGCATAGCGACAGCGGTGGCTCCGCGACAGAGTATGCAACTGGGTTGACTGTGAGGCCGAGCGGGTTGCTCACCTTTTTATACAGCAGGCACCTATTTCGAATTATGCAGTCATAAATTAGTGTGTTGTCTAAGTAAAAAAATGAGGCAAAATATTTAAAAAAAAAAAAAATACTATAGGATTTAAAGTAGGTTGAGAATATTATATTATTTTCCAATTCGATTTTTACGTAAGGAAATTATTTTCGCATCATGTATTGTGTGATTAACTGCTGGCAGAATAGCTTTTTTACAGGTATTGCAAAAAAATATTACAATTTTGTTCATCAGATACCAACAAATCATACCACAAACCAATCAACAGCTCAAAGGTTGGTTAGAAAAAAATTCAAGGCTGAGCGTTAATAGATGTATATAATATTATATCACTTTTTTTAATATCTACATTTTGTTATCGGGGAAAAAACGTTTTCAATACTTTCACGCTGGTCAGTGTCACGCAAACATGAATTCGGAAAAAACCAGACAGCTGGTATAACAATTATTATAGTAGCGCAGCACGCAATTTGTAAAAGCCATCATAACAACTTTGTATAAGATTTTCATTTAATTTAGACCAATTATATTTTAAATTATTTTTCATTGTACATTTAAATGTAAATATGCATTATTTGGGAAAATTTGAAGGGCAAAATTTTTGATGTTGTATAAATAAAATTAATAATCATTGATTAAAAAATCATTAAAAAAATCAAATGCAATTTGTTATTTTTGGCGAGAATCGTGTTAATTATTGGATGCAGTTGTGTATCATAATGCGTAGATGCTGGTCCATTGGGGCAGGGATGCTGCAGCGCATAGAGGGCGAGAGTGCATCTTCCGAAAAATGACTCATTCATTCATCGATTCGTGCGCGCGCACTGCACTCTCGCTGGTGCGGGCCGACTGCACCCGCCACTGCCGCGACTCGCACCCAGCCGTGTTTACAAATAGACGAGAGCTCGCCCGCTCCACAGCCAAATCTGCGTCGCTCGCACCAACCAAAGAAAAAACTTCTTTTTATTCAACTTTCGTCTGGGAAAATCTGAGGTGTCTCGGCTCGGTCGTCCGTGCGGATGCTGCGCCCCCGATGAGCCTGAAACCTTGCGAGTCACCACCTGCACCTGCAGCCAACGGAGCGCCAGCCAGGGATGCTGCGGGGGCGAACAACCAGGTGACCATTGAGCTGTGGGACCAAAGTCCTGCAGCCGCCCGCAGACTCCAGACACCTGGCTCGTCGCAGACATGCTCCGACGATCAAGATTTAAAGGGAAAAGAGCAGGTATGTTTTTTTTTTTTAACTTTTATACTTTTTCGTCTAACATAACATAAAATAAAAAAGGGATTTGTTTATTTTTTATGCACACATAAACAGAATAATGTGGTTTTTTTACACGTTTCATCAGATTTTTATTATTACTGCAAGTTTTTTACGTTTGCTTCTTTTTCGGAGCATCAACAGATTGGTTGAGCCTGAAAATCAATATAGCTTGTTCCATTTCGTAGTTGCTTACTTTTGACTATGTTTTAATAATTTTACTTTCCTTGAAGGGACAAAAAATTTTTTTTTTTTTTAAATAATCGTGAGAAGAAAACAATGTTTAATGAAAAAGTGAAATTTTTATTATATTCTGTCACACTGATGTGCTAGTAAGCATTCTTTCTCTTTTAATAAATTTTAGAAAATTACAATTTTCCTGTTCCCATGAAGAATATTAATCATCATGTGCAATTTAAGATAATCATGAATGTATAATTCTGGAACGGAGCTAGAAAAAAGCTTTAAAAACAAATGTTTACTGCTAAAATTGCACATTTAAAATTAAAAAATGACAGTTATCTCGCAATAGAACTAAATTTATGATATGAAAATTAAACGAGATTTTTTATTATTGAAATTAAAAAATAAAACTGACGAGATTTTATTGGAAGTGAAATCATGATCCTAGTTTAAGTATTAAGATTGTTAACGTTAGCATTAATATTTGAATTTAAAAGTAGAAAAATTAAATTTCTATAAACAGATATTTTCTCGCTTAATTTGAGAATCCTACAATTTATTTCTGTTTAAAAATAATTATATTTATATTCTCATCTTCTTGAATTAAATACCCAAAACGGCCGAAACAAACTTTCCTTTTGGGAAGCTTTTCAAATAAAAAAAAAAAAAAAAATGCTCACAACATCATTGTTAACAAGTTGTAAGCTGTCTGTGGAATTTTCAACTTTGGCGTCATAATCTCGTCACGAATTGCAAACAGAATAAACCTTAATTAATTAACTTACGTGACAATAAAAAGACTGAACAAAAACGGAACATGTCGCGCAGAAGTAAACCCGAATGGCATTCATAACAGCTTTTGTGTCGGTCGCGCTCCACACAATGGGTACAAATCATTTCTGCAAGCAACAACTACTCTCGAGGACAATGAGTATGGCTCCCAAAAAACGAGCAAAACCACTTTTTCCGCCAAGCCATTGTGCTGTGTATCTAAAGCGCACTGCTGGCGCATTAGATTAAATAAAACGGCTGCCATATTCAACTATACTTCGGGTTACGCAGCAATATATGCATTTATACGAGCCTAATATTATATTATTGTGCGATTTGGCCCCGTGCCCAGCACCCTGTGTGGACGCTATGTGACTTCGGGAGTCACACGCTTGGTAGCCTCTTTACAAACACTTGGCCGGATCAGAGTGCAGGCAGCGACGAATGTCAATGAGCACGACTCCGGGATGAGAGAGAGGGCGAGAAATAAAGCAGAGCCTTCCTTCTAATGCGAGAAAAGTTGAAAGAAGCTCGATTTGGTGAGCCTAACTAACTAACAAGGCTTTGACAAATCAAGCCATCTGCTCGGAAAGACAGGAAGTTTGGTTGGGGATAATAAAATGCTTCAACCTTTGATAAGGATGGACGATTAGAGTAAATTTGAGGGTGGAAGCACCAAATTAAGCTAGGCCGAATTCTTGTGTCATGAAAAGGATGGCTGTCAAAATTAGACCGTCTCCAATCATGATGAATTTGGTATTGGAGCAATAAATTTAGCCGTCAAGGCCCACCCTATTTTTAGACGACCGTGTAGACTTATAACTGAACAAGACGACCTATCAAGTGGAGCAAATGAGCTCTACTTAATTATATTTTGGTATGCTGTGTTTTAACAAATAGCATAAAATTAATTTTTTTACCGTAATTTTTAAAACCAAAACTATGGCTAATTTAAAAGAATTACAAAAATATTAAAAAGTAGAGGAATACAAAGATTAATGAAGATTTCAAATTTAAGCTCTGGGCCTTAAATTGATGTCAATTTTTTTTAATAAACATTTACATAAATTGTTTTACAACAGTGGTTTTTGTTTGAAGAAGTTGACACTCAAGGAGATGATGATGGAAAAGCCCGACTTTCTTCATTTCCAATAGTGGTTTTCTTATTTATTTAATTATTTTTATTATTATTAATTTCATCACTTTGCTCGGGAAGGTTAATGAAGACATTTGCAAGATTTTTCTTAATAAAGCAGTTTTATTCTTCTAAATTTAAAAATTTTTGTTAACAAAAAAATTCCTCAGATTAATTTTGCAAAAATTTCCTTAAAAGGAGCCATGATTGTTTAGTTAAATAATCATGAATTATTTTTTAAAATCATTTTCAAACAATTTATTTCTCATTATTTCTTAAACGGTGTTTTCTAATTGGGTAATCAGAGAGTGAATGAAGATCCCGCTCCTGATGCATTTCTGAACAAAACAAAGCTCGCGTGGCCTCGTGCATGCAAATGAGATTACTCTCTTTCTCTCCCCCATGCTGAGAATCAATAGGACGTGCTGTGTTAGTTGTCGGCCAGCGAGGCTGACGGGGGTGGTCGGGGGTTGATTAATCATGCTTGCCGTCACTTCTTCTGCTCGCACCGAACATCAATTTCTTCGGCGACGTGGTGTGGCCACGTTTACTCCATAATGGAAAACGATCCTGTTGGCGAAGCCATAAATCCTAATGTTCCAAGTGGGCAGAGGCTGGAAATCACAGGAGAAACGAAATCTGCACAGATTTTTCTCGTGTGGTGGCTGAGATAATGAACCATGGCTCTGCAACCCTCTAATTTTAACAAGTAGAAGAAACTCAAGAACTTCTTGCTGGGAGAGGAAAAGTCATAAGTCAAGTGTTTCTAAGCCTGTGTGCTCCTGTCTCACATCAATTAAGAAAAATTGTTATGACCTGGAGGCAGAGGTTTTTAATAGAGGGTGAACTTTTATTTTTTAGAATAAAGTTTCAAATTAAAATGTAAATGGAATTTTAAAAGGTTTAAAAAGTTTTATCTACACAACGTTATCTCATTTTTCTATATTAATTCTTTTTTTCTATAAATCACGCAAACCACGCTTTTGTTTGAATTATTTTCAACGTTTCAAACCGATGTTTGCTTTCATTTTAATCCCTATATCTTCTCGCTCCATCAAAGCCAATCTGCTGTTATTACCAACCAACCGCCACCGCATGAAATTGTTCACCTGTGTGTCATTCTCTCAAAATCGATAAATCTCATTTATCACATAAGCGTTTTCCATTCAACTGGTTTCCTATTCGCGGCGCCAGGCCAAGGCAAAGTATAGAGATTTGTTCGCGGGGAGATGACAAAAGTATGTCAATTCCGGGCTGATCCAGCGACGGATACGCTAGCTGAGCCGCCGGCGCTGAAATCAATATTAGAGGGACGCGACAGGTCACATCACACAGGGCAAACACGGGCGTGTGTTTTGCATAATGCATGGAAGCTACCGACAGGATTATTGTGATTGTTTCGTTGTTATGTCTTTCAATCAGATTACGATTGCCGACAGGTGCAATTTTGTGTTTTGATTGGGTAACGATTCGAACAATTTCTAAAAGTGTAATTTTTATTTTGCCCCTATTGTCATCTACAGTGACGCAAACAATACTATGTAAATTTCTACTGGAAATAAACTCTAACCTGATAGGATGATCTTCTGATGAATTGTAGGATAATGAAAATTTTTAAAAAATATAAATAAAATTATACAATTAAAAAAATAGAAAATATTATTTATATTACAATCAGTAAAAAAATAAATTTGTAAAATTTAAATGAAAAGCATAAAATAAATTTAAAAAGATTAAAATAGTTAATTGAAAATATTTTATTTTATTTGTTTTTTGAATACCCAAAAAAAATCTCTTTTTTTTTGTCTGTATTTTTTACAATAAATAATTCTTTTTAAACATTTAGCTAGAAATTATGTTGGAGTTGCAATAAAGTTCCAATAGTTTTACAATTAAAATTTTATTCGAATATATTTAATATAAATTAAATAATTTCTCAATTTAAATGAATTTTGTAATCATGAATTTTATAAATTATTGATATTTGAATTTTACTAGATTTTAATTTACAAATGTTTCATGTCGAATGAAGATTGGTTATTTAAAAAATCCAAAATTTCAGATTTTATCACTTTCTTGCCAATTCTTGTATTAATTAATCCGAATTAATCATTCTCAGGAAAAACCCATGCTCTCCATCCTATAATTACAATGCTTTGCCTGGATCTAGAGCAGCTAGGTCAAATAATGAATATTTCAAAGGCGGAGCCCGCGGTTAACGGACTTGTTGAATAATTGCACATGAACTGTATATTGCGCAGTGTGTGTTGTTTGGGAAGTAAACAAAGGAAGGAAGTAAATTCTAGCTGGAAATACTCTATTTAAAATGATACAGAGTCGTGCGTGCAGCAAAACCACTCTGGGAGGCGCCCGATTTTACGCTACATACCCTTAACCGTGATGCATGGACACGGCAAGTAAACGCGCCAAGGAAGCTAATCACTCTGAATCTGACAACTGACAATAAGCGAGTGAAAAAAAAACAGCTCGAAGCAATTAAATTAATTGACTCGCTTGGTTGCGCAAATGCGCACAACGTTTCTATGGTGCTCACTTTGCATTCAAAGAATAACTTTTATACATAATGGGAATGCTTTAATAAAAACATTTTTCTCTTTCAGATCAATTTTTTTCCTTCAAAAATTTCAGATCACGAAAGTAACTAATTAGACTAACGCTCTTTACATACGCTCAAAATATAATTTTTAAATTTAGATTAATAATTCATTTCCTTTTAATCGACCGAGAAAAATAAATAATAATGATACGCCAATTTTTTTTATTTAAGAGTGCTCTTTTCACAACATGTATATCAGAAATTTCCCACACATCTGTTTGCTAAATTAAATTAAATTTTTGAATTGTAACAAGATTTTTTGTTTTCTGATTTACAAAACGATCAAATTGAAAATATATCTGAATGGTGCCTCCTATTGATCAACATGTCAAACAAGTTACGTGCTGAGTACATTTTTGAAGGGGCAAAAGTAAATTATTCAGTGGCTTGCGCAAGTGTAAATAAACTTCTAACAATAAGTTAGTTGCCCATTGTCAGTAGAAGTTTGACAACAAACTAAAAAAGATGTTTTTCTTCTTTGTAATGTCCGTCTGATTGACAGAAAATCTATAAAAGTTGATAGTGTGTGACATGACAAAAACATTTTTTACTTACGTTTTTTGAGACATTTTCCACCTGGACTGACAATGAGAGGTGCAATTTTGGCTAACAATGCTAAATGCTTGTTAAATTTTAATTATTTTATTTAAGCTTTCCTACTTTCTTAATTTAAAAAAATTCAAGATTGAGACCTAATGTGGAAAATAAAAATTTAAAAATACACATTATATTATAATATTTAAAATCAGAACAATATATTATTTCACAATCAAAATCACTCGTGGGCTAATTTTTGAGCTGGACGAGAATGGTTAAATGTCTGAATATATCGATATATATTTGAAAAAAAGACAATCGCCAATATTTTTTGAGTAAAAATAAAAATAAATTTAATTTATGTTAGTTTTTTTTTAATATTTTTAATTTGCGAGCTCAATATCTTTTACTTTGATTGTTGCAGGTGGAGACGGAGTCGTCGTGCGTTGTTATAAGCCCGACCTCGGTGACTCTGGAAAGCAACGGCTGGTGCCCTCAGGAGGCAGCATCTAGACCACCCGCCACTGCGGTGATTGACCTCAAGACGGTGCACTTCAGCGTGGACACGGTTGAAGGGCGTCGGAGCCGCGGTGTTCAAGCGGTGCCACCGGACTTCCGGCTCCGTTCCGTGCCCAAGTTGCGCTGGACCAAAAAGTGCTGTGTGAAGAACGTTTTTGGAAACGTGCTGCGAGTGTTCGCGTCGCAGGTCGGCATGGCCGTGTTCCTACTGGTGTGGACGTTGGCGGGCGCGTGGTCGTTCCACGCGACCGAGGGCCCTCGTGAGGCCGCACTTGGACTCGACGTGCGTTTGATGCAGGGACGCTTGAGTGCCGCGCTCACCGACCAGCTCCACCAGCCAAACCAGCAGCACGCGTGGAAGATCGTCGAGGACGCGCTTCAGCGCCACGAGCACAGCGTCGCTGACGCCATCAACGCGGGCTACGCGAGCGGTGGCGTCGTCTGGAATTTTGCAGGGTCCCTTCTCTTTGCTGTCAATATGCTCACAACTATAGGTAATTTAATTTGGACCGTCTAAATAGAATTTAATCATTTCAATTTGAAGCGCTGGATATAAAAAAAATTAAAATGTTTAAATTTCCCTTGATTTTCATGTTTTGCTCCAAAATTTATAATGAAATTATGTATTTCGAAAAATTAACTCTGGAATTAAAATTGGCTCTTTTTTTCTAATTATCGTTGAAGAAAAAAAATTGATTTTTTTTTGCCAAATTCATATTATTAAATCTATACTAATTGAAATAAATATATAATATTCCATTGGGAAAATATTGGGAAAAATGAAGCCTTTTTTCAAACAAATCAACAGAAACGCTATTGAGTGGCTAAACTAATTTAAAATGCATAATAGCCCAAATTTTTATTTAAAATGAAAAAATAAATCTTTTAAATTAATTAACTACCCCTCTCTTTTTTGTTTAGGTTTTGGTGCTCCGGTTCCTCGGACGCTATTTGGCAGGACAGCTGCCTTGATCTACTCGGCCGTCGCCATCCCCCTGCACCTTATATGGGTAGTCAACTTTGGCGCGCTTGTGGCCGAAAACCTGCAGAAAGTGCTTGTTCGTCGACGCTCGTCCCAAATGAGTGACGACCTCACAAACCCAACCTGGTTCTCCTGGCTTCCTGTGGCCGCTATAATCTCGCACTATGTGTTTGGCATTGTCCTGTTCGGCGGGGTCGTGCTTTTTCCGCTACTCTTCACAACGGCCGGTGGAGTCGGACAGCGAAGTTCCATCGAACGGGCGGTGTACGCGGTGTATCTCGAGTGCGCCGTCATCATAGCAGGCATTTCTATCAATGTGTGGAGGATCTCAGCCTCGTCAGGCTTTCTCAGTTTTGGTCTCAGGCATAATTTGTTGGCCAGAAGGAAGGATTAAAAAAATTTGATGCGCACAATCAAAAGTAAAGAAATGAAGGAATGTGTTACAAAAGAAAGACTTTGTAGTTTATAAATATATTCTCTCTCTTCAGCGATAGAAAGACTCAAGGCATGTTAATTCATGTATCTCTTAAACAAAATACATACATATTATATTAATAAGAAGTTAATATATAGTCTGTTAAAATAATACGCCAGTGTGCCAGCACAATAAATCTATTTTACATTGTTAAACCTCTTAAACTGGACCATGCAATTGTTTATTTAGATTGAAAAAACCCTATCAAAATTCCACAAAAATTTATTTTATTTTGATCATGTCATATGCTTTATTTTTTTTTAACATCAAGCATGATATTCAAACCAAAAACTTTTACTGTGGCGGTTCAGCTCCGGACTGTGCTTCAATTAATTTAAAAATTTGCGATATAAGTTAGGAAATTTGTTCCACACTTTTCAAAAAAAAAAAAAATTATACATTACATTAAGGTCCGCTCGTCAGAAAATTTCGATTGTTGTCGAGCTCTCTGATTGGGTACAACTCTTATTGTACCCAATCAGAGAGCTCAAACAACAATCAAATCTTTTTTCATTGTTGCTGATGCGCGGACCTTGCATTACATTCAGTTATTCTTAATTGAATTTGCACTATATCATGAAGGTGTGGAAAAGGAAACCCTTATCTCATATTTCGTATGTTGCAAAAAGTCGAGTAAGTACACAAGGAACCTATCTAAATTTCAATTTCTGGATATATTGCAAATTAAATTTAAATAATTGAATTAATGCGTCATTTATTTCCATTTTTAAAATTTAACAATTTTAAATTTTTAAGATATCATAAAATAATTATGCTCAATTCCTTGGAATGGTAATATAATATCCTCTCAAAAGAAAATCTCGTCTAAATTGTGGAGACTGGTAAAAGGTACATTATCCTGCTAAGCATTGACAACCGCAAGAACTTGCTAAGTTTGAAGAGTGAAGTGTTATAGAAAATCACTGTTATTAAAAAAACTCATGACTGATAAGTAATTGATGCTTTACTAAATAAATAAATCTGAATACATTTACTTGAGAAATTATGATATATATATGAACTCAATATAGTTGGCACCTATTTGTGCTTTGAGATGATCTTCCTTCAATTCTGAAATCACTTGAACAAGTCTTTCCTCACTTGGAGTATCGGGGCTGGTCCTGCAGCATTAGGAATGGCTGCAGTGCCTGCAAAATAGTTATTATTAGAAATTTTTTAATTGGGACCTGAATGATTATCTACCAGTGCTAGCAGCAGCACTGGAAGTGGTGGGAAGGACTTGAATATCATCATTAGGAACTGGAAAGGGTGCTGGAGCGGCTCTAGGAAGTACACTCGGTGCAGCCGTCGGTTGATTGGATGTGCCAAGACCAGGAATGTAGTTGGCGAGTTGACCCATCAAAGCTGAGGCGGCATTGGAAAAGTTGTTCATCAGACCGTGATCTCGCTGAGCTTGGCTGACGTGATTCTGAAATGGTGCATTATAAGGCGCCCCATACAAGTTGGCTGGATTTATGTTGCTGGCCAAAGCGCTCAAGGTATTGGCTGCGCTTGCATTGGGAATTGCACCTTGCAAGTTTGGATTTCTCTGAAAAAAAAAAATGGTTTTAGCAAAAACCATTTTTCAATTCATGTTCTGTCAAAACTAGAATTAACCCAGTTTCACTTAAAATTTTAAACAATTTTAAATTACCATCAGATTTTCTCTAATCAAATTGTTCAGGTACTGCTGGGTATACTGCTGGTTGTCTCTTTGATTGGCAATCTGTTGCATTGCAGCCAGTCTTTGCTCTTGCAAGAGTTGGTCGTTGTTGAAATTATTACATTCTTTCCTCTGAGCCGCAATATCTTTCTCTCGCTCAAATTCTTCCCACGCTGCCTGCATTTCTTCTTCAGTAAGCTTTTCCTCAGGTCTGTCCTCCAGCAAAGAATCATGTTCAAAGTACGCTTGAATCAATTCCTTGTGCTTCTTGTACATTTCGGCCAGAAGTCGATCCTGTTTGGAAATATAAAATCAACTTTTGCTCTTTTCAAATCAAAATCTAACTCACTTTAGGAAAGCTGGGCATAATTTGTTCTTCATAAGGCTCAAAGCTGTACAACTCTTCCAAGTCAGCCTGGGTATAGTGCCGGTCGATTGTCTGCTTGTCGACAACTCGGCCCGAGAGAGCAAGCTTGGTCACTTGACGATCATAAATTTTCTCTTCCATGGTGCCCTGATTTTTTTAATTAAATATATTAAGGAACTGAAATATAAAGTTCTGCTTACAGCAGCCAAAAATCTATAGATGTAACAAGGTTTGGTTTGGCCAAAGCGATAGACGCGGAAGATGGACTGCATGTCATTTGAAGGGTTCCAGGAGGCGTCAAAGAGAATTACTCTGTTGGCGCCGACCATGTTGACACCTAGGCCTCCAGCCCTTGTAGACACTAGGAACAGTTTGGCCCTAAACAAATAAAATGAAAATAAAATTCATAAGAGCATTTTGCGTAGATTTTTACCTTGACTTGGGATTGTTGAACCTCTTGATCATGATTCCTCTGTTATCAATGCTTGTTTTTCCGTCAATACGGAAATAATCAAGTCCACTGTTCCACCTGCCTGTGAGACCGCAGAAGTACTCTTCCCTCTCTTCGTCTGTTGCATTGGACAATTTTTTTAAGAAGAATTCAATCAGCTCAAGGGCATAGAGGGACTGGCTGAAGACCAACAGCTTGTCTCCAATTTCCTGGCACTCCTTAAGAATGGAGAAGAGGAGGACCATTTTTGAGCCACTGCTCAGCATCTCCAGTTCGTTTTCTGTGATTAGACCCCTCCACCAAGCGTCTACGGTTACCATGTCTTCTGGACCAGGAAGTTCTTCCCCTGAAAAAAAAAACACAATTTGAAAAATTATTTTTAATTTTACCATGGAATAATGTTTCTCAATTACAAAAAAGTTAAACAACTACATCAAATATCATATTTTACCATGCTATTTAATAAAATTAAGTCATATTCATTAATTTTCTTCCCTCCGCAAATAATTCAATTTACATCCAGGCCATATGCATCAATAACCTTGATAGGAGATAAAAATTGTTTATTTGTAAGAAAGTAATAATGTAGCTAATAGTCGGTTGAAGTGGGTTGCATATATTATCCCATCATTGTGTTTTATTTAAATTTGGGGTTCTGGGTGGCAACAATGTTGGCCCCAATCATGCCCTTTTTATTTACAAGTAGTGTGAGTGGCTGTTTACAACAATAACAAAAATAATTATGTTAAACATTTAAAAAAGTTATTGTTGGGCAGAGTAGATTTATTTTCAAAATTTCCACATGGATTCAGAGCCAAAAAATGGAAGCAGTCCCCAAGAACAAACCTTTAGCTTGACCCACAAAGAGCCTGGGGCCGAGAAAAATGTCCCAAATATCCGTTTCACCGTTGAGGTAATCCTCGAATCTGAGGACTACAGCGAAACGGCGTCGCGGTTCAATCATCAAGAACCAAAACGCCAAGAACAGGGTGGATCATGCAACTCAACCGGCAGCAACAAAAATACAAACTGCTTCCAACCACCTTCTTCTTCGACTCCAGCAGCCAGGAGCGTTGCAGCAAGACCTGCTTTCCAAACTCGGGAGGTTGACTTTGACATCAACAAGAATGTGACACCATTAGCAGAATTCCATCGAAAGTCGTGCCCAGCAGTCATTAACAGCCAACAAAGTTTCAATCAAAATTACCCAGGCTGTAATAAGATGGAAATAAAAAAACGCCATTCCTGCCCTACGCAAGGTGCCCACATTCAAGACTATCAAGAAAAAAACTTTCTTTCAGACCAAAGCGCTTATTCTAAATTCTGCCATCAAGTAGGTGTATTTAAAATTTAAAAATAAGGCAAAAATGAAATTTTATTACTATTATTTTTCAGGAACAAAATTTGACGTTGGACGCAGAAGATTTTGGGACTCCATTCAACAATCCCATTATTCAGAAAACTCCAACTGCTCCTCTGCGTCAAGAAGGTCCTTCGCGGCTCATCCGTAAGACTTCTTCTACTGCGCCAAATGTGGCCCAAGGACAAAACATGTCCAAAGCTTCTGACAACACCTTTGAGATGCAGTCACCAGTATTATTTGTGCCTCAACAAGCATTGAAGCAGGTGAAATAAATTTTTAAGAAATTTCTCTTAAATTCTGAAACCAGGCAAACATCTACGCAAAGAAAAAATAAAAGACATCTGACCCCTTTTATTCCTCCCACTTAGTTTTAATTTGGACACTACAAAACCAAAACCCCTAGGTTTTTTAAAGTAGCAGCAGACCACAGGTCACCTTTTGGGGTCAGTTGTCTTTTAATTTTATTTTTCAACAAAGTATGCCTGTTTCAATTTTTCACGAAATCCACCTCGAGTGTTAACGTTCAATTTAACTCTTAAATTCTGGTATTATTTTTCCAGCGTTGGCAGCCAAACATTGAAAGGGATCCAACAGGAAATTACGCTTCAGTTATGCCTCACATGGATATAGACTTCAGCACATTCGGCATCTATGAAAACTTGACATCAGGAGAAACCGCCGTGAATAGTCGGGATGGAAACTCAAATGATCAGTCGCCGACAAGGTGCTTTTCAACTTTTTTTGCCTAGCTCATATATTAATAATTTAAAAAAAAAACTTCAGCAATCCAAGGCAGTCAAACACAACATTCCCGATTGATGGAAACATGAATCTGGCCCAGCAAAATCCTGATCAGACCTACAGCGTTCAGACCGATGAACCGAACGGCCAGGACCGTGGACTGACCTATTGCAGGCTTTGCTTGCGCCCTCTCCCCACTGACGAAGACTTCCAACGCCCACCCTTGCAGAGAAATGAAGACGAGCAGTATGGCAGCCGCAATGTGCAGGTCCCCGAGAGCGAAGCTACTAATTTGCATGTCATTTGTTTGCTTGATCGCCTCAGAAACGAGATTGGCAGGCTGATGCAGTGTTTGAACAAACAGTTTGAGCAAAAATAGTGAGAGGAATGGCAATGCATAAAAAAATTCTCAAGAACCGATAAAAAATTATTTTCTTTCTGCACCTAAACATTCAAAATTATATGATTAAAAAATTATTAGCTTTGCAAAATTGTGATGAATGTTTTGCTTGAATTTATTTTGCCATTCATTATATTTGTATCTTAGATTAAAATGAAATTATTTTTATTCCATTAAGAATTAGTTGCTTTTTTAAGTCTTCTTATTGGCACAAAGTCATTGTCTTTTCAACAATGAAAGCAGTTTTTGGCAATTATTGGAAAACGGTTGAAAATTTTAACCATGGATAACTGCTGTTAACGGTTTTTTTTCAATTGCCAACAATCTGCTTCTTAACAGAACAAAGCAACAATGCAAATCAACGGCTTTTTAAAAATAGCTTAGAGGGGGCAAGAACTTAAGAATATCAAACTGATTCTAAAAAAGAACATGGCCAGTGGGAAAGTTAGTTTGATTAAATTCCAAGCACGTCTTGTGCACTGCAAGGAAAAGGAACTGGACTGCGCTAACATGACACTGAAGGAATTTTTGGTGGAGCTGCAGAAATCGCCCGGCCAATGTCTCTACGAAGCTCAACGCATAAGAAACAAGCATAGACAGTCAGCAAGTTTGGAAGCAATGAGCGCAGCTGTGACGAGCATGCAAGAACACCTTCCAAATTTCTAATCCACCATTTCAAAATTAAATCAAAGTTAATATAAAAAAATATATCTACCATTTGCTACATCCTGCCTAGTGCATCTCTTTGAAGGCCCTGCGCCATCAGAATCAACAGAGGCTTCCGAGTCTTCTGTCGATGGTGTGCCAGAGCCATCATCTATGAAGTCTTTCAAAGAGCCAACAGAGTCACCATCAGAGTCCTAAATCAACATTTAAGCCAAAAATAATATATGGAAGACAAAATATGATGATTTACAATTTCCTTTTCTTCGTCCTGCAGAGCACGAAGTTTCAATCCATATGGATGATTCCACACTCGAAGAAGGTTCTGGTAGTCAGAAAAGAGGCATGCACCTTTCTGGGTGGTCATTTTTCGGGCACAGTTTGCCAAGAAATGCGAATAGAGTTTCAATTGGATCTCAGAGAGCCTGATTTTGATCACATACTCGAACTTATCCTGAAGATGAGGCTGCAGCACTGAATAGTCGTATCTCTAGAATTTTTTTAAATGAGCATTCACCAGGGCATCTACTGAAAATTAGATGTTACCTGAACAGATGGTTCAAGCATTTTGTGCAAAACGCAGGCTCGCTTTTTCATGATTTTCACTTGGATGGGAGTCGACTCCTTGTGCTGGCCACTCTTGATGGGATTCACAAATCTATTGGTGAACTCCTTTCTGTTTCCCAGGAAATTGGGTTTCACAAACTGCATCATGCAATGATCTAAACAATAATGAGTGAAGCTATTAACTACTATGGAAAAGTTAAGAATTTTTTTACATTCGATCAAGTTGTTCTGAAGGGGCGTGCCAGTCATTACGATTCTTCTCTTAGTCCGAATTCTGCTCATTACAATTGAAAGTTTTTTGTCTTCATTCTTCAAGACATGTCCCTCATCACAGATAATGATATCAGGGCCAGGATCAATCAGGGTTTTTTGGAAAGCTTTACGATCTGATGGCTTTCCTGCCTTTGATTCTGGATTTGCCATAATGCGGTATAGATCATAGCTGACAATCATTACTCCTCCTCTTCTCATCCAAGACTCCAAATGCGCCTTCCTTTCTGTAGGTCTTTTTACGCTAGATTTAAACATTCAAAAAACAATTAAAACTGTTCCAAATTTTCAATTGCAACAATTTTACTTGCTAAGGGTGAAAACATTACAGCTATACTCATCTTCATCAATGTCTTTGGTCCACATAGCAAATTCATTTTTCCAGTTTTCGACTGTTGTTAGAGGTGTGACGATGATAACTGTCTTGAATTCAAGAAGCTTGTTGGTCAAAATTGTGTGCACCAATGCCACAACCTGAATCATTGATTAGCCTGACAGTATTCTTCATAACCATAAGAACATACTTGCAAAGTTTTACCAAGACCCATGCAATGAGCCAAAATACAACCACTGCCCTCAGACTTCTTGGCTCGTTCAATGCTTTCGAAAACAGAGTCCCACATGAATTTAATGCCTTTGACCTGAAAAAATAAACGAGAATTTATACTCATTTGTAATATTAATCTTTCTCATAAATTACCTGATGTGGTTTCAACTTTGTGGCCATTTCCTCATGGACCTGTATGAGGGGTTCTTTGGTTTTAGGGTCAAACTCAAGGACCAACTCTTTTACATCAGCATCTAGAACTCGTTCAGACTTGATTTTGTTATACTGTTGGCAGATAAAAATTATTAACTTGGGAACTTAAGACTGTTTCTTAATGTTACCAGTTGCTGAAGCTCCTCTTGTCGCTTCAAACGTTCTTTCTCCTCTTTGGCTGCTGACTGTGTTGCTATCTCAAGCTCATTGTTTTTGAGAATTTTGCGTTTCCTCAGTTTGTTGGGGCTTCCAGATTCCTAAGGTCGATACAATAATTTTGTAAATAGCAAATTTACCATGGATCAACTTATCTTACATCTAATTTAGTTTGCCCTTCAAAGTAAACTTCACATTCTGAGTCTGTGCTGTTATCTAGTTGAACGATCCGCTTTCTTTTCTTCTTGCTAATTTTCAGTAAAAATTATGTTATTCATTGAAATAATGTATAATTTTTCTTACTTCTTGACATCATCAAAGAAATCACTAGATTCAGATTCTGACACAGGTTTTCGCTTGCGCTTTTTGGTTTTCTTTTTATCCTCGAATTCATCATCACTATTTGATTCCACAGCCACAATATCTTTATAATCTTCATCAGAATCATCAGAGTCAATTAACAGCTTCTTCTTAGGTCTAAGGTAAGAAAAAATTCATATTATACCATAACAAAAATTCAATTTCCTTACGCTTTGACGATTTCCTCTTCAGATGAGTCGAGATCAAGTCTTGTGTTGAGTTCCTTGGCCTTGGTCCATTGTGCATTTTTCTCTTCCTATTGAACAGAAAATTTTTATTAAAAAATTCAATAACAGAAATTTCACTCAAGTTACCTTATCATCACAACTAGTTTGGTCACTTTCAGACTTGTCTAATTTAACCTTCTTGCCAACTTTCTTCTTCTTTTCCTTGGTTTCGTCTATGATTATTTAAAATTAAGAATTTAATTGATAAAGTAACCAAAACAATATATTTATCAAGGATGGACGCGATCTCAAATTTTGCGATTGCTATCTTGAAAATTATAAATTGTGCGATTGCGATCTTGAAAATTATAAATTGTGCGATTGCGATCTTGAAATTAAAAATCACGCGATTGCGATCGCGATCAAAAATGTTGTGATTATTTGCGATGAAATATATTTAAAAAAAAAAAAAACATTTTCGAAGGTTTTTTTTTATCAATTCTGGTTTCAGAACAAAGAGTCCGGACAAAAATGAACTTCGTAAATGGAAGGTCTTTGTTTCAGAAATTTTTCTATCAAATTACTTGAAATTGAGTTTTTCTTCCAGATTTAGATTAAATTCTCCCAGATTAAGCATTAAAATTGCTTTCCACGATCGGAAAAAGATCACAAATGATCGTCTACGCTCAAGCACCTTTAGCGATTACGATCAGCCGATCATCTTTTCAAAAAATGGTGCGATTGTGATTTTGTCCATCCTTGATATTTATTGATGAGCTAACCTTCGACTTCTTCAGCCTCGTCATCCGAGTCAGACAGTAGAGCCTTCTTGGCTTCATTTTCTTCGTCCGAAGAGTCAAGAGCAGTCAAAACTTTCTTAGGGCCAGAATCAAGACCATTATCGGACTCTAATTCTTCTGGGGATGCATTGTCACCTAATTCCGAATCTCCACCTTTAAATCATTGATCACTAGCACGAATTATTATACTAGCGTAAATAGCCTTACCCATCTCATTTTTTAGAGATTTCGTTTTCTTAGACTTAGGTCGTGGCTTGCTTGACTTGCTTACAGAAGTGGGCTTTTCTATAGCATCCAAATTGCACAGGCTGTAAATGAAAAGAGGAGCTTATTGACAAATCTTTGTTTTAATCAATAAAGCAAACACTTTTACTAAATTATGTATACACTTAGGAAAAATTGAGTGGTAGATGAAGGCATTCTGATATAATTCTTGCCTTCAGACGAGGTATATAAGCTTGAGGCTATAGGAGCAATAAATTCTTACTTATCAATTTCAGCATCAGAGTCAGCCTGACGCGACTTTCTTCGGTGATTTGAAAGTAGATTGGAATCGTCTGTCTCCACTGCCAAAAGTTGCACAACAGGTGTCATGCTCAATTTTGCATCATCCTTAAACTCACCCCAATTGGATGGCTCAAACTTTGGGAGGGGCTCTTGGTCTTGCTCGACTTTTATTTTCTGCTTGCCTTCTTTTGATACTGATGCTTGACTCTGATTTTTGATGGACTTTTTCTTCTTGAAAATTTTTGGTTCCTCTTTGCGTTCTGTGTCAGAAGAATCATCCATAAGAAGGAGCCTCTTGCTTTCCTCTTCTTTGATCTTATTGGTCAAATCAAGGTCTTCAGAAAGCACATATTGAGGTTGATCTTGCTGGTATACTTTGGCCACCTCAGTATCACTGTCACTGAAATCTGTCTTTTCACTTGAGTTATCAGTTTTGTCAGTTTTTTCTACTGCAGCAGATTTTCCTGTTGATCCATCATTATCAGGTTCAGTAACATCTCCATTTTCATGAAAAAAATCTGGTGCTTCATCAGAGCAAGCGCTGTAGTATTCTTCTTTGACTTCAATCTCGACTTCCTTCTCGGAGGATTTTTCGTTGTGCCGCTGCCCAGAGCTCTTGGAATTCAACATGGTTTTGCTAGCAGGGCCAGGTTTTTTGCCTATCTTGCTCTTTGGGGTAGAAGATTTTTCTTCTTTTTCAGCATCATTTTTCTTATCTTTGATTTCAGATTTCTTTGTGGCCTTTGATTTTGTCTCTGTTGGCAGTTCCTTTTTCTCTATTTCAGTTTCGTACAAATCAGCAAACAGGTCATCCAGTGACTTATTGGGCTCATCCACAGCTAATTCCTCATTTTCTGAGATGATAGGTACTTCCCTTTTTTGAGTCTCAAGAAGGAGGGTGTTTGTATCAAAATCCTGCTCGTTATTGTCCCCAATTTCTTCCTCAACCTCTTCATCACTTTCCTTTATGACTCCACCTGCCTCGACTGATTGCTTTTCATCAGTTTCACCACCTTTATCACTTTCAGGCACTTGCGCCTCTTCTTCATCACCACCTTCGGATATGGGAGCCGGTTCTTCATCATCACCCTCGGATACGGGAGCCTGTTCTTCATCATCACCCTCGGATATGGGAGCCTGTTCTTCATCATCACCCTCGGATATGGGAGCCTGTTCTTCATCATCACCCTCGGATTCGGGAACCTGTTCTTTCTTCAAATTATTTTTGTCTTTTCCATTAGCTTCAGCTTCGTCAAGTGATGAATTGTGTCGTTGGTGCCATTTTGAGAAGTCGGTCTGCATATTGCCCTTAAAGACTCCAACATGTTTGTAGAACTTTGAGAAATGTTTGTAAATCTTTTTGCACAAAGCATACACTTCTTCATGGCTTGAGTTTTTGTCAATTTTGGTAGCCATTGTTTTGAGTTTTAATGTGATGTCGGCATTTCTGGAGTTTAATTTCTCAAATGCAGTCAAAGTTTCCAAAATCCAATCTACATTTTGCTCTTCTTCAGCAGAACTGGACAGAAATTGATCTTCGTCAGGTGCAAAACTCGTGGATGGCTTTGGTTCCTTTGTCCTTGCTTCCTTAGTAGCAGGGCAGTCTACTTTATCCACATCTGATGTTTTTGAATGTTTAATCTTAGTCTCCACTTTAAACTTTTCCTGCAAGCATGCAAAATAAAAATATAAATTATTCATGTAAAATCTTTAAGCTATATTGTGCACAGTAAAATCACATACCATTATTTTCTGGTCTTTTCTTGTCCGTTTGCTACTTTCAGAGCTTGAATCCCGAGTTGCAGGTTTTTTGCTAGTATGTTTTTTGGCAACTTCCTTGCTCTTTCGAGACACATTCTTCAAAGGTTCATCATCCTCCGAGCTACTATTTTCTTGCCGTGTTTTCTGAGACTTTTTTCCACTGCGCCACCTAGTAGGAGATTCTTCACTGCTATCTCTTGAATTCTTCTTCTGTTTCTTCTTCTTGGGTTTCTTTGTAGTCTCAGAATCACTGCTGGGTGTTGAAGATTTTGCTCGTTTTCTTGGCGTGTGGCTGTTACTTTTTTGTGCTCGCCGAAACTTCATTCTTGCCTTTTGAGTTGGAGTCTTATAGCGAGCTCTACTTCTTTTATCATCAGAGTCAGACGCATCTTCAGAGGATCTGCTTGAAGGATCTGCATTGGGATCTTCGTCATCAGCGGCAACAAATGTGCGGTTCCGCTTTTTCAAAACTCGGGGGCCATCCTCCGAACCTGATTCGTCATCTTCAGTACCTGATTCGTCATCTCCAGTACTTTCCTTGTTTTTTCCTCCTTTTTTCGGAGATTCCATTCTTTCCAAAGTCTTGATCCTTAATAGTTGCAGCATATTTGGTTCTAATTTTTCTCTGAAATGACATTGACTCTCATCGAAACTTGGAGGTGACTATTTTGGGAATCCCATCAACCATTTGGTTATAGTTATCTACAGTTGGTTTTAATTTTTTACAGCAAGTCAAATATTTCAGTCCAGGCACAATCTTTAGTTCAAAAGTGGACATGCGCTTGAAAAAGACAATAACACAGTGCATGCTTTCAGATTGCAAACAGTGAGATTAATTTTTAAATATAATTTGATGCGCTGCACAAATATAACAATGGATAACACAGAATTTTTCACAAATCCTTTATGGAATATCAATAAATACATTAACTAAAAAATTTTGAAAACAAAGCTTAAATCTTGGTAAAATGATGGCAGTAGAAATTTTTACCAATTTTTATACTCCAGATTTTAAACAATAGCTTGTTAGAACATTAGAAATAAATATTAAATTCCTTGGATTCGAAATGTAGGCTTGTATAGTTACAAGTCAAAATAAGTATGTGTAACTCTCAACAAAGAAGATGGCAAAAAAACAAAAATCATCTCACCTCTTTTTCCTCTCAATTCTTTTGACTGTGGCGTCACAATAGGCTCTCAATTTCCAAAGCGGCTTGATGTTGCACAAGTAGCAATGCCAATCGTCAGCTGCCACCTTTTCAAATTCCTTTTCAGCCAGGTTGTTTTTTATGCATGTCTTCAATTTTTATAGCTATTAATATACCATGCATACTCAAAATTTTAAAATTTACCTTGCAGAAGGCTCCTTTCTTGCAACCGCTGCAGTAATTCAACTTTCCTCCTTCCCCACACCAAGTGCAGTACTTTTGGTCACCTTCCTCGTCTTCAGAGAAATCGCCTGAGTTGTAAAATTTGTAGCATTTCTAATTTCAGAACAAAATTTTACTCTAAGAAAATGTTACTTATTTTTAGATTAATTACCTTGCAAATGCACACTCCAAGGACAGGGTGTATGTGCACATCATTGCTGAAAACACCAGTCCTGCAAACGCTGCACGGTCGTTTCATGTCTTCTGCTTTAGACTCTATGTCTGCAAGTGCCAGAAATATATTTAAATTGTGACCATATATTTCTTATATATTTGCTTCAAAGTTTTTTTATCGCCACGTCAGTAGACTTTGTACAGAAACATTGAGTTTAAATAATGTAAAGCTACGGCAGAAGTTTAGTGGATCTTGAAGTAAAAAAAAATTGTAGAAAGCAAGAAAAATGTGAATAATACAATTTAAGTTAAAATTTTCACAAAATATAATTATATTTTATGTCCATTACAAAATCCTGCCTTCTTTTATTATTTGCCAACACAAACTTAGTTGAATGCTGTTCAAAAATTTATTAAAAAATTATCTATTCTTAGAATAAAATTATAAAAAAATATCAAATTCATCCTCACCCTCCTCATTTTGGCGTCGCCATTCACGTTCTTTTGCAGTAACTTCAATCATCTCCATCATCTTGAATTTGTATTTGCTGCTAGTTAAAAAGATCTATGTATGTATAGTTGTATACTCAAAGGTGGAACTTTTCACTATTTTGCTGACCGATGTCTTAGTCTGTTCGAGAGCCGCCGACGCCGCCGTACTCCATTATGTGCCAATGCCAATATACTGAAAGCATTTTTAACAAAAACTGTGGAAATACAATCTAAAATAACTAAACATTCCAGGGTAGCAAACGCTATTTTTAGAAGCTTATTTTTTTCGGAAATGGCTAATGTAACTTATAATTTTGTTTATGAAGTGATAAATGCTGTTGAAACAACGAAATCTGCTTACCGATAATGTGGAAGTGCAAGAATTTTCGTGGCGAACAACGGCCATCGGCAATTTGGAGGCAAAAAGGGGGTGTGGGCACAAAACAACTTGCGAGGGAGCGCACAGCGCGCTGCTACCATGATCCACTTTTGAATTCAAAGGGGGAAAATAATTGCTTGCAGATTTGCAGTGGCGTTTGCGTGATGTAAAAAACAGTAAGGTAAAAATATTATTATAGAGTTGCTCTATTTTTCATAATAGAAAAGGGTTAAAATATAATAAATAAATAACCGTCCAAATTTTATCTTTCAATTTTTAATTTATTTATCTCTGGTATTTTTGGATAAAGGAATCTGCTCGAATAAAGAAAGTGCATTAGTTGTTAATTATTATTATGTCTATTATATAAAGATACCAGATATTAGAAGGTGGGTGTAAGCATTATTAACTATTTGATAGCAACAGCACATATTTTGCAATATGGACACTTCAGATTCGTTCAGATTAATTTTCATGGATACAATGCACCTTTTTTTAAAATTTAGCAGATTACAACTAATTACAACAAAGAGAATCGCTGGCATCCATATCCATGGTGGCAAGTGATGTCTCATTCGAAAGGTTACAGAATTTGCTTTATTTTTAATTCCATTTAGAGAAAACGACATTTTTCAACTCTTTATGATTAAGAGCACAAATATACACGCTTTTGTAAAATATTATGGCAGAGAAAGATTTGTACATCAATAAAAAATGCTGTTTCAGTTTCACCCTAACACGATTACCAAATTTTTGTGCATTTTTGCCAATCTCGCATTCTGCTAACAATCCAATTTTAAAATACACAATGTTATTCCTCTTGGGGGTTGCTCACTAAAAATAAATTTGACTCGATTTGCTTCAAAAAGTGACATTTTATCACTTGTTAATAAGCAGTTATTAAACTCCGCGCACCATTTTGGGAGTGGATACCCTATAAAAGCAATACTGGAAGATCTAAAAATTAAAAAAGTTGCTTCCCAATTTTCCAGAAAGCCTTCCAAAAAAAAGGTTAACTTAAGCAATCTGGATTTTGAATCCAGACCTCAGAACATGTGATGTTGATCTTGTCTGCGGTCTTCGACCTTTACTCCTCGTCAGAGGCCTTCTCCGGCCCTCACTTGCTGCCCTGACTGTCGGGGCATTCTTTTTCCTGGCCAGCATGCTTTTCCGCTTGTTGAGTCGATCACCCTGCGTTTCGTGCTCCTTCTCGTCCTTTTCCTCAGCATCATCCGAAGAGGTTGAAGACGTTTCATCATTGAGCCCAATGGTGTCCACCTTTTCCAATATGTTGTTCATCATCAAGTCCTTCAAGCTGGACAGTTGGATGTTTGGTCGACCCTTGATGCTGTAGACACCAAAATTGTGCATTGGGACAGGGTAGTTACGACCCTGTTCGAGCATTAGCGACTCTTTTTTCAACACCCAGTTCTGCTGGTTGCCAATGACGCTGCCCGGGCGGCAGATGCGCAGCCAGGCAATGGCCTCCATGGCTGTAAACTTGTAGTGCTTGATCATGTAGCAGGCTATGAGGGTACCGGTGCGACCAAGTCCAGCTTTGCAGTGCACGGCAATCATGCCGTTGCTCTCCTCACAGGCGCGCAGGAACTTTTTCAAAATCTCATCACAAGGGGTGCTGCCATCACGAAAAAAGAGATCCTCATGCTTGAAGCCGGCCTTTACAAAGTCCTCAGCCTCATAAAATTTAGCGTTCAGCCGAATGATTGTGCTCACATTGTTGCTTTTGAAGTAATCAAAGTACTTGTCGGGTGCAAAATAGGGGTATCCGTTACGGATTTCTGTTCGCTCAGCCGGTCCACGGAAAGCAAGGAATTTGTCAGGAACCAGCAGATTCAAATCTCCATTGTGCACCTAGGATAAATGTAAACAAAATTTATTTTAATATTTATAAAAAATAATGGGAATATTACAGAGTTGTGCAATGAAATGATAATAATTAATAATGGAACTATAATTACCTGTTCATAATGCTCATATTCAGCATAGTTAAAGTCGTCAAAGTTGAAAAACCCTAGTTTGTGCGCTTTTTCGACAGCCTTGAGAGTGTCGGACAAATCCATGTATGATGCCACTTCTGAGGGCAGGTACGAGGCGTCCCTAAATTTGATGTATGGGCCGCCTTTCTGCAATATGCTGATCACCTCTTTAGCCGTCCGATTTAGGTAGACGATGGCATAAGTTCCAATAAGGAATGCAGCATTCACAGCCCTCTTCTTCAAAGCCTTCTCCGGCGTTCCGCCCAGAATGCAGTGGACAATTTTTTTGTGCTTGTGCTCAGGGGTGTAGTGCAACTTGTCGTTCAAGAACTCGCAGTAGCGATGGATCATGGCTAGGTTGAATGGGCCAAAGTCTTTGAAGAAGCTCAAGTACTCTATGTCGTCGCCGGTGACAAAACAGTGGATATCGTCACCTATGTCTGTGTCGGGCGTGATGGGCTTTGAGTTGAAGTACAGACGGCCCTTGAGGATCTCGCAGCAGCCTGAGAGGAAGCTGTGGTTGTCGTTTTCTATGTCGGACATCGTAATCTGCTTCTTCTTTTTCTTTCCTGTTGTAATAACGTTCGCTGGTCTGCAAAAATATGCAAAGATTATTATCTCAACTCAATTCAAACATAAAAAATATGAATTATTTTTTAAAATGACCCACTTTGCAAATTTAAATTTTATATCAAACATCTTTCAAAGAAACTAATTTTGGAACTTATTCAACTATTAATATTGAAGTTCAACAAACGCAAAGATTTTGTTTAATCCATTTGACCAAGACATTAATTCCCATTTTATTTCTACATCTATTTGATTTAATTTCCTATAGTTTTAAACTAATTATAAAAATTATGTAATACAAAAACTATATGAATGCACGGTATTCGATGGAAAAAATTGATCCACTGTAAAATTGAAAGAAAACCATGTTTGATACGTGGGCGAGGCGCACATTCGCACAACCACTGAACCCGACGGAACCCAGCAAAGCCAAACGTTATGAACAAAGATGGGATTAAAATCGAGTTTTAAGTTGATTTTGACAAATAGTCTGGACACATACTTTTTCCTCTTCAAAAACTGAGGCATTTATCCACTAATCGCGCCTTTGTACAACACTCCACTCCCGTGTCGAACCTGCAAAGTCGCAAAACATTTTGTAAACAAACATTGGCACATGGCAAAATAAACGGTTTTTGTTGCGAAACGCACGCATCAAATGACAGAACAACAAAATATTTCGATGCATTTACCAGTTACTGGTCTTTCCAAACAGAAGAAGAACTGCGGATAGCCGGTTTTTGCCGAAAATTGATCAATTTTTAGTAGTAACTGCCCATTGTTCAACCGCCTTGCCTGTCACCCCCGTAGACCTTTTAAATTACGCACCCTCAGTAGAACGGATGTGACGTCATTCAACATGGCCGCGGTGAGCACCAGCTGAATTTGCTGCATTCTTGCCTCTGGCATAACGACTATTCGACTCAAAAATTTGCACAAAGTCGCGATGAACCGCTTACGAATTTAACAAGAAACCATCTGCATTTTTCTGTGAAAGCATTTAACGATTGGCTGACTCTGATTAGCCGTATTTAACGAAATCAAGGTATGATCTTAAAACAAGAAAAACGAAGGTTCATTTTATATTTGATCCGTGTTATTATTTTGTCGCTTGGACTTAATCCGTCCTTGCTTTACCCAAGAGGTCATCTGGAGTTTGTACGGCTTTCGGGCCAAGCTTAGAGCATAGGGTATAATTTATTCATTTCTCTGCTAACTTTCCTCGAGTTGGTTTCAGTGGTTTTAGAGACAAGCTATGAGGAACTTAGTTTTTTCGAACATTTTCATCTCGAACAGGGTACACTTTATTTTTTCCATAATTATATTTTTACCACTATTAAATGTCATGGGAGTTATGACGAAGGTTTTTAGATTTTATCAGATATTAAGCAAGCTTCCAATTATTGCTCTATAAATCTAATTCTTTATACATCATAGATGTCGAACATGTCAAGCCCTAGTAGACGATCGGTGGACAATGACCCTTTTTATGACACCGACTTCACTGCTGACATTAGCCACAAAATGAGAGTACCCAAGCACATCACTGCTTCTGGTATTATTATATAAGATTAATTTTAATACATTAGAATAATTGTTTCTTTGAATAGGAGATGCCGCCGATGATCGACAAGACCATTGGATTCGATCAACTGATTTTCAAGAAAAATTTGAGATGTACGTCCCTGACAGAATATTGGTTGTTGGTAAGCAAAGATTAATTGACGTGGCTAATTTGAAGATTAATTATTATTTTAAAAGGACAAGAACAACACATTGGCACAAAAGCTCCACCCCGTGAACTTCAGCTGGAGAATGCGGTCATGCCGCCCGACCCAGGATTTATTCGAGTCCAGGTTGGTCCTCTCGTAACTTTTTATTTCATTTTAGATAATACATTTTTAATTGTATTAGACTCCTCCAAGAGTAATTTCGCTTGACGAGCATTTCATACCTGCTGCTGACGAACCTACCTTCAACCATCAAAGGGAATTCAAAAATTCTCCTCCAACCTTAAACGGATTTGTTTCAAGAAATGATTACAACAAGAAAATGGATATAACGTTGAGGTATGCTGTCATAAAATTTGTGCCCCTTCAGATTGCTTACAAATGCAGAAAACGGTATTACATATCTTACATAATAATCTTTTACAGGGAAACGACTCCGCCAAATGGTACTGCGGACATCTCAATGAATATGACTGGCCTCACCCCAGCCGAAGAAGTATTGCACCTTCGTCGCCAGGTTGTCAAGTTGAGCCGCAGGGTGATGGCCGTTGAGCTAGATTTGCAGCAGCAGCAGCAGAGGCAACAAATATTGTTGGGCCTTGGAATAGCCTACTTCCTTGTCAAGTCTGTCGTGTGGATCACACGGTCTAGTTAAATGACCATGTTCGAAAAGTTTCACGGGATACAGATTGTCAGTTCTTTATTCTTTTGTACATAACGAAGGAAACTTCATTTATTTAGCCACTACTCGCTTCAATTCAATTTGGTTAAGACTGTTCTCTTCGACTTAGTTGCCTATCCAAATATTTCCTTGGTCTCGCAATGCTGACTATTTGGTAAACAAGAATTTTGTAGATTAATCAATAAAACTTGTTAAGGACTCTCCCGAACATTGGCTTACATTTTTCACCAACAAATACACTCCTGCACCGCTGTTTTGTCAAGTGAGTTATATAAATGCTTTTAGAAAATAGGTATGATAGAAAGTAAAAATTAAGAAAGTGTTTGTGTAATGTGAAAACCATAGATGCACAGAACAAAAAAGTCAACTAGTTGTATATAACTAAGATAATTAACTTAAAAATATATTGTATGACATACACATAGAATAATGTAAGAAATTTTTTCAAATTGTTGCATAACATTTTAAAGAAAACTGCTTTTGTGTAATATTTCCTGCTTTTTAGACCCTGCACTTAGTTATGATGAATAAAGCCTCTGGCTCATTTCCACTTTCACTGGGTCTGTGGTGGTTGTATGCCTATAAATATTTAAGCAAGGCCATGGGTTGTCACAGTTCAACCGAAGCACTCGAACAACAACTTACAAGAGGCTACAAAGTTTTAATTATCAGTCTCTGCTCAGGGAAAATGATCCGAGTGCTTAGTCTTGCTGCCGTTGTGGCCACTTTTGCCCTCGTCTCGGGCCAGGCTCAGAAAGGGCGTATTCTGGAACCACCCGTGCCAGCTCTGTGCGCCCAAAGTAAGTTATTTTTCCTAAAAATTGAGTATTTTATTCAAAAAATCAATGTGCGATAGGAAAAATTCATGAGCGCTTTGGAGGCAAGGGTTATTTCTTCTCTTGGAAAGAACCCAGCACTGCCGGACAAGAAAAGGACTGGCTTGATGGAAGAAATTATTGCCGACAGCGTTGCATGGACCTTGTCAGCCCGGATTCGAAGCCAGAAAACGACTTCATCAAGTCACGTATTGTCAGAGGTAAAGTTTAAAAAAATTGTATTTAAAAAAAAAAATTTCCAATTGAAAATCCAGACAAGGTGAAGTATATCTGGACTTCTGGACGTCTTTGCGACTTTAAGGGCTGCGATCGCCCCGACTTGAAGCCCCTGAACGTTAATGGATGGTTCTGGACTGCTGAACTCAAGAAGCTGCCCCCAACCACCGACAGGATCAACAATGATTGGAGCCCTTCAGGCGGGTAAAAGAAAAAAAAAATCATTTTTACCAGAGTCCCAAACTCTTCTGATTTTTTTAATTTCTAGACTTGGACGTCCTCAGCCAGACAACCGTGAGGCCGCCCAGGGAGGAGCCACCGAAAACTGCTTGGCCATATTGAACCAGTTCTACAAGGACGGAGTCAACTGGCACGATGTTGCCTGCCACCACTTCAAGCCTTGGGTGTGCGAGGAGAACCAATCACTGCTCAGCTATGTTAGAGCTACAAACCCCACACTCAGAATCTAAATATGTTGTTCTGTAAAAAATATGGATTTTTTGTAATAAAATCAGTGTTTCGACAACAATTATTATAAAATTTAAATTATCACATCTGCTGAATACCAAAAATAATCTAATAAAATAAATTTAAATTCTGGGGCGAGTGAGGTTTGTCAGTAGCCAAGTTCTTCGATTAATCCCAAAAGCACATGTCGGACGCGCTTGTTATTCTGACAGGCACAATTCACCAGTGCAGCCAGTTGTCTTCCCGAATACTCCTTAAAAAAGAAATTGCTCAATTTGAACTAATTTATTTTTGTATATTTTACCTTATGACTTCGGATCCAAGTTTCTAAGGCAGGCTCAGGTAGATAATACGCTTTGATGTATTGTTCAACAATGTCCTTGCCTGGTATTGGTCGAAGTTCAGCAAGTTTCTCTAATTTGGAAGCAAATTGTGTAAAATCCAACTGCATTAGTCCTCGGCCACCATTAGAGCACTTCTTAGCATTTGAAAAGCTGGTCATTTACCAAAATTAAATTATCAACTTGGAAAAAGATAAAAAATATGTATATTTACCCTTCGACAAATGCATTGCACACCAAGTGTGAAAGAAACTGCCACAGCAAAACTTTTGTGGATTTAGGAATTGGCGTTCTTTTGGAAATTTCAGATAACCTCATACTAAATATCTGAAGTTCCTGAAAATTGAATATGAATTATATACAACACTATATAAATATTGAGGATCGAGATCAAAGAGCATCCGTTTTGCAATATAATTATATAGAGTGCTTGATATTTTATTTACCCTCAGTATAAAGTCTACGTAAGGGCTGTGCAGACTCATGACGTCTCGCACCTCCCAATTGACTTTTGACATCTGTGTCAACAACTGCCGCAGATCAACGGCATGCCAAGCAATGTTCATGTAGATAGGTTTACGCAAGTCCTCTGCTACACTGACCTAAATTTATTTTTATTTTTCTAACTGTAAAAAGGAAGCCTTAGAAAGACCGTAATATACCTGAGAGTAAAAATGATCAAGAGCTGGCCACTGATCACTAGGCAACAGTCCTTGGATTTGAGAGCGCAAGTTTAAAACTTGGTTTGCTAAAAATGATAGCGATTCAACTGCAACAACACATTCAGCTAACCCATGTAAATCTTCTGGGCTATCCAAGTTAACAATTGGTGAGAGCTCAGGTGGAGTTACCTGCAATTTAAATTTAAAATACTGTGTAAAATTAATGATTATATCTACTTTGGCGTCAGCGAATTCTAGAGTTTCTTGATTATTGCCAGGCTTTATTATAAGGTTTTCTTTGATCCGCAGTAAGTTAGATTGCAATTGATATGTGTATTCAAATTCTCTGGTTGAAGGCTAAATACAATTTTTGTTATTAGTACCTCAGGAGATTATTTTCTTAATAATTGCAAGTCTAGTTCAGGAATTACCTTTTCCTTTGCAAAGAATGAGTGAATCACATAGAGGTATAAATCAAACAACTGTGTAAGACGTCTCAAGATATCCAGCGCTATCGGCTGCAGCAGATGCATCATCCAAAGGTAACGTCCAATCAAACGTAAAACAGATAATGTGGTATTGGCAACAAGAACTGTGTGCCTCTCTCTAATTCAATTAAATGATTTTATATATAATTTTTTCTAAGCTGTTCAGCATATACTACCTTGTGTGTCCGATCCTACCGTTTGTGTCATCATCACTATCATCACTTGAGTTGTTCTAAAAGTATAAAGGTCTTTAAAAGGCTAAATAAAACAAATATGTATCCGTACCCCATTACTGGTAAAAAAATCCTCTTCTACAGACATTTCCGACTTTAGATCAAATGGCGTCGAATTTGATGATCGAGGATGTCGGGAGAAAAATCCATCAATGCTGCTACTGGATGATATTGATGAGCTCAGTCTACTTTTGCTTACTTCAGGAAATGAAACGGCCCAGCGGAACTCCTGGAGTTTTATTGGGGAATTTAGTTTTTTTTTTTTTTTTTTTTTTTTAATATTTGTTAACATACCTGGAGCTGAAGGGCGTTGAAATTTGATCGAACTGGACAATGTGCCCAACCTTCGTTTTCGAGAAACATGCACAACTCATCAAGTCGAGCTTGATGGTACGACCTCAAGTAGCTCAAACTTTGACTTCGTGCGGCATTTTGCAAATCTATGGAGTTTGCATTCTCACAAAATTCTTCTCCAACTCTGGCAAGCCTAAGTAAAATTTCTTATGTAAAAAAAGTAGTGAGTTATGCACAAATACCAACTTATCAACAAGATCCAGGATGCAAAGGAACTCATCAAATTTATAGTTAGATGGGTCACATGCGATTATCAAAGAAGCAACTTTGCTCTGCATATCTTGCCAAATACTACTACGGCCCTTTTCCAGCTTTTGTTTTATGTGCTGTGTGGCCATTGCAACTTCAACAGTTTCTGTTCGGCGACCTAAAATACCAAAATATTACATGCAAGTTTTGAAATAAAACTGAAAAAATACTTGGTGATTTGGGGATCTTATGCATGTGCCACTTTGAAACCTCGCGGTAGCAACAAGCAATGTTCCACAGAGACTTGCAAAGTTCAGTTAAACAAGGAACAAAATTTTCCTTCGAAATGAACTGAAGAAGAATAAAGAATTAATAATTAAAAATTGAAAAATAAACATTTAAACAACCTTGCACAATTCAGGATATGATTTTTTACTTGCGCCAAGTATGTTAGGTTGCAAGTAATTTGAAACTGTTGAAAATGAAATATTTTGAACAGCTGAATAGAAGTGCATCAAAAGTTGATCAGCAGCTATTTGACTTTTTCCAAGAAGGGAGTAAGCATCTTGAAGTTTAGTATACACTTCGGATTTGAAATCTAAACACGACTGTAAAAAAAAATAAGAGATTTAATTTTTCAAAATAATTCAATCTCTCTTACATTTGCTAGAGCTTGGTCTAATGATTCTTCAGCCATTTCCAATGTGTCTTGGAGCTGGGAATTTAGAGCAGCAACACATTTGAAGTGGCGAAAGGTACTGGCAACACTTTGACACTCTATTAGGAGGTTGATGGCTCCAGCAAAGTCTCCTTCCCTCAACAAATCTTGTAGTTGCTCCTTCGTGCATTGCTGGCGATAAAAGAAATTGTCAGAATTATCAATATTGACTTAGAAATGAGAATACCAATGTCTTAATAGAGGACAGTGATTTCAAAAGATTTACAGCTCTTTGACGCTTCCTGTAGTTTGCCAAAAGTCCTAAACTTGCAGTAGTGAACTGCTGCTTTGCAATATTCAATTGGGAGCGCCCTGACTTGCATGACTCTACTGATGACTTCAATTTGTCTTGAATTTCCACTATTCTAAATATCAGATGATTATGAAATTATGTTCAAACATATTTAGGTAATAATAAGACCGACCTTTCAAATTCTTTTTGACAGGATGGCTGCTGTTTAAGAATTAGCTGCAACGCCTGGTTTAGAACCACAGCTCTTTGCCGATTCAAAACTTTGAGATTCCTTTGGATTTCATCACACTGGAGGGTTGCTGACAGTTTCTAGGATAAACAATTAAAAATTAAAATTAAAGAAACTAAACGACAATGCAAACTTGTGCTGCACGATGCAGGAAACACAAAAATGCCGCACTGAGAATGCATTCTCTATACAATATGGTAAAGTTTTTTTCAATCAAGAAAAAAACGCAAATAAGTTTTTATACCTTTAGTTCATATTTGGCCAAGTCAAAATCATTTTCTACAAAGTAGATTTGTTCAATAGACTTCAAAATTTCTTGATCTGTAGTTTGGTCATCTAATTCCTTTAAGTCAGTAGATTTAAGATGCACTCCAAGGTTTGCAACCGTGTCTCTGTTAGCAGGTAATATCACAGATTCTCCTGTGCCGTCCCCCTCAAAAGAAGTCGATGCCCTCCTCCATTGTCCTTGCTAAAAATAACAACCGCAGACAATATTAATTACCGTTTTGTATGTTCAGCACTATGTATACAAAATATTTTAATGTCTTTTTTACTTACTGCCCGGTTTTGTTTGTTGATAAGAAGTTTGAATTTCAGTTTCAGTTCATCCATGTTGATTTCTTTTCTTATTTATTTGGTAAAATGTGAACCAAATAATAACATTGTGCGAACATAAAATCCATGCGCAGAAACAATTAAAGGAGGAAAAAGTAAATTTTCAGATTTGATTTTTGTACCACAATAAAGCGATATTTCCGTCAGCTTTTTTATAAGTCTAGAAGAATGTTTCATTAAAATGAAGCTGAATGAAGCCAAATAATTACTCTTTAACAGCAAACTTTTGGAAGGGAATTACGCAGGTGATTGCGTCCGTCTACTTGCTGGCAGTTGTGTGTGGCTGTGGCAACCAATAATTTTATTGCAACTGCAGAGTTCAATGGTTCAATGAATAAAAGAGGGGCGTTACCACAACATTGTATAAAAAGGAGTTAAAATATTATGCAGATGATATTGTTTTAACCTCAGAAAAATTAAGTGACTTGAAAATTGCTTTAGCCAGAATGAAAGAATTTTTGTTAAAACGCAGTTTGAAACTTAACTTGGAAAAGTGCAAATTCATGAAATTTAGAAATAAGGGTCTAGGAAAATATGCATTAAGTGACCGCCTAGATTTAGGTGGAATTGAAATAGAGAGAGTTGCTGAGTTTACATATTTAGGAGTTACTTTTCAACCATCAGGAATCTCTTTTGGAAAGCACATTGAAAAAAGAACAAGAGCTGCATTGCTGGCCACTTATAATATACGAGAACTAAAACAATTATCCATTGAAACAGCACACAAGCTATTTGATCTAAAAATTTCCCCAATTGCGTCCTACGGCATTGAAGAAATATGGCCTTTCCTAACAAAGACTGATTTTGAAAATCTTGAAAAAGTCAAAACAAGATATTTAAAAAGAGTTTTAGGACTGTCCAAGTATATTAGATCTAGATTTGTGTATGAATTAGTTGACACTGATCTCTTTGTATCGGACTTACAGGTAAAATATTCTCTAACTGAAACTGAAGCATTCCAGAAATTTTGTGTGTCTAAATATTTAAACAAACTTGAGATATGTGATGAGTTCTACGAGACAGAAACTATGAAGAATAAAAATTGGCAATGTGCAATGTTCAGTGATCGCCAAGTGTTTACGAGATTTGCCTGTCACGGGTACCACTATTTATTTTGTAAGAATAAAAATTTTCATTCTCAAGCGACAATAGATTGTGAATGCAAGCACTGCGGTAAGAAATGTTCACAATATCATATTCTTGAATGTAATGAACGAAAACTAAGCCTAAGAGAGGCTGCAAAAATCAAAATTAACTAATTTTGTACTTTGTAATAATTATCGAAACAAGCTTAATTGTAAAATTAATTTTAGGAAGACAAATTAGCTTTAGACACCCGTTGTACACCTAGTTGTGTTCAATAAATACTCTATCTATAAAATATTTAAAGCAATTACCGGTTTTAAAGTAATTATCTAAGGCAGTATAATTCACTTCATCCCCCATTTAGCACAAATAAAATATTTTTATGTAATAAAAACATATTTATGCTTTAAGGCAGTACTGAAATTAGTAGAGTTCTAGGTCTGGTTAGTTATATTCGGTACGCACACACCCCCCCATCTCTTGTATGATCGACCTATATATAAAACCATCATACAAAAATTTAGTTTACTGGTTCTATGGTGTAGTGGTTATCACATCTGCTTTACACGCAGAAGGTCCCCAGTTCGATCCTGGGTGGAACCATTTTTGACAATGCAAGAATAAAAAAAACTTGATAATCCCTTTCAGTACATGCATTATGTGAGGAAGCAAGAACAAAAATGTAAATTTTTATATTATATAATATACACATGATATATTTTATCATTGATGCTAATTTAACAATATTATTATCGACAATTATATTTAAATAAAAGTTTTTAGTTTTTAATAGGTGAAACATATGAGACTAATAAGAGGCATTAAATTACACTTCACGGCAGTGCTGACATGTGGTTGCATGCAATCTACAAAATATTATATTTGATATAATTATGCTCTCATTGCTAAACATTGAATCTACATCTGAAACCAAATGTATAAAAAAATATTGAAGAATTTAATAACTGTACCAGAAAATATTGAACCAAGTAATTTGTAATTAAAACCCTCTTTAAAAAAATTATAATTCATTCACTATAATGCACTTCGTACAAAAAAGAGAAGAACTGTACAAAAATATTAAGTTTGTTTAAAATTAAATCTTACAGCCATAGAAGCAAGCATTTATAAAGGTTTTATTTCTATTGATCACTTTAAAATCCAGCCATAAATTTATTATTGGAATGACTGTATTGCGGTTGTCGTTGGGGCCAGAGTCGAAGTTGTTGAAGGTGCTGGCGTTGTGACAGGCGGAACGATTGGTTCCAAAGAAATAAATTTAATAACTATAGAACCAATAATGATCAAAGCAACTACAGCAGCAATCGATGCACACCAGCACAGCTTGCGTCGCCTCTTATTTTGGTATCTTGAAGCCTGTTCCAGTTCCTGGCGGCCCATTGCCACATCAGTGTGTACACGCTCAATGTTGTCTTCAATGGAACCTTTAAAACATGATATGACACTTCTGATTAAATATAATACTGTGAAGATTTTTTGCAATACAAAATTTAAATAGTCAAAACTGCTCCATAATATAAAAAAATGCTAGGATAAAAAACTTACCAACAACTTCTCCTTGGTCGTGCACCATAGTACTCAGCTCTCTCATGATTTCATTGACATCAAGGACATCTTCCTCAATTTGCTTGATGCGGCGTTCTCTCTCCAACATAATTTCTTTCTCAAACTCTAAGTCTCGCTTCATTTGTTTTTGTTTGGCAATAAGTTGAGCTCTTTCTTCCAATTCATCTCCCGTCTGCTCGTATTCCTCCTCCATGGTCTGAGGACGCACAAGGGCATGAGCTCGAAGCTTCATTGCAACTTGCTAAAATTTACAAGACATTAAAAATTATTTTACAATAAAAAAAAAAAACAATGTTTGGTTTATTTACAGTTTGAATTTGCCCGTATCTTTTGATGGCATCTTTGAATTCCGTCTGCAATCTTTCAAACTGCAGCTTCTGAGGTTTGGAACCTCTTTTAACGAGGAAGTTAAGTTTTTGGATTTCTTTTGTTGTCTGGCCAACCACCTGTTTTGTACTCAACTGACCAACATGGCTGAAAAAAAACATTGATTGAATGAATATAATAAAAAATTAAAGCTAGTACATGGTGTCTCGTAGACCTGCCGAGTCTCGATCAGTACCAAGAAGCCTCAAAGCTTCATCTAATTGCTTCCAACTTTGGTTGATTGTATAAACATTGGTTGTTATGCTCTCAGATAAATTTCGGATCTCTACAGAACTCATATCGCTAAAATTTACTTCAGGAACTCGGACTTCTGTTGCACCGTAAACCCGCGAAGTGCCCGCTGTAATTCCTTTCCTCTCCATGGCCCTGTAATTTAATTGCGTGTGTAATGTAAGGCGGGTGATAAAATTGCATAAAAGCATAAATCAGGTATTTTCCAATGCTAGATAAAATTACTATGAGGTTGCAATACAAACCTTCAGTGATTAAGAAATTCTTTTTGTTTGTAAATGATGACGATGATAGCAATGCAACCCGTTCTCGTCTGTAATTGTCTGTATTAACCAAATCCACTAATTCATTTACAAAAATAGTCACGCGACTCTTGTTCACCTCTTGTTGACTCAATTCTCAAAACTAAACAGCTGGAGATGCAAGAAACAAGAACCAATCAAATTAGTACGTTTGCAATGCACCCACCAATAACGAAGTCAATTGCGCAGCGGCAAATATTTACATATTTTAAATGCCAGCTGCTCGCCCACTTTTCCTGCTAAAAAGGCCTATTAATTGGGCCTGATTAATGTTGATGATTTTATATTTTATGTACGCGTTATCATGTACTGTACATCCGTAGGGATTATATCGTAAAACGAATTGAACAAATTTGGAGAACTGTTTTATGAAATAAGCATTACGCTTTCAATTTTTTTAATCATTTTCGTCTTTTCAATTTTCCCCTTGCTCCATAATAATATAATATATCATAAATATTTATTGTTATCATCAATGCATGCGAATTTTCATATTTAAATTAATTAATAATTATTTATCACTAGTCATCACTTTTTAATATAAGGGATATATAAAAACTAAATAATCATCAACTTATATACTGGTAAATAATGTAAGACATGATGCAAAATTTTATTGGTGAATCCAAGCAAAAATATTTAAAAGTATAAGTTGATCTAAAATAACAAACAAATTATAGTAAATAATAATTGGCATTAATTTTCAGCCGGTAAATCAAATAATAAGAATATAAAGGTGCTTTGTATAAAATATGCGCAAGAATCTCATGATTTCAAATTAAATTAATTACAAAGTTTCTGCAAAGCAAAATTTTGGATGTATCACAATTTTTTTATGACATATCAATGATTTTGGAGTTTCAGTCTTTAGACACTCAGTTAAGCATCATGACATCCTCACCAGAGGGACAAGCTGATTGCTCTTTGGCTTCAGTGAGAGCTCGCGATTCATGGAGGTAAACAACAAAGTCTACTCCCTGAAATTCACATGAAATAATTATTTGCAGATTATTTTATGCAACGCATGTTATACCTGATTTTGGGCGCCTCTGACGAAACCTTCATTTGCAGATACAGTAACAGCTTTCAGGGCATCTCCTGTCCCAAAAACAATCTGCGACCGGCTTTTCACCTTAGCACTCAATATGAGAGCAGCAACTCTAGGCGGAAGCTCGTCAGGTACTACGACCACCCTTGTCATGAGAGCCTTTGCTCTTTCTTTTTCTCCAGGACCGGCCATTGTGTTGACAATTTTCATAAAATCTCTTTCAGCAGACTTGCAACAGAACAGTTCTTTCCCTACAAAAAAATTTGGAAGAATTGGCATTGTAAATTATTATTGTATTTTATTTTTGCTCTGTTCAGTGCTGATTAACCTCCAAATGGGTTATTGAATCTGTGTTATAATTTATGATTAATTCACTGTACCTTCAAACAGCTTGTCCAATACTGGTTTGACAGGTCTTGCTCTCTCCCATTCAGCCTGCTGCATTAGTAACGGCTGCTTGTATTGGTAACAATTTCTTCCGTTTGTCAATGCTGACACATAGGCAACCATTGTGCTCACATCCAAATTTAAGCGATTGATAGTTCTACTGTTATTTTCTGCCTTTTCAACTTTTGAAGAGACTCGTTCTGCATTTTCTTCATCACTACTGCTTGCTTCTTCTTCATCTTCCTCTTCGTCATCAGAGGCCTCTTGCCAGCTGCAATCGGTAATCCTGGTTCCCTCGACTATCACTTCCTTAGCTTCAAGGTGCCGTGCCAGATTTTCTTCAATGCCGTTGGAGAAATAAAAGATGACCTGTGATTGTTAAAATAAGTAGACACTAAAAAGATAATTTAACAACAAAAAAAATACTTTAGGTGGGCAATAAAGTACGGGATTCTTCTTGGCACAACTAACGAACAGATCGGCTTGGTCCAGAATAGACTTTTGCCCATACTTTCCAGCTCCTGTGAAACAATTATAGATCAATAAACTTCAATTATTGGCTCGCTCCAAAACGTACCTGCAGAAAGTTGGGTTAAAGCTCTAGGATTCCTGGCAATAACCTTAACCCAAATCTGTCTTTTGTGTGTTACAACATCAACTGTGATTTTGCAGGGCTGAGGAGATGCCCCAAACGCGATTTCTCCATTTTCTAAATCCTCTTCAGTGTTGCGGTAGTGAAAATTTTGCAAGGTAGAGACACAGTCTGCGTAATGACTCTCCATGTAGATGACGAGGGCAGTGAAATGGTGCAAGTTTGTGCACATCAAATGCTCCTTTTTAGGCGATTTAGAGATAACCTGAAATATTTAAAAAATTTTAAATTTACTACAATAAACTACAACATAATATGCTTTGTACCTTTTGTAAAAAATTAATTTCCTGTTTGACTTTCTTGTGCAGTTTGCCAATGCCTTCAATATTAGCCAAGTGTGATATCCTAGCAATTAATTCCTCGCCTAGGCTAATTTTTTCTTCAAGTGCATTCCTCAACTCTTCAATTTCTAATAAACTCATTTCAGTGTATTTTAGATAAGAAAAATGACCAAGAAATCAGGAAATTGTACTGAAGATTCGATTTGTTTTGAATTTGAAAATTAGTTTTAAAACTATTAACATTTCGCGCATTAGCGAATCAAGTACACCAATACTACAAAATACTATAATATGTAGATATAATTTATTTTTAACATTTTAAATTACAAAAATTAAGATTAACTGTGATATAACCTTTAAGATAATTTTAAATCGATATATTATGTTGAAAGTTCCAGAAAATTCATCAAATTGTCACATTTTCAAAAGTATATTGTTATGTTGGCTACTTTTTAAACATTGGCCACTCATGTACCAATTGAGCGAATGAGCGGCATGGGGCATGGTCAAGGAATGTTTCGTTGAAAAGTGTCACCGTTTCGCAACTTTTTAAACTCAGTTCGCCAAGTCTGTGGTTTTTCAACATGTTCTCAAAGAAAAAGGACTTAGACGCGTACGTCGCTGAGATTTTCAAAAAATCCAAGAGCGAAAAAGAGGTAAAAATATTAACTGGAAGTTGTGGTGTACCCCACACGATCAAAAAAATGGCCGTGATCGCCGACATTGCCGCCTTTTTTCTGGAATTTACATGTTGAATAATCCCTGTTTGGCTTATTTTCTTGTAGAGAAATGCTAAATGCCTCACCATCGCAAAGCAGTACTCTCAACTTCAAGAGTGGGCAACTGCTCGGCGGTATGTCGGCGCCTACATTCAGGACCACCCGAATTCTGCTCCCGCAATGCGGTTGCAGGGGGAATGTGAACAAAACCTTGGGCAGAAAGAGAGGGCACTCAACTCGTTCCGCAGCAGCCTCACGTGTGACCCCACTCAGAAAGATCTCACTTTCAAAGGTTAAAAATATTCCTGTGCTATTTTTTTGTGTTAAAAAAAAATAAAATCCAAAATACATAATATATATAATATTATTTGCATTATGTACATACTAATGCTAAACTTCTCTTTACCACTCAGTGTGCGAGTTGTTGTGCAATGTTTCTGTTGACACTGAAACATATCAGTACTGGGCCGATAGAGCTGAGGCGATTGACAGCTCTCACCCTTCTGTTTTTAAACTAAAAGAGCACATTCTAACCTCAACTTCAGCAACTTCTGGTGGAAGCCTAGTCTCCCTAGAGCTCGAGGCCCTTATCATGGGTTAGTATTAATTTTTCTACTATTTTGTGTGATGATTTAGTTAATTTTTGTTTTTGTAGCGGAGCAAAAAGCTAGACCTCATGATCCCAGCCCAAACTGCCGCCTCCTGAAACTGTACATTGACAAAGCCCAATACACCAAAGCTCATGCTTTGGCTATTCAGTTGGAGACTGGCTGCCCATTTAGAAATGATATCTCCTGGTATGAAACCTTAACCAGCACTTTAGAGGTGATTTATTTACAATTGAAGATGTTAGCAAAAGGACATTCCTAAACTTTAAATTTCAGGCTTGCAATAAAAAGGTTGATGAAGATTGGGACACGCACACCTTTAAGCTACTTGCACTTGAAAGGCTCTTGTCACTTTACCTGGATGAAGTTCTTGGAGCTGATAAGCAAAACAGACCACTCTCAACCTATTCAAATATGAATGTCGTTGTTGAAACAGCATTTAAATTAGACCAGGCCCTGTTCGAAGCTCAAAAATTGGTAAGTCGAAAGTCCGAAATATTGTACGACTGGGCCATTAATTAAATTTTTCTAATAGACCTGCCACGGATCATCGAGCAGGCGGATTTTGGCAGAAACCCTTTTGAAGCATTTAGTGGCCCAGTTTGGGTTCCACTTGGTTTGCATTCTGTACAAGAAAGCCAAGAAGGTAGTGTATTAAATTATTTTAATATTTTTCTATTTAATAATTTTGGACAGGACTCATCACTCTGGAAATCTAATATCAAGTTCAGTGGTCCCCTGTTGATGTTGGCGTGGCAAACTCTAACTCCTGATGACGATGCTGCTTGGCTGAAAGATTTGCCAGAATCCTTGCTTGACTCTACACAAGTCTGGTTAAATGAGGGAAAGCTGCGCAGGAGCCAAGCTGGTAGTTAACCATGATCAAATTTACTGTGGATTGCTAACATTTATATTCCAGGCCACATTCTTCTCGGACTGAATGCTAAAAGGAAGTTAATGGACATTGTTTCCCCTCTTCTTGTGACTAAGTGGCAAGAGAAACTCTATGAGGTAAATTGCACTTAGAATGTTATTGCTCTTTTATTATCAAAATTTATAGGCCGTATTTTCATCCTATGCAAATGAATTGAAAACATCTTACCTGGCAACAAGCTTGGACTCTAACAAGTTAACCAGAAGTCTACCAACCATCAATGAGCTTTGGTCCCATGACGAGTCTTCTCTTTTGCAATACTTCAATCAGCTTCCACTCGTCATTTGGTACGGGCTTCAATTTAGGGCAATTGGTCATCCGTGGACGCCGCTGAGTGAAGCTAACGATGATCCAAATATTGTCGCACTAGATGTGCTTCCAAAGAGGCCTCTATGCCCTGCTTTCCACAATTTGAAGAAATACAACAAAGACTTCCCTGGAATAAGTCAGGCCACACCTGAAAGCCTTTCCCAAATGGACATAGATGCGTTCATATTTGCAATTGGTACGGATTGAACTAAAATATTATTTCAACTCTTATGTTATAAAATCCAGTCACCTGTGCTAGTGGAATAATGGAAGAAAATCAACAACGTTGGAGCAATGATAGGCCTGAAGTGCTCCCAGTAACTCTTTCAGACGCCTTGTGCACCCCGGCTCAGATTTCATGGTAAATTTCTGTGACAAAATGTTAGTTTTTTTTATGCATGAATCTCTTAGGTGGACAAGCATTTGCCATATCTTGAAGCCTTCCGCAGCAAACTACTCTGTCACTCCAGAGTTAAGGAAATTAATCAGAAGTGGCCTTGAGGCTATCCGATCAGTTGATTCTCAGAGTGGACAGCAAGACGTCCGACTGCTTTGTTCCCTTGCCAGATTCTTTACTGCTCAAGCTACCAAATGTCAAGAATCAGATGGAGACAAACAGCTTATTACGGCTCTATTCCTCCGTGCCAGCCACTATTGGTCTTGCGCTAAGCCAGTTCTAGAAAGCGTGAAAAGTGGAAGAGCAACTAGGCCACTTCACATTGATCGACTCTTCTGTTTGCCTGGGTAAGGAGAATCAAGTTTTGTTTGTGTTTTGGGATTTTTTATTAATTTTTTTTTCACTCCAATAGCAAAGACCTTGATAAAAGTGCTGCTGAATCCCTCCTTTATGAAGCTTGCTTTGCTGATGGGATGCAGCTTGTAAGGAACGGCAGATATGAAGAGGCTATAGAAGCTTTTGGTGATTTGACTAGCCCATATGCAAGCATGGAGCAGGCTATGGTAATATTTGCGATAAACAGAAATCTATGTAAATTTAATTTTAATTATAGCTTTTTAAGAAAATGGGCGATGCTGAAAAGTCTGACATGTCAGCCAAAGAAATCTACTACAAGAGGTCACGTGATAGCTTTTTTGTTACCCTGGATAGACTTAAAGGAACAAGTATAAAATTAAAAAAAAATATATATTGCTTTTTTACATTACTACCAACTAATGTAGATGTTGACCAACGACATCCTTTGAATGCATCATTGAGATCTCACATAGAGGAAGTTGAGGAGCAAATAAATGCTTTGTTCCCTGATGCCCACATTAAAAATCCAGTGCATCGTGGTGACATTCTCAGTGATGCTTCTGACGAAGAAGACTTTGTCCACACCCCAAGAATATTTAATAGGCTTAGAGGCCAAAGCAGTACACCTTTCACTTCTGTAAGTTCACGCTTCAAATATTAAAACATTTTGATCACTTTAATTACCCCAGAGCCGAGCCCGTCCAGTGACTTTGTCTAATGGCACTCCAGTCAATGGAGGCCAGCGACTGCAAACTCAATATCGATCGCCTTCACTCATGACTCCGAGGCCTAGAGAAGAAGCTCGTCCAAGTCCAGAGAGATTAGAGGCCCAAATGCGACAGCTCAGTGTGCAAAGAGAGAGCGAGCTGCAGACAATGGCTCGCATTGTTGAGGCTACAAGAAGCAATGACAGCGGGCTGAAAGATGAATTACTTTTCATTAAGGTATTATTAGTTAATTTTATTATTTTCAAAGGAAATATCCTTCTATCTCTAGGATGCTATGAGAGAGATGAGCAGAGATTTGCAAAGAGTGGAAAGCAACCAGAAAGAAATGATAGAGGCACGAAGAGAACAACAAGAGTCAAACAAGAATTTGAAAGATATGCATAGTGATATTCAGAAGATCCTTCGACTTCTGAAATCAACCCGGATCACTAATATTAGCCCAGTTGTATGCTAGAATGTAAATTTAAAACAAACTATATCGTTTTCAAACCCAGGTTTCTGAGCCTCGTAACATTCCTGATGAAGACCTTTATCTCTATGGAGAAGAAGGTGAAAATGAATATTGCACCGATGGAGCTGCAGGAACTCAAACTCAGCAGCCAAAACAACAGTTCCCCTCCACTGCGAGCGCCCCTGCAAGTTATCCAGCACTTTACAACCCTGCATTGTATCAGTTCAGAGCTCCTCCACCAAACTTCTTTCCACTTGCTCCAGGAGTTGATACTGCTGCTTTGATGTACCAAAATTTGGCATACTATGCTCCAGGAGCTCTGCCATTCAGGTCAGTCTATCGCATACATATACATTAGGCATTTTACCTGCAAGCCAGTACACCCTGGAGAACTGCTAGTATTGCTTTGCTCCTCCTTTTAAACTGGTATAAAAAATGGACCTGTGAAAAGTTCTTTCCAATTTTCTGAAGTGCTTTTTGTTGGCTTTTATTTCTGGTGGCCGATCTGTGTAAGATTTAAGCCTTAGGAAAGCAAAGCTGGTAAATGCAAATCATATATTTTGGAAGCAACTATTACACAAACATTTAAAATTTCATGTTACTCTAATTGAAAAAAAAGTAGTAGAAACATATAATAGTAAATAATAATTATAAATGTATCCGTATTTAGTGAAGGACAACGGCTTCCGGAGTTTCAAGTTGCAACTCCTCATCTTCTAGCCGGTCAGTTGCCAATTGGTAACCAAGGATTAACTCCAGCTTTCAACCAAATTGTAGCACCTCCAACTATTAGCAACATCACTCCAGCGGTATTTTTTCTTTTTTGAATAACCTAGTTTACTGACTTACTTTTTGATATGTAGAAACCACCTCAAGTGCATCCTGATTTGACGCCTGCTCAAAATTCGTAATTATAATAATTTTCAATTGTGCGCAATATTAATGATTTATAACAACCAGGCTCCAAGAAAGTGCTATCATTCAAATGACTCCTCATGCATTCCAAATTAATATGCCACCTGAAGCACAGATACCAACTGCCTCACCACTGGACAAAGCGCCTGCAGTTCGTAAGGCTATTTCCTTTTGTACTCTCTGTATTTGCAAAGAAAAACTTTATTTTCAGCTGCAGTTTCCCCACAGAGCATACTGCAAAATGTCCCCTCACCTGTGTACTCTTCAGTAACTCCTGAAACGCAAAAACGCACATCCAGAGTGTCTCGTGTGTCGGTTGGCTCTGTTGTTTCAGAAGATGGAGAAGTACCTGAGCACGATGCTATACCTGATTTCAAACCCATCATACCTCTGCCAGACGAAATTGTCCCAACAACAGGCGAAGAAGGTGAAAATCTCCTGTTTGAGAACAGAGCCAAACTCTACAGATACATTGATGGTGAATGGAAAGAGCGAGGAACTGGCGCGCTAAAAATTTTGGAATCGCCCATTAACAAGAAAGTCAGGATTCTGATGCGCAGAGATCAGGTATTGTATCTATTTCTACGTTTATTCCTTTTCTTATGCGTTGACTTTTTTAAAGGTTCTGAAAGTGTGCTGCAACCACTTCATTCCAAAAGACCTGATTCTTTCTCATATCAGTGGCAATGATAAAACATGGTCGTGGGCTGCCCAAGATTTTGCAGATGAAAAAGTTAGAGTTGAAAAGTTCGGAGTCCGCTTTAAGACTGTTGATGATGCAAACTTATTCAAAGATGTGATAGAAAGAGCAAAGAAGACCATGCCTGACAGTACGTATTTGTTTTCTAGGACAGCAATTTATTATTTTGATGGTCTTGATAATAATAAATCAAAAATAACTTCAGCTCCAAGCTCGAAACCATCAACTCCTGCTGACACGCCAAAAACCCCTTTACTGTCTGCCAGCGGAACTTCGCCAATATTAGAGACTCCAAAATCATCAAATGCTAACAAACTACCAACTCCAGCATCAACCTTGTCTTTTGGAGGGTTTACCTTCTCCACTTCGCCCACTATTGCAAAGAAAGGGGAAGAAGCAAAGACGGAAACTCCCAAGAAAGAAGACACTCCTGCCAAACCTGGGCCATTTGCATCATTTTCTTTTGGAGCACCAAAAAGCTCCACTACGTCCTTGTTTGGTCAAACTACAACTCAATCCTCAGGCACTTCTTCGATTAGTAATAACTGGATATATTTAGGTTGAAAATTGCATTAATTTAAAATATAATCACTTGCAGGTTCTGCTCCAGTATCTTTTGGAAACACAAATACTCTGCTAAACTCACCGCTTGCCCAGCTGAGCTTTTCTAGTTTGCCGCAGAATACGACATCCTTTACCACAGGCCATAGTACATTCAAGGTAATAATTTTTAGTTGTCTGTTGCTATTGTAACTATATTATATCCTTGAAATTGTTACTCAGGGATTTGATGGTGCTGGCTCACGTGTTTTTGGAGTTACCACGCCAGCCAAATCAACTACGCCAGCTGCGAGCGGAACTCCTGCCAACCCTACTGCAACAGAAAGCCCTGGAGGTGAGGCTGAAACTGCTGAAGACTTTGTCCCCACTGCAGATTTCCAACCAGTTATTCCTCTTCCTGAGCTCATCGAGGTCAAGACAGGTGAAGAGGGAGAAGAAGTGCTCTTCGAATGCAGGGCAAAGCTGCTGAGATTTGTGTCTGAGTCAAAAGAGTGGAAAGAACGTGGAATCGGCAAGATGAAAATGACCTGGAATCCCACGTCGTGCAAAGTCCGCTTGATCATGCGGCGCGAACAAGTTTTAAAAGTCTGCTGCAATCACTTCCTCTTGAGGGATATGAAACTTGTGCCAATCAGCTCGTCTGACAGAAGCTGGACATGGATCGCTCAAGATTACTCAGAAGGCAGCATTGAAAAGGAAACCTTTGCCATCAAATTTAAGAACCCAGAGGAGGCTGCCTCATTCAAAGAAAAGTGGCTTGAGATCCAAAAAGACATGGTGGATGGTGATCAATTGCTGCGAGGAGGCCAGCAACCAACTGCTCCAGCAAAGACCAAAGAGGACAAACCCAAACCACTCTCCGAACTATTCAAACCAGCCACAGGCAATTGGGAGTGTAAGAATTGCTATGTCTCCAACAAGGCCAATACGAATACCTGTGTGGCATGTTGTTCCTCAAAAGAGGGGGCAGCTGCTGAGATCACAAAAGTTACTACCTCGCAGCCTTCAACTGCAGACAAGGATTTGATGAAACAGTTCAAGAAGCCGGAAGGAAGTTGGGAATGCAAGTTTTGCTATGTCACAAACAAATCTGATGCGGTTACGTGTGTGGCTTGTGAGTCGGCTAGACCTGGTACTGAAGGAAACGAAAAACCTACTGCTCCGGCAATCAAGAAAATTACCCCAGGCTTGACTTTCGACTTCCAATCGTCTGGCTCGGCATCCAAATTTTCATTTGGTAATGCTGCTGCGGCCACAGTCTCAACCAGCGTTTCCACTGGACCCACCTCAACTTTCACCTTTGGTGGCGTGAAGCCTACTACACCAGCGGTAACCACTTTTGCTTTTGGTGGTCCTCAGCCCAGCTTTGCGTTTGGCACACAAGGAACACAAAATTCCACTGCTGACTCGACCAAAACTTTGTTTGGTGGATCAACCTTGCCTAAATTTGGTTTCAACTTGCCTACACCAAGCACTCCTGCCTCAACTGTGACCAGTGGGAGCATCACTTCTCCAGGTGGAGCTGAGGATAGTGACGGTGAAGTTGAGAATGACGAGGGAGACCACATTCACTTCACGGTAATTTTATTATTTTTAAATCCCACGTAGAATATTTCCCATTGCTACTTTTTGAAGACAAATTAAAATAATAATACTTGTATATCAATATTTCTGAATTGAAGCGAATTTATTCTAATATTATTCTAAATTTATTTTCAGCCAATTATCCCTCTGCCTGACGCTGTAGAAGTTGTCACAGGCGAAGAAGATGAAGAAACGCTTTACAGTCACCGTGCCAAGCTCTACCGCTGGGCAAATGGGGAATGGAAAGAAAGGGGTCTAGGTGACATAAAGATTTTAAGGCACAAGGAGCAAGGTCATATTAGGTAAAACCTCAACTTACTCTTTCTCCTTGTCATTTGATTAAATTCGTCTTAAATCAAGAATCCTGATGAGACGAGAGCAAGTTCTAAAGATCTGTCTGAACCACCGTCTCTACAAAGAAACAACTTTCACTCCAAAAGGAGACACAGGTCGGTCATTCCAGTGGTATGCAGCTGATTATTCCGAAGGGGAATACAAGCAGGAACAATTTGCCATCCTGTTCAAAACTGAGGATATTGCTAAGGACTTCATTGAGCACATAGAATCGGCCAAAACTTTGCTAGGCCTAGAAAACCAAAGTATGGCTGCTCAAGCAAGTTCCCCAGCTCAGGTCTCTACCCTCTCAGCTGGTAAGCAATTTTTTACCAACAGATCCTGTCATAATATTTTTTATTTTATCTTCAATAGCCGACACTTCAGCTGTCTCGTCCAATTTAGACACATCCATTGCCAGTAGCACTCAATTCACACCTTCCAATAGCATCTCATTTGCACTCGGAAATGATCCGTCGGCTGCTGTAACGCCTCAGTCAGGATCTTTCTTGTCTGGGTCAACTTTTAGCTCAGCTGTAAAAGGAAATTTGTTCGAAGACTCTCCTTCCGAGAATACGGATGATGGTGCGTGTTAAGCTTGATTTCTTTACAGTAATTGTTTATTTAACTGAAAATCTATTTTTATAACAGAAGTGCACATAGTTGAAGTGATTGAGCCCAAAGTTTCTGATGAAGATGTTCAAAAAGCCCGTGCTCTTAAATTGCCAGACAACTTCTATGCCTACAAGCAGCGCTCTGCTTGCAAGGGTTGCAGAGGCTGCGAAAATGAAGATAGTGATGCAAGCTCAACCACAGAAAAAGATCAAACTGTGTCGAGGTAACATTAAAAGTTTTGGTCAAATGTAATTTTTTTTTATTCTTTTGATTTTTTTGTCATTTTGTTCATACAGTATTGAAACTTGGTGTATTATCAATTAGAAAATTGTCAGAATTTTCTCTGAGCTTGACTAGGAGACTTTAATAAAATTATCTTCATCCGCAGCACCGTTCCGTCTACATTTTCAACACCCCTCTTTGGTTCGGTTTCTTTTGGAGCTGCTGCTAAACCCGAAAAGCTTGTCAGTAGCGGAAACTCTCTTGCAACCACAAACATGTTTGCCACAGCATCCAACCAGCCGACGTTTGCCAGCCTGGCAAATTCAACGTCCAATGCTGGCTTTTGTAATTTTGCACAATTATTTTTTAATTGTTACCATGACTTATTTTTCTTATAGCTAACTTGACCTCCAGTAGCCCTAGTTTCTCTTGGGCTGGTGCTGGCACACCAGTCTTTGGTTCAAAGGGCTCACCGGCTCTTGGTTCCAAAGGATCAACGCCTGCGCCTGTTTTTGGCAGTGCTAAGCCTAGCCCTGTGTTTGGAACTCCTCAGGCACTTTTTTCATCTCCTTCATTGCAGTCCACTGCATCTCCTAAAAACAACACTGAAGGAGGATCTAGTGAGGATGAAGGGGGGGAGGAAACTCATGATCCCCACTTTGAGCCCATTATTGCCTTGCCTGACATGATTGAAGTGAAAACTGGAGAAGAGGATGAGGAGAAAAGTATTTACATTCTATCATTTTGTCAAGAATTGTTTACCAAAAATTTGTTTTCAGTGTTCTCCCACAGAGCAAAACTTTATCGATATGACTCAAACACCAGGGAATGGAAGGAACGAGGAGTCGGAGAGATGAAATTGCTCTACCACCAGGCCACTGGCAGGTACAGACTTCTGCTGCGCCGAGAGCAAGTTCACAAAGTTGTGCTGAACCAGTTGCTCACCAAAGACTTAGAGATGAAGCCCATGAAACTGACCAACAATGCTCTTTTGTGGGGTGGGTTCAACCATGCTGAAGAAGGAGAGGGAAAAATGGAAGAACTTGCCGTCAAATTTAAAGTACACTAACTTCAGTTAAAATTATTTTGCACTCTATCAATATGAACTTTTTACAGAATCAGGAATTAGTTGACGAATTCAAAGCCAAGGTCGAAGAGGCCAAAGAGCGGTTAGCCTCAATGGAGACAAAACCTGCCCCCGTGGTCACGACCCCTCCTGTGGTTGAGCCTGAAAAGGTCCTAAAAGGTCCAACCACCCCAACCTTTGTTCCTCCAGCCAATGAAGAAGACACTGACGAGGAAGAGGAGGAGGAAGAAGAAGAAGATGACGAGGAAGACTATGAAACCTATGATGATTACGAAGAAACGGAAGTGATGGATGAGAGGGGCACAGTGTTTGCCCGAAAAGATGGGAATCCTGTCGGACCATGGTTGGGTCTTGGCGTTGGCCACATTAAGGTTGGACTTCCTCAAACCCATATTTTGATCATATTAATTCTGTTGATAATTTTAGATGGTGTACGCCAGTGATGGATTATACAGCGTCGTTGTGGAACTGGATGTCAGTGAGGGCAGTGAGAATGTACGGATCCCCATTGACACACGCATGAATGCTCAATCTGAGAAAACGCAAGACAAAGAAGTCTGTTTTTCTGGCATGAACCAGGCACAGGACACTGACAGGGTTGAATACTATAAAGTTTTGTTTCCTACGAGCAGCAGCGCCGAAGAGTTTCAAGCTAATTTCATGGAGGCAAGTTCATGTGAAAAAAAACTATTTATAGTGTTAATTTAAATTTTCTGCTGCAGGGTTTAGCCATGGCAGATAATTTGCAGCAGGATGAAAATGACGCTGAGCCCTGAAAATTGATGGCTGCCGACGAAATGCAGCAGAAGTTTTTAGTTTTTAAATGTTTCTTTCAATAATGAAGATAATTAATAATAAACTCTTTTTTTGCTATTTGATGACCAATAAAAGGCCAATATGTAATTATTTAAGATGAAAGTCACCTAGTTTTATTTTTCAAGATTATGAAATCTTGATACCACCATTAATTATTTATTTCAAATTTAGCTGTTGTTTGCAAAAGTGGTACAGTGGTTAGAGGCAACAGGAGTCGCGGTTGCCATAGTGATGCGCGGGGCAGGCGCACACCGGCGCCTCATTCGCTCACATATTGATGACTAAGGGTGCTTTCTGAGCGGATCATGCTCGCTGCGAGCAGCAGGCGAGGCAGACCCCTTTCATCGTTGCTCGCCGCCTCCGCCAGCATTTGGAGCAGTGAGTGCGTGCTCTTCTCTGGGGTTTGGTGCATGGTGCGGTGAGAGGACGACCAGCATTCCCAAGGTGTGTTGTGTAGCGGTTCAGCCACTTCTAAGTGCGATCGCAGTTCTTTTCAAACGTGTGCTCTTTTCTTCGATCCGAGAGCAACGCAGCTCTCTCATGAGGATTATTTTTGCCATGGACGCTCGACTCTATTCCTTCTTGATTCGGAGAGGCACGGCAGGACCAAAAATTATGCCCACGTATTCAAGGGTTTTGTAAGGTTTTAACCTGCGCCTCTGATTGGCAATTCCGTGCGAATTGTATACCTCATTTGTATTGATAGTTTCCAAATCTCATACTTTTCAATATTGGCTTCCAGCAGTAATTTTTGTTAAGAAAATTAAACTCAAAAACCCTTAATTTTGGCCTTTAAACTCAAGTTGAACGTGCAAAAAAGTTAGCATCGTTAGCAATAAACATCGATTCTTGATAGTAGAGATAATTTGATAGTAGTTACTGCTATAGCTACCGCGTGAGCCTTGAGCCGTGAGTGATTTGAACATAAAAATGCATTTATGAGCAGCGTATATCACGAACTCTCAAGATTTCCCTTTCCCTTTTTATTACGTTTTTCAAGTGACTCATGATTCGCCACAAAAGGTGAATAAAACGCACTGGGCGCAGGGTGCCTTATAAAGTAATAATATAATATGCACGTGTATGACCAATTTAATTTCATTGCCGCAATAAAGTTATTCGTTTTGCTGTCCTTGATCGCGCGACATGTCATGAATTATAATAAATCAAAAATATGTTGGCTTCAAAATATTTTGCTTAAATTAGGTAGATTTGCAAAGAAGTATATTCTCTATGAGCATGTAACAAAATATTTTGTCGAAATCGAAATAAATCAATTATTTTAGTTTTCATTATAAAATAATACATTATGATATAATAGGCAATATTTTCCATGTCAATTAAAATATAAAAATTTTAAACCATCACAAAAATGAACAAAAGATAATATTTCTTTGCAAACAATTATAATATAAAATTTGATAGTACAGAAGATCACTCAAAGCCAGGCTAAAAATGAATTTACCAATCATTATTGTAATCTAACAATTTTTGTAAAATGAATTAGATTTATTTTAATTTTGGAAATTGTAATTTTCAACAAAAAATAAAATCTTTATCACAACACAATAGAATTAAATATATTCTAGTTGTGTAGCACTATAAACTAAAAATTATTGAAAAATTCGGAAAATTTCAAACGTATAATAAAAGCAAAAAAAAAATGCTGGATTGTTCGGCGCATTTTTTAGAAGAAAGAGTTGAAAATAATAGACGAGAACAGCACTCTTAAAGATCTGAATCATATTCTTGTGCGCTCTTTGCTCTCCTGTGTTTTTAAATTAAAGCGGCGAGACGGTCGGCGGGCGGCGTGCAGAATTTTCCCCATTGAGTGCGGGCAAATGCGTTTCGTTGCTGTCAGTCATCAAAGGAAAGTCGTGCCTTTCCCAATTTAATTGGCAATTATTTTGATGGGCAATTCTCTTTTTTCGTATTGTCTGGCAAACGACCTTGCTTACGAGCGGGGCGATAGAGATCGGGACAGTGCGAAAGCCGGCTCTAGAGCTCCTGAGATGCTGTGCGTTGGCCGCGAGCCCAAATTTCCACTGCCGCGCGCGACTCGGACTATCTCGAAGCACGTGGTTATAAATAGTCGCAGGCTGCTGCGGGCGGGCCCTTGCTCCATATAAATTGCTATAACGTACCCTCTGTTTTCTCGCCGGTAATTAAAAATACAACGACCGGTAGCTATTATTAACTGCCGCAAAACACCGGAAAGCTGATGCGGCGTCTAATGGTATCTCACGCGCGCAGCAACAAAATACACTTCGCTTGAGTGGCACCACACACTTTTATAGCAGCATTGCACCGCGTAAAAACCTTTAAATCGATGTAAAATTCGCGAATGGGCCAACTTTTGAAATGAACTGCATGATTAATTGTCCTTCGCCTCCGATAAATTTTTATTATTTTTATGATATAGGGAAAAGGTTCAGTGCGTTTTGTTTTACATTAATACTTGAACATATTAAATTTAGCTTCCATCTGATTAAATATTATTATAAATCTTCAAACAAATTAATTGCACTAAATTTTCAAAAAATATATTATAAAATGCTGATCAATTTATAGCAATTAAATAAATAACTATGAACAAATATAATTTCCAACTTTTTTGAAGCAGAGCAATTGTTATGATTTATCTATTAACTTAATTATTATTATTATTTTTTTTTTTTTTTGTAGACGGACACATAATATGCACCAGCGATTTATTTTTTATTGGCGAAAAAAGATTTCAGTTTTTGTGATAATATTTAACACATTAAAATAACACTCTTATTCATGATTTTCTTGAACATGTTTAGGTGTAAAAATGGCACTGGTAATGCTGCCATGTGACCTGCCTTGGTGGCCGCAAGTGCAGAGGATGCTGGGTCAATTGCAACCGCAAGAAGAGGGATCAAGCGTGCCAATCGAAGCGCTCACCCGAGTCCTCACCAGCATCCACGCTCTCTGCAAGTACGACGACCTTTTATTTTCCCTCTTTTACGCTCCATTTATTTAAAAGCGAATTGATGTGAAAAATTATATACCAGCACTGCAAAGCTCTCACTTTTCTCGCAAAACCGCAAGATTTTTAAGCTTCAATTTCCCCCATTTAAAAATTAAAAGGGTTTTAATGACAGTGTTGGCCTGGACCCTGACGAACCGGAAACGGTGGACCCGGAGCAGTTCACAAAGCTGACGTGGTTTTTGGAGAAAGAGTGTGACATGTACGAAAGAGAGGAGATTCTTTCCAAGGCAATTCCGTGCATGGTAAAATACGCGCTCAAATTGAAAGAGCTCAAACCGGCCAACGGCGTTCACTTCAGTTTACAGCAACAAGGTAAAAATTCGTTTTACACAATTCTTAAACTTTTTTTTCACCTTTTATATAATTTTTGTGAATTTTTTTGAGCGTCATTTTTGTGCGAGCTGTTTTTTTCTTTTGCACTAAAAATTGTGTGGTGAAAGTGACGTGTAAATTTGTCATCGTGTCTCTGTGTGCAGCGGACAATGTCTCGATGGACAAACGGCTGGCGGCCTCGTTGCTATCGCACGCTTTCTTCTCTTCATTTCCGAAGCGCTCGCTCAAAACCCACCCCACGCTCTTGGACTTCAACTTCAGCCACTTTTTTAAGCACTTGCACCTGTAAGTCGCTTCGAAACTTCTTGCCTCCTTTTTATGCATCAGAACAAGAATATACTCGCAAAAGCGGAGAAAAGAGATTTATTCATCTACACACACCAGAGGATAATTTTTGAAGAGAGTGAAACAAATTTAATTTCCAATTTTCAGGCCAAGCCAGCAGGCCAAGTTCCGCAGCTTGATGCACTACTACACCTTGCTCAGTTTGAACGAGCCGCAGGGTTCCATAACCGTGTCAAGAAGAGTAAGTTTTCCTGCCAAATATGCTTACAGTGGGAAGTACAGAGGGAAAATGTAATTATTTGACAAGTACTTTAATCTTTTCTACAAGAGAGACTACCTGCACCTATACACTTAAAAAGAAAGGCTTCAGCTTAAGAGTACTTAGTATATATTTAGAGCAACAACTATTTACCACTTTCACACGCTCGTTGAGATTTTTCATCAGATAAATTGAATTATATCTGCATATAGTTCCCACCGAAGGCTCTAGCAGAGTTATGCAGCCTGCGTGACTTGCATGTCGCGCCGGTCACTGAGCTTGAAATTACGTGGGGCAATGGGCAAACTGTTTTATATAAATATTGACGCACATTGCTGGTTCACGTGTTCATGTACTCTCGTCTCAACGTGAAGCATTTTAGGTCATTCTTTCTAACTTAAAAGTGATGTTTCTTTTATACCTCAAATACAATTAAGTTTGTATATTATTTTTGTACCTCGCAATTTAATAATTTTACTGCTATAAAGATTTATCAAAGTAGTCTTTTATTACATTTCTTTACAATAAAAACAAAATTTTATTCCAATTCAAACATTCCGACAATTGATATTAAAATTGGGAAAGTAAAAATTTTTTATTTAAAAAAAGCCATTATTTGGGAGGCTCTTATAATTTTAAACTAAAAATATTCCATTTTTGCCGCAGGTGTTGTCAAGTGCAAAGTGGTTGACGGTTGAGGACTGGCTTGAGAGCGATCGGCCACTCTGTCCTGTTATGGTGCGGCACCAACCGCGGCCAGAGCGTGTGCCAGAGCCGGCGGCCGTCGTGCTGGCGCCCTGCGACTGTCACGTTGGACTGGACGCGTTTAGCGAAGGTTTCAACCCCGAGTGCCGTTTACTGGTAGGCCAGCCTGAAGTGCTGGTGCTTCTGCTTTTCTTTGAAGCTCTCGAAGACAACGAAACGCTGCTCCTCGAGGGCGCCAGTCGGACGGCCAGGCTAAATCCTGCGGCGCCTCACTTTGAGAGCATAGGAATTGTGAGTGGAAAAAATTCGAAAAATTCTGCTCATTTTTATTTTTAATAATTTGAATTTGAAGGAAAATTGGCCATCTCAGACAAATCAGCTTTTAAGTTTTGCCGACCCCGAGGACTTTTCAGATCTTCCGCCTCGGCAGTACGAAGAGGACAACATTCTCCGAGAGCTCAATAAATTGTACCTCGCGTTCCAGCCGGCAAATACCAAGCAAATTACAAACTTACACGCCAAGTGCCCGCCGCCGGTGGTCCACAACAACCAACCAACTTGCAAGCGGCTGTCTCCCATCGGCGAGTCGTTCAGCTCCGCCACGCCGCCTGAAATGCCTTCGCCCGCAAACGTGCCACAGAAAAGATTCACATTCAACAACGGCACCAACAACAATAACAAAGTAATAAATTATAATCTTTGGTTACAATAAATGAATTCCTTTTTTTAAATTCCAGCAATTGCTCACAGTGGAGCGAAAAGGCAGGTTCATCGCACTCGGCTCCTCGGGGGAGCTGCTCCCCGTTTCCAGAAATGACATATACAGTTCGTCCTCAAGATTTACCGGCCCTAGGCACTCCTTGATTGGCAAACAACCCTCCCCGGCCCCACTGCTCACACCCAAATTTAGACTTAGCAAAAAATCTTCCAATAGTACCCAGGAGGGAGACAATAATGATTCCAGCGACGATGATGACGAGTTTCATAGTGCGAAAGAGAGTTTGGACTATAGCGAAGGTACATCAACCGTTTTTGTTTCTTTTCTTATTAATATGAACATTCAAAGTATTGTATTGGAAATTTTCATACAAAGATAATAATCAGTTCTTGCTTTGTTATATATAACAAAGATGATATTCCAGACGGGAACGGAGCGCACCAGTTTGGCCACGAGTTGGACACCGCGCAACGTAGGTGCAGTTTCGCGCAAAGGTTAAGAGAAGCTTTGAAAAGAGAAGCAGGCGCTCTAGGCCGGAATTCCGAGCATGGAAATAAAGACGACGATGGAGAATCAAGCAGCAGTTCATCCAGTTCAGAAGCTGATGATGGAACCACTTCTAGATCTAAGTCTGTGATTTTCGTTTTTTCTTCTTCTAATTATTGAAATTACAAATAAACTCGCAGGCCTCGCAGGGCAGGTTCCTTTGGCTTCGCTTTGCCAGACGACCAGAATTTGGATGACGAGGTGGCCCTACCGCGACGGTGGTTGCGGAAGGCGCTGTCAAAGGAGAGTGAGAGCGTCGAGGACTCAAATGCGAGTCAGTGCGACACAGACTCGGAGCTGGAAGAACTCTACGAGCATTTCTCTCGGTGGCTGGACCGCGAGGGCGAAGAGGAGGCGCAAGACGAAGCAGTTCGCAGTTTTGCACGCGGACTGCTGACCAGGACTTTGAGCGACTGTGGTGCCATTTCGGCCAGTACTAAGAGCACTGGTGTTACGAGATCACTCAGCGAGGCTGCGGGCAGCACTTGCAATGGGTCAGAAGCAAAATTAAATACTAAAAAAATGATTTTAAGAGCAAATTTTGAATCATCGAATTTTACAATATAATTCCTTTTTTATGCATAAATTTGCAAGGTTTTCTATTATGAAACCTTTTTTTCTTTTTCTAGGAGAGCGCCAAGAAGACTTGCAGCTCATTTGGCGTCCCTTTTGGGAGATGGAAAAGTAGGGCCGAGACCAGTAGCCTCAGGCTCGTGGTGGCGAGGCTGCTACACCACCGACCTCCAGCTCAAAGCTCTCCTTCAATGGCTGGCTGCCAGTCAAACTCAGAGTTCATGCCTGCTTTTTTACACAGAAAGTGTTGATTCACTCGCTAAGGTAAAATGAAAATGAGCATCCTGATATAAATTTCAAGAAGCTAAAAAAAATCTGTCTAAAATTTGAACGATCTTTGCAGTTGGATACCTTGTGTAGAGTGATTGTAGACAGACAATGGACAGTGGGCGAGTTGACGAGCGCCGTTCTACGATTTGCTCAAGGTACACTCGAGTCGTCTGAGGACCCGGCAAACCCAGTGCCCGAAGGAGAAACCCCGAGAGCACTGTTTAACGAGCTAATTGGATCCGAAAGGGCCCAGGTGGTAGTTGAAACAGAACTATGACCCCGAACAATACAACGGCAAGCAACCAAGGCTGTGCAGTAATGAGAGACCTTACTTATAAATTTAGACCCCCTTTTGTACGAAAACTAATCGAGAGATATTCCTTCCGTGCCTTCCTCAACAAACGTGTCAAATCTAAAAAAAAATCTGGTCTTCTTAATTTTTTGAGGGAAGCAAATGACAGCTTGTTGTAAGCCAGACTTGTGAAAGAGATAGTGTATATAATTAACAGATAGCATTGCTTGTTTATAGTTCCACATTTGTACGCTTGCTTTATTACTTTTCAAAAATAAAAACAGGAATTCTAATAATTATGATTTGTTGCCGCATCATTATATATCCATCTGTGATCTACCTGAAGACAGGTGGGAACTGTTTATAGTGTGTATAATACATGATTGATTATATAGTTGCACATTTTTGTTTTGCGTAGACACCTTTCAATGATTGAAACATAAGTGTACAAAGGACTTAATGAAGCGTATTGATCCAAATTTAGATACTGATGGAGTAATATTTCCCGAGCTAGTAAAATTTAAGCGCCATAAAATACTAGAATTCAGTCTAGGTACTCAACCTCGATGCACGGTTATGCGGTAAATTAAGTCTCCAACATTTTTAACTATCTGCAAAATGACTTGTACTGCTTCAAATTTGATTCCGACTTGTTTAAAATGATCTACTGATTCTATTATGAATGTTAAAAACTTCTGGAATAGCGCTGGGCGCACACGAGGGAACTTCCAGGGAGTGTTCTTTTGGAGAAAATTTTAAGGAAAAGTTACTTTCCAGCAAGCTTTTGGTCGAGGGTAACTCGGATGGCGTCGAGGAAATCCATTGTGTTGAGATACATGTCATCCTTGACATTCTTGAGCCCGTGGATGCAGGCAGCCAAGTCCTTGGTCAACTTGCCAGAATCCACGGTATCCACGCAGGCCTGTTCCAGGAGCAGGCAGAAGCGCTCCAGCTCAGGGTTGCCGTCAAGCTTGGCACGGTGGTCGAGACCACGGGTCCAGGCAAAGATGGAAGCGATTGGGTTTGTGGAGGTTGGCAATCCCTTCTGGTGTTGACGGTAATGACGGGTCACAGTACCGTGGGCGGCTTCAGCCTCGATGGTTTTACCATCAGGACACATCAGCACGGAGGTCATCAAACCAAGAGAACCTAAAAATATTGTATAAAAATCAAATTAAGATGAAAATGAAAATTAACATAATTTAATTGGTATTGTAAAAAATACAATCTTGTAAATCATTAATTAATATATTGACAATTTTTCACATTTCCAACACTTACCGTAGCCCTGGGCAACAATGTCAGATTGGACGTCACCATCATAGTTCTTGCAGGCCCAAACAAAACCTCCATTAGACTTCAGAGCCTGAGCGACCATGTCGTCAATCAGGCGATGCTCATACCAAATGCCGGCAGCTTCGTAATCCTTTTTGTACGTCCTGCAATTTAAAATTCCAGAATTAATTCTCATCATCAGTTTAAAATGTTCAAAGTTTACTTTTCATAAATTTCCTCAAAGATGTCCTTAAAGCGGCCATCGTAGCGCTTCAGGATGGTGTTCTTGGTGCTCATGTAGAGCGGCCACTTCTTCTTGAGGGCAACTTGGAAACTGGAGTGGGCAAAGTCCCTGATGGACTCGTCGGTGTTGTACATGCCCATGACTACGCCTCCTTGGCCGGTGAAGGTGAAGACCTCGACGCGCTGCGGAGGGCCACCGTCGGGGGTGTAGACCAGCTCCACCTTGCCAGGCCTGTCGCACACAAAATCAGTGGCCTTGTACTGGTCACCGTGAGCGTGACGTCCGATGATGATCGCCTTGGTCCAGCCAGGCACGATGCGGGGGATTGTCTTGCAGATGATTGGCTCACGGAAAACGGTGCCACCAAGGATGTTACGAATGGTGCCGTTAGGAGAGGGCCACATTTTTTTCAGTTTAAATTCTATTGAGAAAAATGACCACATAAATTAAATTTTTCTTGGAAAATCAAAACAAAATCTGAATTTGACTGTTTACAATCATTTTTAAAATTTCCATTTAAAATGATGTGATATTTTTGAAAATTTTTTAATTCGTTTTCTGTTATTGTAAAGACATTTAAACTTTACCTTTGACTCTTTCTTCGTCAGGGGTGATAGTGGCGCACTTGATACCAACATTGTGCTTCAGAATGGCGTATGCGGAGTCGAAAGTGACCTGATCGTCCGTGGCATCACGATGGGGCAAACCAAGGTCGTAGTACAGGCACTCCAGCTAAAAATGGTTCTGTTATCAGTACTTTTGAACCCCGGATGTAAGATGAAATATCAATTGTCATAAAAATTAAATTTAATGTAAAAAGGCTTTGAAGGATTTTTTCAAACGATTATATGATTCCTTCCTTATCTATTTTTAATTGACTTTACTATAATTTGATGACTTGATTTAAGAGGGTATGGAAACTACGGAAGTAAGAAATGGCACCTTGAGGTACGGGAAGATCAGATTTTCCTTGATCTTTTCCCAGATGATGCGGGTCATTTCATCACCGTCCAACTCGACCACAGGCTTGGCCACTTCGATGCGCTTTCCAGTTCCATCTGAAGCAAAAGAAAACAAATTGTCAGGATAATTATTTTTAATTTATTTATTTAATATTAAATTTAAACCTCAATTATTTCATCTTCAATTGAAGTAAAAATTATTAAACACTTAAAATAATGCAATTTTATCTTATCTTCCAGCATCACTTACAATCAGTCAGGGACTTTGGGCTTCCCTAATTTAAAATATTGACAGAGACCGATGGAGCCTCTGCTGCGAGTTTCAAGGTTACTATGCCAAAAGCACACGCTAAATTAAATGTGATAACAGAACTCCACATGTGTGCGCTTCTATTTCAGCGGAGCGCCTGAACAAATATTAAGATTTGCGGAGCCAGGCAGCGCACCGAGTGACGCACAAGCAAGGAGCAAAATCGAAAAGAAAATTGATGAAATTTTCAAGCATCTTTTTTCAACTCAAAATTTAAAAGATTTGACCATTTTTTTTTTTTTTTAAAGAAAATCGATTTTAAAGAAATATTAATCACAAAGGATATCTTTCAACAATAGGTTTATTAATTTAGTTTATGAAACATTGAGCTGCGGCAACTAAAGCCATAGAGTAGCAAGTTTGTATTTACCAGGGCAAGAAAATTCGATTGCCTGGCACGCAGTTTGTGTAATTTTTTTTACGAGCCAGTCAGCGGTGAAGAGAATACGAGACTTGCCAGACAACTGGCTAACTGTTCATGCTGCGAAAATTTACGCATGATCGCAACTCGCAAACCGGTTTAAATTTGGCAAATGAACCAATTTAAATTTTTCTTAGAAATTTATTATCACTAAAAATTTATTTTCATTACAAGTAATTCAGTGCGTACCAATTTTATTATTTAAGATAAAATCTGGGCCAAGAAAATACTTTGTTCTTTGTTTGCATAAACCGAGGGCACACGCGCAAGAGATCGCAATAGTTGACCCACGCTGGTCAACGACCTCTCTCAGCTGAAGAACCAAAGTCGAGCTGTTGATTTGAATAAATTGAGCACACTCGTCGTAAAAATGACCTTTCTCTGCTGATTCATACTTGCGTATGCAAGTTTTTTTTCACGAATTATTTCTTAATAATTGTTAATGATAAATAAACCTTTATAGGTTCTTGCAATTCTCAATTAGGAGTTTCAAAATAAAATATTATTGAAATTCAATGAAATAAAAAAAATTTAAACAGGCTAGTTAAGGAAGGAGAGAGTTGAATTCAATCTGCTGGGCGGAAAAAGTATTTTTATTTAACGCCCAGCCTCTGAGTGTATTTTTGGTTCGACTTCCTCCCACAAATACACGCGGGCTTTTTTATTCCCAGGTTTTGCGCGAAAAACTTCACTCTCGAGATCGGTTACTGCCTTTAAAAATTTCAGCTAAAAATGCTGATTGATTCTCAACTTGTTCAATACGATCTCAAAGCTCGACCTCTTTCTCTTCCTCCGGCTGATAAGGGAGCATTATTAAAAGAAGTTTACGATTGTGCTTGTTTTTATTGTTATCGCGAGCACTGCCGTCAGTGAAGGCTGCTCTTCTTTCAGTTCTTTCTTCTCGGCACCAGCAGGCAATAATTAACACATGTGCACGATACAAACCAATTCGGCCTCTCGCTGCGTTATGCAATTGCAAAACAAACTTTGCATTTCAGTGTGACGCACGAAGAGCGACTTTTGAGTAGCCACAAATTTCCATATTAAAAGAACCTCAAAGTATTTTATTTACATCATCTTAAAAATTTTGATATTTTAATTTTTTTTTAAATATTGAAAATAATATTTTTATTAATAAAATTACCGAAAACCGAAAATTACTTCTCCGAAATTACAGCAAAATTTAATATTTCAAATTTTTAGAATAAATTTAAAAAATTTTCTAATATAGGCAAAACAGAGACGTTAATTAACATGGAAAAAAGTATAAAAACATTTCCTACGAGGAGCAAGATGTAAAATGTCACTAATTTTTTTTTTCCACATTGAAGTTTCTTTGGCTCCACTTCAGAATTTAAGCATCTCAGTGCAAGTATTGATGATTAAGTCGCAGTCGGAATTGAAATTCAATGTCAACGGCCTAGATTAGATCTATTTCCGACTTCACATCTGACATTAAAACATTTCGGCCGCAGCGTTGTTATTGAGCGAAATTTTGGCTGCTGCGTCCTCTCCCTTTCTCGCCACACGCACCCTCTTTGAGATCTATACAAACAATTAAACCTCCCTTCCCAACCCCTTTGGTCACTTCCTCGCTTCATTTTCCTCGTCAAAAGTTGTAATTTATCGCAGGTCAGAGAATTTATAAATAAATTATTGATGTGTCTAACACGTAGAGAGCTTGAATTTGCACACCTAAGTTCGCAACAGAGTGGCCGCAGTGACAGCGGCGCACGTGAGAGTCGCGCTGTCAAATGTTTGTCGGCGAAATCTGCCGAAAATAAAATGACCGACGGCCGAAAGCTTTGACCATTCAACGGGCCGGCTTACTTACAATTGCGCTGCGAAGGGCTTAGAGCCGGGGCTGCCGAAACGGCGGCCGAATTTTGGCTCGAACGAACCAACAGTCGGCTGACGGACCTCATAGCTGCGGCCATTTCTCGAAAGTGAGGCGGGTTGCATACGGACTACCCGCGAGCTCGCTTCTCTCTCTCGCAATCACTCGCGGCTCCTGCGGCGGCGCGCGAACCCGCCAAGCAAGAAGCGACCTTCGAAAGTTTGCACGCCGAAAAATACACGAGTGTGCAATAAATTTTCAGATTTCATGTATATATTAAAATTATAAAATATTCTATATGTAAAAACTAATCAATAGACAAATAAAAAATGCATGATAAAAAAAGCTTAAAAAAAAAATAATTAAGACTGAGTGTTCATTTTAGAAAATTTAAAAACCTTACAAAATTGATTTATTTGCATTTTGAGATAAAACTAAATTTACACTCTGTTTATCAATTTTATGAGAGTACCATTAAAAACTAAAAAAATTAATTAACTTTTAACTAGCATGGACAGCACATTAAAAAAACGCACTTTAGCATTCTTAGCAACGATGCCTTTTGTTGAATTCTCCATGGCAACGGATATATTAAATTTGTTTGATTGTTACAAACTTATTCTCATAAATTCTTTGTCGGCTTATAATTTTTAAACTGATAGATTTTCTACGAAAAGAATCAAGAATCTTTCTAAAAAAATGGTACGTCCAAGCGAAATGGACGAAATCCTGCGCCAAGTCGGCTGGACCGATGGATTTAATATTCCAGCTCTCAGCGATGAAAATAGACGACTGGAGGCTGAGGTATTCGCTTTCTGTCTTTCGCATTTGCGTCACCGGCTCCAATTGATAAAATGCATGCACGCGCTCTTCCGTCCGTCGGCGCGGAGAGACTGAAAGTCGAATTTTTTATTCTTGTAGGTCGCGGCGATGATGCGGGAGAAAGCCTCCCTTATGACTAGCGTCGCTGAACTCGACGACCTCTTAGGCTCGCTGAATTCGCACACGCAGGAGCTCGAAACCGAATATTCCCAAAATGAGGTTGAAAAAAATAAATACACTTACTCTTAAGAAATGAACGTTTAATAGATAATTTATATCATAAATCAAAAAAAAAAATCATTAATTTAACTTTACTTCACTTTACTTGAAATATTAAAAGAAATGGCAACATAAATTATTCTTTACTAGAGTAAAATATTTTGATTTGAAAGAATAAAAAACCTCTCTTAATTTTACGTTTACCATAAAATAAAATATGATACAAAATAAATTCTAGACTATGTTGGCGTCTCAACAAAAGCGACTCGACCTCGAAGATGCCCTGATCCGAGTGCTTCAGGGAGAGCAGAGTCGCCTGAAAAACGCAATAGCTATGGATAGGCAGGAGAGAAAAGCCGTGGAGGAGCGGTGCCAGAAAATTGAGAAACAATTGAGAACGCCAGCACCGCGTTCCGGCGACCTGGGAGCCGTGCAGGAGCACTGGCAGAAACAAGAGGCCCTGGCAAGCCTCACAACGAACACATTGGAAGACTTCTACAAGCAGGACGAAGTGAAGTTGAAGGAATTAGAGCTGCAGCGGTTGCGCCTTCAGGAGCAGGTGACCGCCGCGACCAATCGCTTGCACAAATCAAACAGCGCCGTGGTGGCCCTTGAGCAGCAGCTGGAAACGTCTGCAAATTTGTACAAGGTGGCGTTGGCTACCAAGGCCGAGCTGGCCGAAAGATGGAAGTCGACTGCAAAAAGTGTCCGAGAAAAAGATGAAGTAACTTTTTAAAATTATTTCAAAAATACAAAAATTTGATAAAAAAAATTGGTAATTTTTAGATCAACAGAGGATTGAAGCAAGAAATTTCTGAGCTCGGCATTATTCTGGATTGCAAGCAAAATGATATGAGAGAATCAAGGGAGCTGGAAGAGAATGAGCAGAGGAAGAACAGGGAGCTCGAGGCGCACACTCGACTCATTGAGCACGACTTGGTCAAGTTGAGAGATACGCTGCAGGGAAACCAAAGCACTAGTTTTGTGCTCAACGAAGAGGTACTTTAGCGAAATAAATAAATTAAAAATTATCCCAAAGTTCTTATTTAGGTCAATAGCCTTCAACGCCATTTGGCTGGGTGCGGCAGCGACTTGTCCGAGTTGCGAAAGCGCAGTCAGGAGTTGACAAAGCAAATCAAGGAGATGGAGGAGCAAAGGGACCTTATGAAGGAGAGTTGCATGCAGAGAAAGGCGCGTCTCGCAGACCTGAGCGGAATGACGGAAGATTCGGAAAAAAGAAATTTACGTCTGGAGGAGATGGTTCAGGAAAAGTTAAGAGCCGTATCAAAAGGAAACCAGGACATTCACAGAATTGAAACTGAGACCACCAGGACAAAGCAGGAGCTCGGAGGCGTCAAGCAGAGCATCGACAACTGCCTCGTTGCTGTCAATGCAGAACAGGCTGCGCTCAGGAATTCTCAGCAGCAAAAGAACGCAGTTGACAAATTGCTGGAAAGACATAGAGACATGATTCTTGATATTGTAAGTAATTAATTGGCATTTTATGTAACAATTAAATATGATTTGTTTCTAGGATTTGGGAATCCAAAGGGCAGAGCTGAGACTCCAGAGGATTGCAAATGAAAAAGCTATTGATGCAGAAAACGCGACAAGGTTGGCAGAAAAAGAATTGCTGCTCAAGGAAGCACTTTCTGAAAAGAAAAATAATTTTATTGAACTGGAACGGGATTTACGAAACACAGAGGTAACCGCAAAGAAACAAATATTAATAAAATTAATTAGAAAAATTCCGAGTTCAGTCCAGTGAGAGGCAGGTTTCCCAGTCGCTTTTTACTTTGAAGGAGCAGTGTGGAGCATTGCAAGAGGCAGAGAAAGCCTACTGGGCTGAAGTGGAGGGCGGAGACTCCAAAATTTCTGCAAGTAGGACCGAGGTTGAGAATAGCCAAGTGAAAGTATCACTGATGAAGGCGAAAGTCACCAGAAGAAGTGAAGAGCTGCTAAAGGTCAAGGCCGAAGTTCTAAGCTTGAAGAACACAGCCTTACAAGCTGACAGGGTCGGAAGACTGCAAAGTGCAGAGTTGGCGTCGGAGCTCTCTGCTCTGACAGCAGAGGTGAACGGAGCGGAACATGAAAACTCAGAGCTCCGAGTTGCGATCAAAAAACGAAAGCTGCGGATTGAACAACTTCAAGGAGTGTAAGTTCGTCTTTACAAAAATTTAAAAAATAAACTCATAAGAATAATGCAATAGTTTGGACATGACCCTAAAATCCATGGAAGGAACGGGAGCTGAAAATTTGGATTCCATTCAATGCATCACAAAGCAGCAAATTAGGGTGGCTCAAGAAAAGGGCGAGTTGGTTCAAAAAGGCAACATGCTTGACCTCCATATAAGAACGGCAGAGAAAGAAATTCAGGTAGTTTTGATAAAATTTAAAAAACAAGTTATTTTAAACCAAAACTTGGCCAATAATAGGCAATGGAGCACACTTTGGCTCTGGTAAAGTCGGCTAATGATAGATATCGAAGCAGTCTAGCCCTCCCAGGTGCAACAAGTGCTGAAAGCGTGGACCCCGACTTGATGGAAAAAATTCAGCAGGAAGAACAACGCCAAAATAATTTGCGAGCCGAGTTGAAAGACAAGAAAGAGAGCGAGGCAAAAATATTTGCAAAGTGCCAAGTAATCAAAAGAGCTCAAGATAAAATTCAAACTTAAAAAAAAAATATAAACACAGAATTTAAGAGAGGAGCTTACGGAGACGGAGGGCAAGTACCAAGAGCTACTTACAGCAAGTGCAGAGCGCAGGCTGGAAGTGGGAGAGCTGGAAAGAGATTTGGCTGACCAAGACGTGAAGCTGAGACGAGCCGTGGCACAGGCAAAGCGCCTGAAACGGGAGCTAAGGGCAGGACACTCTGAACCAACATTTGAAGAGGTAAAATCTAATGCAATCTCATTAAGAGGAAAAATTATAAAATATCGCAAAATTAGAGAGATATTCAGGTAAAGGAAATGAAGAGAGTCAACACCTCAGCCATGAAGCAACTTTGGGAGCTGGGACACGAAGCCAAGCCTTTGGTGGTTCAATATCTGCAGGAAAAGGGGCTGCCGTATGAAAATCATGGGGCAGGGAAGTCAAAAGTTAAACAAAGTAGTCCATCTTCAACAGGCGCACCTGGACAGAGTAAGTTTTGAAAATGGCTTACTATGGTAATTATAAAACTCATGTAATTCTTTACATTCTTTAGGTGAATAAGAGAACAGATTGGCCCGATCAAAGGTATTACATTTATTACGTTGACAATCTATATCAAGGAAACGCAAAAGTGAAAAAAGCTATCTACAGGACTTAAAAATCTGCAATTAATCATTCAAGAGAATGACTGAATATCTTATTGATATAATGACATTAAGGGCTGCATAATAGCATTATAATTAAAAATTGATTCACAAAGCAAATTGCAGTTTCAATCATCAAGAGTTCTGCCCACTTATTTTTATTCTTTTGCCGCTATGTTTTGATATTAACCTGCACACTAATATACAGTTATATAATTATTAATAGCAATATTTAAACTGTAATGACATTGTATCTTTTGTAACCCTCAAAATTTGTTGAGGATAGAGCATCTTTAATAATAGAATTAAAAAAGAGAGATGCAAAGATGATAAACCTTCTTATTGGCACCGCCCTTCAAATTTACTTTACCTCTATCAGTCCATGCAATTTAAGGAAAGGCATAGGGAGGAGAGGATTTTTCAGCTGAGGACACCTTGCTTGCAAAGTTTATGTGATAAAATCCTCTCCCCTAAGCCTAGCGCATATCATCTGATGTCTGACGTGTACTTAGTCGAAATCTCGGTCGGGCAGTACAATTGGGGCCACCAATGTCCAAGAGTAGAGCGCAATGCAGAGCCAGCTTGAGATGATCTTCACCCACACCGATGCGATGTTTGAGTTCAAAGTTTCCAAAGAAGAATTTGGACTAAATTTCAATAAATTAATAACAAATAAAATTTAATGGAGTAAAAAAGCCTAAAGATACTTACGCAAACCAGTTTGTCAAAGTCATCATGACATAGAGGGTCGCCAGAACAAAAATCGAGTGGAAGAAAGACCAGTTGTAAGCAACACCATCTTCCTCATTATTCCAGACACGGTGTCCACCACTCTCAGTGTCACCATCGTCTGTAGGCATAGCGTAAAATAAAATTTGCAATATCTATAATTTTCTGAACTATTACATACCTCCAACAATGGGCTCATGTGCACAGTCTGGTGGGCCCAAAGGGAGCATGTGAAATGATAGAGGAAATCAGAAAAGCACACGATTTACATAAAAGAATGTAAAAGTATTCTTCAGTTAAATTGTGTAATCCAGAATATATACAACTTAGTTAACACTACTTTCATAAAGAATACTGATTAGTTCAGTTAATCGGGATAACTAATAATTAATATCAATACTTTTAATTAAACTCTTTTTTGATTATTTTTTTTTAAATATTGCTGATAAAAATTTAATATTTCACAACAGCCTGAACCCCATAAAATAAATTTAAGAGAAAAAGCAATGGACTTAATTATCAGTGAATTTACAACGGTATCATCAAACGTTGTTTGAAAAATTGATCTGCGCACTAACGTGACAAAAAGCAAAAAAGAATCAAAAGTGCAAGTAAAATTTTGGAAAGAAATTAAACATGCAAGATTAAAAGATATTATTTGAAGGTAACCTTACCTGTAGATCCAGTGTCCTTGACAAGAACGTGTTCCGACATGGCCAATTTTGAGTGGTTGGAGGCAGTGCGGATGCTGGAGTAAAGCACAGCACCCATCCAAATCAAAAGACCAATGATTGATTCCGCATCAAAATGAGTTCCAGAGTTGGTATTGCCTGTTCCTATAATAACACGAATTTCAAAGAAGAACAAAATTACTTTTTTTATTGCTAACCAGGTCCAAAAATTTCTCCAAGACGAGGGTTGCATGCCCTGTCAGGTTGATTGCTAAGGGCGGACCAAGTCAGGTAGGTGACATAGAGGGACACCACAGAAGCTTGCAGCAGACCAGAGCGGGGCTGGCGTTCCTGAACAGCTGGCATGATGGACAACACGCTGGCAGCAAAGCAGAAGATCAAGTTGATGGACAAAAAGAATTTGTTCAGGCCACAACTATCAGCCTGTACGACATAATAAGTCAGTCATGAAAAACAAACTTCAAAAGAATATAACTTACATGAGTGAAGAATATGAAGAGCAATACAAATCCAGTAATTGCCAATCCGTAGCAGACGATAGTTGCTGCAAAAAGACCACAATACCAAGCTTTAGACTCGGTTTCTTCGTAACGGCCAACCCAATCTTCAGCCCAGCTATGGGCAAAGTCCACAAGCAAAACCAGTTGCACCAGGATGAATAAAAATCCGCCGATCATTCCGAACCACATCCAGGTGGGCGCAAACGATCCCTCGGGAATGAAAAAGGCTCCAACCGCAGCTCCGATAATCAGCAAAATCTTGATTCCCCAAAATCTAGAAAACCCAATAAACAACCAGAACTAATATTGGCTGAATTTAACTTACCCATTCTGGATTCCAGCTCGAGGATCTTTTCCAGACTTGACCCCTATCATAATGACTGCCATGAGTGTGAAGAAGCAGCACATAGCAAAGCAAATCCTGTAGACGGCCAAGTAACCAACAGCAGCGGAACAGTCAATCGTAACTTCTTTTGGTAAAATCCGAGTAGTATTCGAACAAAACGGAACCTAAAGATAACATTTTAACTAAACATCTGTGAGAGAAATTTGAAAATTTTACATTAGCTAGTGTGTCCTGCAAGCCTGGCGAGAGCGTGATGCAGGCCACAATGGTGCCGAGAATCAAGAGGACGCCGTACATAATTCGAGTCGACGTAGAAGATTTGCATGATGGACACGCCGAGCAGCACAAACTGCATGCTGCACTTCCACAGCAGCATGCCAGCTAAAATTATAAAGGTGTAAAAAAATCATGGATATTTTAATTTATTTTAGAATTCATACCTGGCCAGCTGTGCAGAGCGCAAGGACGGCTCCCATGTTTCACAGCGAACTGGAAATAAGAAATTAAAGAGTGAGGTGGAGTCACGGAGAAACTTGTGAAAATAATCTTTCAGCAATCTGATTATTGGAGACTTGTATGGCTTCCTTGTCGTGCTATGGTACAAGTCAAAGATGTTATACAAGGGCAAATTTTATTACCGGTTTCTTCAGGCATATTCATTTATAACCTTTTTCTTTTTATCTTTTTTCACTCTCACAAAAAAATAATGAGTTTACACAACCACGTTCTGATGGGTATTTTGTTGCATGAGTCAAATTATATCAGGCAATTTTAAGACAGATACCATGGATGACACAGAAGATATATTAATGTTTGTGACTCATTTATGAACTGACTTAAGATGCTAGCTGATGCTAAGCTAATAATCCAAAAGCGTTCATTTTTTGGAAATTACATTACTGCTTACAACCAAATATGTATAAAATTAATTTAATTCTGAAAATAGAAATAATTTTACCTTCATTGGGTAATTATGCAACAAGACATAAAAAAATTACTAAAAAATTATGAACTCCACTTTTTATGATGTGACGGTACAAATTCATAATTTTGGTCTTGAATTGGGACCATTTCTACTGCAGTATATTTTATACAAAATAAATACAAAAATTTTATTCCTTTTTAATTATTATGTAAAAAAATTTAAATTTTAAACAAAAAGTTTTGTTAGTTGGTTTGGAGTTTGGCGAAAAATTTTCACAGAATAACATAGTGATGTAACGTACAAACAAACAAATTATTGATTACGTTTTGTTTACATACTTTTCAAACCAGCATAAAACCATGAACTTTAAAAATAAAAACGCCAATTTATTACATACCTATTGTTTTTTTGTTTTTTTTTTGTACAAATATTATTTATTTAAAAATCCATTGTTGCTAATTGAGTTTACATAAGAAAAACACGAAAAATAAACTGGTAACGCTTAATTTCTAATGAAATCTTATTAAAACTATGTATGTATACAAGGAAATCAATAAGGTTGCCCGTGAATTGCGTCGAAAGTTGATCTTCAAATTATTCGTCTTACTCTTTCAATAACCTCGTAAATATTACAATTTCTCGATGGTGGATAGTTTGGGAATACTTACAAAGACGAGATCCTCAGAAATTACTCTGTTGAAGAGTATTTTTCAGCAATTTCTGTGGATAATAATGAGGAATAACGCAATTCACTGTTTTCGTTTTTCATTCCAGCTTCTTCAGCTGTTTTCTGCAGTAGTACTATACCAACTTAATAATATTTTGCATTTGCAAGCAATAATTAGTTATTTGAGCTGCCGGTAGCTAAATATCCAAGTAGAAAACAAAATTACCCTATAAAATGGCATTTTTTAATTTTTACTACTATACGAGCTAAATTGTCGTAAGTATGCAAAAAAAAAATTAAAAATTAATAAACATCATGTTGGTATACAAAAGATTTTGACATCGCTCCAGTCTGCTCTGTTTGCATGCAGCGACAAAACAGGTCGGTGTGTGGTAACACGATTATGGGTGGGGGTAAAATCGTGATTATTTTTTTGAAATATTTTGTCGTTTTTGCCTGCTCGATGATAACCGTCAACGCTGTTATCTATGTACGAATTATTGGGTGATAAAAAATGTAATCCTTTAATCTTTAAAAATCATTCTTCAACTCCACGTCCACATTAATTGATCGAGTATCAAGTCACATTTTCGTAAACTTGTTTTTGCCCTCACGACGTCCCGTTTTGGCGCCTCCAGCATTGTGGCAAAAATCGGAACTGGCAGCTGGAATTTTCAAGGCTCCATCCAAAAATAGAACAACACCCTGGCAGGAAAATCGCTTTTCCGTCGTATTTCGGCGAAATCTGACGTCGGTTGACGATTTCCTGCACCCGGCAGCTCTGGATCGCATCACCAAATCATCTTCATTCAAGAATTAACCCGAGAATTTTCATCAACCACCTCCAGCTCCGGTAAATCAACAATTTTCAGCCGAAAAATTTTTGTATATATTTTGTTAATCAATGCGCAGAACGTATGTACACACAGAATATACATTTACACACAGGCAACAACACAGAGCCGCACCAAATCCGCCTTATCTGGCAATCAATTTTTGGTGTGTTCCGCTTATTAGTTAGCCACGGCAGTAAATCAATGCGGTCGGATTAATTTTGCGCAACATCGGGGAAATTATCGAGCAAAAACACCATTGGCGGCTTTATCAGCGCAGTATAGTATTTCGGTGGGCGCTTGGTGGTTGCTACGTGGTGGGTGCAAAAGAGTAAGTGCCCTTCTATTTTTAGATCTTGGGTACGGAAGGGTCGTGTTCAAGAGGCCATGGGCAAAATGCGTGTTGAACATCATGCATAATTATTCCGTCAATGCGCTTCTTCTACAGCGTAATTTTGCTCTTTGGGTCATACAACGTAAAATAATACTTTGTAATGAGAATTCTATCGAAAATTTATCTTTTTCTAGAAAAATCGGTAATCTTACAAGAGGCGCGACCTATACACCACTCTCTCAGAATTAGGTTGGTATCCCGTTTTATGTCGCGCCTGCTGTAGTGGTTTTATGTCGCGCCTACTGTAGTGGTTGTATGTCGCGCCTGCTGTAGTGGTTGATAAAGAAAACCGGTATTTACAGCTCACAATCACCGGGACTGCAGGAAAGAATAAGGGCCTTTGGGATGGGTTCAGAAGGGGAAGACAATCTTAACTGATTGCAAAAGACGTGATCTACCACCAATGTACGGGGAAGGGGGTTGTTTTTATATGTCGCGCCTCTTGTAATGGTTCACTACAACAGGCGCGACATATGCAAGTATTCTCATGGTAGGTCGCGCCTCTTGTAATCGACCACTACAACAGGCGCGACATATGCACGCAACGCCTGTGGTAGGTCGCGCCTCTTGTAATCGACCACTACAACAGGCGCGACATATACAATTAATAATGTTAAAAAAAACGAAAACAGCGAAATTGTATGCACACCACGAACCAGACCACCCCACAAACCGGCAACTCGGACGTGGGCAACCCCCAAGATTAATTTTTGCAGAAGCCGCGAGCGAGGGGTGGAGGCGCAGCGAGGTCGAGGACGTGGGGAAGGCCGTGCGGAGGGCGAGGACAAAAGGGCGGCTGTGTTCGTGGGGGAGCTCCTGCGGAGCCCCCCCACGATCCCCGCCCTTTTGTCCCGCCCGGAGCCGGCCTTCACCACGTTCTCGGGCGAGCGCGCCTCCAGCCCGAAGCTCGCAAACCCACAACGGAGTTGCCCACAAAGGGAGTTGTCTGCAAAGGGTGTTTTGAAAGCAAACAGTGTGGGTGCCCACAACTCCCTTCGTGGGCAACTCCGTTGTGGGTTTGCGAGCTTCGGGCTGGAGGCGCGCTCGCCCGAGAACGTGGTGAAGGCCGGCTCCGGGCGGGACAAAAGGGCGGGGATCGTGGGGGGGCTCCGCAGGAGCTCCCCCACGAACACAGCCGCCCTTTTGTCCTCGCCCTCCGCACGGCCTTCCCCACGTCCTCGACCTCGCTGCGCCTCCACCCCTCGCTCGCGGCTTCTGCAAAAATTAATCTTGGGGGTTGCCCACGTCCGAGTTGCCGGTTTGTGGGGTGGTCTGGTTCGTGGTGTGCATACAATTTCGCTGTTTTCGTTTTTTTTTTAACATTATTAATTGTATATGTCGCGCCTGTTGTAGTGGTCGATTACAAGAGGCGCGACCTACCATGAGAATACATGCATATGTCGCGCCTGTTGTAGTGGTCGATTACAAGAGGCGCGACCTACCATGAGAATACTTGCATATGTCGCGCCTGTTGTAGTGAACCATTACAAGAGGCGCGACATATAAAAACAACCCCCTTCCCCGTACATTGGTGGTAGATCACGTCTTTTGCAATCAGTTAAGATTGTCTTCCCCTTCTGAACCCATCCCAAAGGCCCTTATTCTTTCCTGCAGTCCCGGTGATTGTGAGCTGTAAATACCGGTTTTCTTTATCAACCACTACAGCAGGCGCGACATACAACCACTACAGTAGGCGCGACATAAAACCACTTCAGTAGGCGCGACATAAAACCACTACAGCAGGCGCGACATACCAACCTAATTTTTAAATACTGGTGTATAGGTCGCGCCTCTTGTAAGATTACCGAAAAATCTACTGTTGCAAATTTTTCCTGAAGGAATCCTTAAATTTAAATTAATTGACATTAGTCGAAATAATAAGTACATAGTTGAAGACGATGGTGGTTAATTTACAATAATAATGGCTCTATATAAGTCCTTAATAAGTTTTGAATTCAACAATAGATAAAAATTAGAAATAATTGTTTTAAAAAAAATCATAACTTATCAAAATCCTAGTCATTTAATGCTACAGAGAATTTAATATCCAAGTGTCCCACAAGTGTGACGTTGCATAATATTATACCATTATATTATGTAATTTAATCATTTCTTGTTATTTTTCTTTCAGGGAAATGAAGAAGGGAAAAGTTACAAAAGCTGGACAGCTAAGGCGGAGCAGGCGATTATTAGGTAAATTTTTATGGACTTAAGTTTGCGTCTGAAATTTACAAAATGATTGCAGGATGTTAAAAAAAAATGTTGTTTGCAGTATATTATTTATTTTTTCCCTTTTAATCCTGCGTTTACATTAAACACTCGTGGTCATATTTCAATGAGAATCTTATGAAAAAAGACTAAACTATACAATGCCGTGTGGTGTGTGAGAATTGAACTAATGTGGTGGCATGATGTTTAGTTGCACGGAGCTGCCCAAAAGGAGTCCGCCTCAGTCCTGAGAGTCTTCATAATGTGAGTTGCGTTGCAAGCCTCACTCTCAGTGTGTAGACCTAGTTGGACCTTGCGTTATTTTTACCACTTTTGTTTTATTATTTTCAGTTTTGCATGCCGCATGCCCTTTAGCTTAGTATTATTTTTTTAAAAACGTAGTTTATTTTGTGTGCATTATTTCCAACAAATTCGTTTTTGATTGGCACAAGTTGAATTCTCAGTGCTACGCCTAAGAATGCTGTCGGCGAACACCAATACTGGGGGTGACAGGAGTGGCGCAACAAGCCCGATGACTGCCGAAAACGCCATTCACGACTTTTTGACCACTGGCCGGACTGGGAGACGAAATGCCATGCCGGACATTTTGGGCGAAAACGCCAAGGCAAGCACCGCTGATCTCCCTGAAAAGCTAGAAGCTCTCTCTTGTTCCGGCGGTAAAGAATTTTTAAGTTCCCCTCTATTAAATTCAAATGTATTCTTTTTATTTATTTTTTGTTTTATTACTTTCTAAAATATTCTATTAATTTTTAGGAAAAAAATTGTTCAATATTATAAAACTTTCATTTTTGCAGAAAAGGATGGTCAGCCAGGCACGAGTTCCGCTGGCCAAACTACGCAAAGCCAATCAACTAATAAGTCAAACTCGGATTCACCAGAAAAAAGTTGAGCCAATTCTGGCATTTGAGGCTGCCGTGAAGTTCCTACGTGGACTCTGAAGTGTAGTCGACGCCTTGTGTCCAGGACAATGTAAGAAAAGGCAATGCAAGGGCAACGATTATTAGTGAATGCGTTTTAATCGATTGGAAGGCCTATTTTGGTAAAGATTGCAACGATGACCGTGACCCCATAGGCCCATGAATTGTTATTATAGGCTGTGTTTCCATTATTATCCAGATCTCGATCAAAATTGAAGCTTGTTTCTTGCTGGGATACCATTTGATACAGCTATTTTATTTAATTAAATTATTGTTTTAGTTGATACTGCGGGAGGATTGAAACATACAAATTAATAATATGTTATAAAACAAAAATGCAGAAAATCAACTTTTGAGGTAGCCAAGGAGCTCGAATGAAAAATAGAGTTAAGGTACTGTCAGGGGATAACCATTCTAAAAATCATAACATTGGCTTGTCTGTACTAATTGAAACTGCGGAGGTCTTCTCTTTCTACACTATTTCTTTAAATTTATGACAATATTCAAGATGTATAGTTGCATTAGTAGATTGTCAAGCTATATTGAACGGTGGAAAAGCTGCATTTAAATAGTTCTGTGCAGAATATTGTTGATGTGCCCCTACCTTGCAACTCGAGACTAATACGGCGTTTGCATGACAACTTCATCAGTCAGGAAAAATATTCAAAACTGAATATATGTTGTGGTATTTATGACATTCTAGCTAAATAAGTGACCATTTTCATGTGATATTTTAGTGTTTGCTTCAGCTCTGCGTCAGTCATGAATTAGCACTCCCAAATTAAATATTTGTACTCTGCTAAGTGTGGCACCTTTTTACTGAACTGCAAATAATTGTGTTCTCGAAGAGGATGCCCAATTATAAACAGAAAAATAAGACCTATATGAAATAAGCACCATAAATAAATGATGAATTAAAATTTTCACTGTTGGTGAAAAACAGCAGGAAAAGTATAAGGTTGCATTTATTTTACAGAAAATATAATGCATTTTGCTTATTTTCAGAAATTTTTAGTTTAGTTGAATTTATTTTAATTCACCCTCTCTGAAGTTGTGACTAAATTTTCAAAACAGCTGTAAAAACCATACAACATTTTTACATGATCATGATGATTAATGCAAACAGACAAATAATAACGTGGATGCAGGAATTGCAGAACAATATTCATATTGATTGAGATAAAACATTATTTCGTGTACTTGCTAAGTGTATGAGTGTCTTTCAAAAATAAAGAATGAAATAACAGTAAAAAATATTTGTTTAATTTGTTTCTAACTATAACAGAATTTCCACTCTATACCGGTGTTTTTTGTGTGTATTAATTGTCTATATATTATGTATAATTGATCTTTTTATTGTGTTAATTTTAAAGACAAATTATAAAATTATTAAACCTTCAATAATAAAACAATTTTATTTTACTATTATTACGGACTATTACTATTATCAAAAAAATTGCTCCATTTAAGGTTCATAACTTTTTGTTAATTTAAAATAATGCAATAAAAATAATTCATCCAATTCATTCGTTTATATCGTAATTCCTAGCCATTTCCAATATTATGTACTATATTATTTTCATGTTAGGGGGCAGGGGCTGTCGCGTCAAGTTTATTGCTATTTAAAATGCCCGCGCGTAACGAATTGGCTGTTGCTATCCAATAGGCGTGCAGTAAACAGAAGGGTCTTCTGCAGAATCATGGATTCGCAGGTGCCGTGGGTGGTGCTGTGAAGTTGTGAATATAAATAATAATACAATTTATCCAAATTTAGTGATCCATATTTCGTTTTTCGTGTAGCAGATATTGCCGAAAAACAGTACGTATTCCTGCTGTAGTGGAATTTGAAATCCTCTGCTGCCTTTTAATATTTGAGTAACATTTACATACATAAATAGGGAAGTTTAGAAGAAAAGCGTTTTTATTTCTTATTGATAAAATTTTGCATACCTCGAGTTTTTCCGACAGACTGCGGCGACAAGCCAAAGTTACATTACGTTTAGTACATATTGACATTTACGATTTATATATATGATTTCAGTGATGATGGATCCAGATAATCATCACATAACACTGAGACTTCTTTTGAAGATTTAGTGTCCATTCCAGCTGTAAGCCTTCATCAGGGAGTTAACATAATCATTTGGAATAAAAATAATTGAAGGAACAATTATCTCTACGAGCATATCACCATGAGCAACGCTGGTCCATGGCTGGCCAGGGTCAGGATGAGCCGAGCAGTGGCCCTGGTTTTACTCCTGATAGGAATCTTGACTGTGGCCACACACTTTTATCTTCCAAAATTTGAAAGCACCGGAATCCATCGATCAAGGCTAAAACTAGAGGCACTCGAAGATCTCGGTAGCTTGAAAGCAGCTGACCTTAAATTTCGAATAGAAGAAATGCTGCAGATCAAAGGTTGTAATGAAAATGATAAAAATTTCAACAATCATTAATGACAAAATATTTCAGGTTCAGTGAGCCTTGAGCTACGGGATCTTGAAGGAAGACGACATGCACTTCAGGCAGAAGTAGGAAATTACAATCAGAAAATAGAGGACCTGAAACTGGAGCTGTCAAAGCAGCAAACAGAACTCGAAAGATTAAAAATTTCTGTCGAACAAGTAATACACTTCCAACTAGCTTATTTCAGGCCATTTTAAACTAAAATTTTTTACAAACTTCAGGCACAAGTTGCTCAGCAGGAGGCCATAGAAAGGAACAGTCCTGAGGTGGCAATGCCAAAACGCCTATTTCCTCCTCGGTCGGCACTCTCCGAGATTTTGCCAATGCCATCTGCACAAGAATCCTCTATCTGCAGGATGAATCTCTGCTTTGATTACTCTCTCTGTGCGCTTACGTCTGGCTTTCCAATATACCTGTACGACCCTGAAGTATTTGAGTATCTTGAGACGGACTCCTTTCTACGCACACATCTGGCGCAAACCTTTGGGTACAACCCACACATCAACCAAGACCCATCACGGGCATGCATTTTCATTGCTCTAGTAGGGAATGTGACAAAAGAGAATCTAGAGACAGCTCTACCCAAACTTCCGTACTGGAGGGTTGATGGGCGAAATCACTTATTACTCCACGTCACAAGGGGCCCCTATGGTGGACCACCCCTGTCAAAGATCAACGTAGGAAGAGCCATGATAGCCCAGAGCACAGCCATTGAAGGGATATTTCGACCTAAATTTGATCTGATCATTCCACCTGCCATGGGGCCTCCTGGAGGTGACATTTGGCAGGAATATTCATTAATGGTTCCTGCCAGGAGGCGCCTCTTGATGTCCTTCCAAGGCCAGCTTGCATCTGGAGCTCCTAAGGAAGAGCTAGACAAATTTGTTGTGGCTCAGCTTCAATCTTTATTAAATACGAAAGCAACGGACAAATTTATTTTGGATTTTGTGTGCCCGGAACAGTACCCAGCTTCAACAACAATCCAGGCCGTTGGTGGCGAGTGGATGCCTTGTGGAACCGAGTCGAGCCGAGCAACAATTTTGAAATCCTCCACATTTTCCCTAATTCTGGCACCAACAGATGTGGCAGTCTCGTCCACGCCTCTGATTTTGTCTCGACTTGTAGAAAGTTTGAAATCCGGAGCAGTGCCAGTTTTATTGGGTGATCACTTGCAATTACCTTTCTCAGAGACATTAATGTGGAAAAAAGCTGTTCTGCATTTACCAAAAGTACATATATTTTTGGAATTCATTTAAGTGTTGTTTGACTGAAAATATCTTCTAGGCTCGAGTGACGGAGCTTCACCTTGTTCTTCGTGCCATACCAGACTCGGACCTGCTTACCATGAGGAGGCAGGGTCGACTTTTTTGGGAGCGCTACATGGGCTCCGTTCAAGCTCTCACAGATACTGTGGTTGCTGCTCTGCGTGATAGACTTCTCATTCCGCCCCTGCCAGCTGAGCAAGAGTCATCGCCCTCTGTTTTCAATTCATCTTTTGTGGTAATTTACGCAATGAATTGTTATCTGAAGTACATAATGTTTGTTTGTAGCCATTAAAAATGGACAACGTAGTACCTGAGACCGAGGCTGAAGAGAGTCTTGGTCCTATTGAACCCCCATATCCCTCTCCTCAATATAGGAGAAATTATTCGCTATTCTTGACACAAGGTTTTGAAATGTGGAATGACTGGGGTGATCCATTTCACTTATACCCACAGTTACCATACGATCCGTTGCTGCCATCGGAAGCAAAATTCCTTGGTAAATTGTCCCAATAAATTACACTAAATATAAATAAATATTGGAAATCTTTCTAGGCTCAGGACTTGGATTTCGTCCAATCGGCCATGGAGCTGGAGGCTCTGGCCGTGAATTTTCAGAGGCTCTTGGTGGAAATGTGGCCAGAGAGCAATATACAGTTGTGATGTTGACCTACGAAAGGGAGCAGGTGCTTTTGGCATCAATAGCCAGATTAGTTGGTTTGCCATACTTAAATAAAGTAGTGGTCGTGTGGAACTCGCCAAAACCTCCAGCTGAAGATCTGAGATGGCCCGATATTGGTGTTCCCGTTCAGGTAAAAATTTCTCACACTGCAGCAGTTTAAAGTTTCTTTTTTAAACATTATTTCTGCAGGTTATCAAAGCTGGAAGAAACAGCCTGAACAATAGATTCCTGCCATACGACGCAATAGAGACTGAAGCCATTTTATCTGTTGACGATGACGCTCACTTGCGTCCTGATGAAATCCTGTTTGGATTTAGGCAATAATATTTAAATTTTTTCAAGTTAAATTTTAAGTTTAATGTGTGCAATAGAGTTTGGAGAGAGCAACGAGACCGACTTGTTGGTTTTCCTGGACGGTATCACGCTTGGGACTTAGAGCACAACTCTTGGAATTACAATTCTAACTACTCCTGTGAACTTTCTATGGTCTTGACAGGTATAATACTTTTTGTTTTATTTGAATATTAATTAATTTTAAATTTGAACTGTAGGAGCTGCATTTTTCCATAAATATTATGCCTATTTGTACAGTTATTGGATGCCTCAAGCAATTAGAGAAAAGGTCGATGAATATATGAACTGTGAAGATATTGCCATGAATTTCCTTGTTTCCCATATTACAAGGAAGCCCCCAGTAAAAGTAAAGATAACATCTTCCCTTGTGCAAGTTACTAACTTATTTTTAGGTGACTTCGAGATGGACCTTTCGATGTCCTGGATGTCCAGTTTCACTATCTGAGGACAATACTCACTTTCAAGAGCGCCATAAATGCATCAATTTCTTCAGTGAGGTAAGCTGACTTTTAATCTTTTATCTCTATTATAATGTAATGCATATGACATTTGTTGTATTTAATTGTACCAAAATGGAATGAGTAATAATGAAAATTTTCATGAAGGTGTACGGATACATGCCTCTTCTCAACACGCAATTCCGAGCAGATTCAATTCTATTCAAGACAAGAATTCCTCATGACAAGCAAAAGTGTTTCAAGTTCATTTAAAAAAGCAAATATTTTTTTGGACGCCTTCATGTGCCAATAGTGTTTTTGTGCGGTTGATATAAAGTTGCATTAAGAATCTGCTGATCTCAACCTTACATGTTGACCCGTTTTAAATTAAGGAAGTCTAAGCCAATGCAAATAAGTGCAGCTCGCAATGTGATTTTATTGCAATAACTTTTAATCAATTATTTGTTACCACCTTTAAAATTCTAGACATAATAGTTTTAAAATGGATAAAAGTTTTTAAATTGTTACTGCCATCAGAAGCGTATTGCTTAATTTTTTATTTTTAATATTTTTAGCTACTGAAATATAAATTTTGGTCATTCCTTTTTGTTGGAAGCCCAAATAATTATGTCCATTGTGCTATTGTAACAAAAACCATTTCATCAACAACGCATTTTTATGTTATGAGTTATGATCAACAGTGACCACAGTTCATCTTTTCGCTTTATCAAATAAACAGGGATATTATAGTAAAATACTTACAAAAAAAGCTAGTTTCTATAAGTAAACAACAATCAAGTTATAATTCTAGAGTAATTTTTATTGTTTGCTATTATCATGCAGTCACAAAACAATTGAGATTACGGGCGCAGAACATACAAAAGAATGAACTCTTGTGTCATGCTCTGGAGGAGCAAAGCACCACTCAGGGTGCCCTGCTCTAATATCACTTCATAGCTGTTGAAGCGCGTGTAATGATTGGTTTCGATAAATGAGCATAGATTCATACCTCTAAAAGAACACTACACTTGGTGATATAAAGAACAAACAAAGATAATAATTATAAAATCAATAAACACTTTAGCAGCCCTGTCGAGTGTCTCAAACGCACACAGGCACATAATTTCCACTGCGAAGGCTGATGATCGGCGTTTTATCAAGCCTGCTCATAAGATTTGTACGAGCTCCTCCTATGCCGGTCTGTACAAAACAGAAGCATCGATGAAATCAAGCCGAATAGCTAAAAAATTGATTTTATTTATTACGTTCACCAAAAATTATTATTCTTTTTACTTGGATAAAGGCAACAATTAAGCCAATAACTCCAACCACGTGAAGCCTCTGTACGAAGAACATTTGCACTTGCTCGGCACATCCTTTGGAATACCACATGTCCGGGTCTTCAGATTTTCCGCAATCTATAGTGATATTTAATAATTTAGTATCAAATTCTAAGACATTTTCCGTCCTTACCTGTCATGTTGGAAAATTTGGGTAGGCAGCAAGAATTCGGAACATAATTTTGTCCGGGCCAGACGTTCGAATCGTACCAGTCCTCATGGTTGGTGATTCCACAGCAGCCAAACTTTTTGAAAAAATTGGTTCATTCAGTTTTATCATTTTATTTTTTGTACATTTTTTTGAGTGTGATCCCAGAGAGTAGCCAAGCTGGAGGGTGGGTCGATTGCATACTGCTGTTGGATGCCAACTCTGAGTTCATCCACCAGGTACGAGCCAAGTGGGACGCGGAGCAAGAAGCCGGCTGCCGCCAACAGGAATTCAAGCACGAAGAGGAACACCACGAGACTGAAATACTATTAGCAAAGGTGCGTCAGTGAATTGTGTGTAAAAGAAAATCAACAAATTTGTGGAGGGCTTAGTCAGTCAATACATGACACAAGTTTAATTAATTTGTATTCAACACAACAAGACGTCTGGTGTAAAATATTAATTTGAAATTGCAGTCAACTTCCTTTTAATCTATCTGAATCTCCACGATTTTTTTATGAATCATAAATGTAAAATTTCAGATTTTTACCATTACAAGCATGCATCTGCTTTGGAACCAAGAGCCACAGCAGCCGAAAAAGGCAACCACAAACATGGCCACCCCGATGCCTGTCAGAAGGTTGTCGGCGCTCAGGACGCTCTGCTGTGGCAACAGGGCGGTGTACCCTTCGTAGGCAAGTCTGAGCCAAAGCCCAATGCCCAGAAGGCCGCACCCTGACAACTGGAAGGTGAGTCGAGAATTTCCAAAGGATTAGTATCAAATAACAGATTGAAGTAAATAATATAAAATTGGACTTCATCTTACCCACAGGATGACATTTATGGAGCAAAAGGTGTGCCTCACGCACGTGTAACCGCTTCGGCCCATCTGTAACAAAAGAGACAGTGCAGGTGGTGAGTACAGTACAAATGCATGCTTCCTAAGGTGTGGTTTTCTTAGCATAGTTAGCAATCAAATGAAAGTGCCTCTGATTGCGAATAGTAACGACAATGCCAGTAGAATATGAGCCAAAATGCCTACATTTGAAATTTAAATTTCACTCTTTCCAACGATTTTCCCTTCTCTTTATTACTCAAGAATTGGCTGCTTTTACAAAAAAAAAAAAAAAAAAAATATCAGCGATAAAAATCTTACACTTATAAATTTGAGATTTTTGAAATTCAAAAGCTTGATGTCAATTCATATTCAAGGAAAAGTAAAATGAAAAATATTGAAACGGATATCAAGTAAAAATATTAAAATGAAGTTAATATTGCCTTAAAATTACATGAATTTGAAATAGTTTGAACTTTATTAATCCTCAGACTGTACTTTAGAAATTACATTGTCCTTGCAGGGGGGTTATCGCTCAACACCATCCATGCAAAACATCAATCGGCGGGGTGTCGGATAAACATTGGCTCTGATGATATTACAGCTAGAGCACATGATATCAAATTTCCCTGCTGGGGTATTAGCTGATGAAAATTTTATTGCCCGGGTGACCTTTGTGGTGGTGTCGAGTAGTCTGTCAGATCTCTCTCGCTTGCTCTCCGATTGTATATTATTTTGCGCTAGGGCACCAACCCGACCGCGATCCCCCTCTGACTGACTAATGCACATTATACGCCACAGATTGACTCTGCCTGGGCTATGTATCCTTCCTGGTTTGCTCTCAATGAATGCGTCCTGCCGTTGTAAACTCGTGCTTGTATTGTTAAACGTGGCGATCTATATGTGAAAAGGAGTGAATATTCCCACGAGTGCGTTTTTTCAAGCATTATTCCTCAACTGATGCCCCATTGTTCTCGTGCAGTATGGGAGATTCATAATTGTTTTTTTGCGCTAAGGTGTCAGTCAGTGATGGCGTAAACGAGAAAAACGCTGAATATTATGGGTCATTAACATTAATTTGCCACACACACCACATAAATCCCCAGTTGACATGTATTTTGCCCGTGATTACTTTTAAATCGCTGTGGTATTTTATACCCGTGAAATATTTTTGCACCTAAATCCTTTATATAAAATCCTTCCCAAATATTCTTTCGTCAATCAATTGATTTTTATCATAATTTTGAACCATATCTCTGGAATGGCTTGGCAATTTCGTAGCTTTCAAAAATGTCTAAATATAAGCACAGCTCAAGTTTATACACATGCATTCTCCTCAATGGTATGTTAAAAGCAAAAGAAAGTCGTAAACTTCAATGACCGGTAGCTGTCGGCTCGCCTCTGCCGAAGATACATTTTTAGCCACAAGTATATATAAATGAATGTCTACGACGATCTTTGACAAATAAACAGAACAAATCTCTTCGTCGCACGCAAATTTCTGCTGCCCTAGAGATAAAAGACTTTTATTTGTTCGGTTGGACTTGGTTGGACTGATAGAAAATAGAAGACAATTTACAATACCTCACAGTTCTCTAAATATCCCTTCTGCGAAAAACTATATAAATAAAAATGTTTATTTTGAGCTAAATTGAAATTTGGGCCAAATTTCTTCAGCTTTATCTTAATTTTTATGTGAGTAAACAAAAGTTATAATCAATGTTAAAATATTTTAAATTGATCTAGAAGGCGACCGCAGGGATTCAGATCTTAAAATATGAATCTGCATTTTAGTAAGTTCACATATATTTGGATTTTTAATTGATTAAATTTGAATAAAATACAAACAAAAAATCATTAAAGTGGCTGAAATTTCAAAATTACTTAGCCACAAGAGGCAAAATATTTAAAAATTTAAATAATGTGCAAAATTTTTGAGAATCGTACTCTTTTCTTAAACGCTATGTTAGAGGATTTATTTTAAAAACTAATTAATCAAGATTTTCTGCTCGTTTCGACTCACGCAGCGTTCAGCATTGGGTGGCTAGTGAGCCAATTTCACAGCAGGAATTAATATCCAGTGAGTTTACTTAAAAGCGTGGTGACACCGTTTATGTTATAACCTGAAAATACTCCATAGGACAAACATTTTTATCATCATTAAGCATTTGAAACGCTCTTAATAAAACATTCCCATAAAAGACCTTTTTATTGATCAAATAACGCGTCTTATGTTTTGTAATTCCCGAGTTGGGAAAGGGTCGCCTGTGTATCAAACGCCGCTTTATTTACTTTATTTTCCTAGAATATCATTCTTATCGCTGGCAGACTCAAAAGAGACGTTAGATAACGCCCATGCATGAAAACTTAATCCTCAACCTCTCGGATTACGGCCCCTCGCATAATGAAGAGGCCGCCGTATAAATTTAACATTTGTCTCTCGTCGGAGCCCAAAAGGTAATAATTCCGAGCACGGCGAGCCACCCACAATTTGAGCAGCCAGATTTTTATTTCCATGCACGGAGGAAGGGCATCGCGAGCGGGCACCTTTCTGACCTGGATACGGCGCGGAACTAACGGGCATACGCGAGACTGCTGCTTTTAATAAACATTTCTCCGCGGCTCTAGCTCGCCAGGCGATGCTGACCCGATTATCTTATCTGCGAGACTTATGTATATTATTTTCACACACAGCGTGATCGTGCGTTACATCTGCACGTTGGATGCACAGTCGGCTCGAAATTTCACCGCGTGCATTGTGATACTGCAATTACCACCGATTTTATTTTCCGCACACCTCAGCCGTGCTCTTTTAAAAGCTTTTGTCAGTGCGAATCGTGACGAATTTTCTTGTAATTTGGAGTAAATTTATCGCAGAAACGCTTTGTGCTTCACGATTCAAACTTTTTTTATAAACAGGCCATGAATGTAAAAATGTCAAAATAACTAAAATAACGAATATTTTTTTTAATTTCTAATTTTTATGAATTATTGAATTATGCTTTAAAAACAAAAATTTTTAAATAGTATTCAACAACAAAAATTATGAATTAATAATCAATGTAAATATTTCAAAATTAACATTTTTTACTGAATATTTAAATTTTTATTCCACATTTAATACTGAAAAGCAAACTTTTTTCTTCATAAAATTAAGGGCTTTAAGTAATAGATTTTAGTGAACAAGGAAATTATCTGCGTCGTAAGTGCGGCACACAACGAAAGACGAATAAATTTAAGCGCCAAACTGGCTGTTTTCCCAGAACACGCTGCGGCGTTTTGTGTAAAATCAGAGAGCCGAATCCGGTCTTGCTTGTGCGAAAATGAGAGAAAAAAGTGGCCAAAGTGGGTTGACAGACGAGTCGAGCGTTGATGCCCTCTTTTGTCCTTACCTCAGACCGGTGGCGTTGCAGGCCGAAGGTAAGAACAGGTGGCCGCCAGGTCGGTCCAGCGGTGCCTTCCTACCTCTGGAGAACACCAGCCGACGCCAGACAGACAATCCAAGCGACTGAGGCACTTTTGTATTTCAGTGTGTCATGATCCCTACCTTGTAGCTCCTCTCCTCCACCGACGCTCGGCGGTGCTGCTCCTCGTTGGCTGGACGCCGCGCTTTCCTTTCATTAAGCTCGAGTGCATTGTAGCGCTGATGATGATGTTGGTGCGCATTGTCTGATTGAAATTTATTCCGGCTCGACATCCTGCAATTTGCCGCAGCGCCAAATCAATCCAAACACCGACTGACGGAATTATCGCGGATCTTTCTTTATTACACGAAAAAGATATTAATTCAGCTGATGCTGGACATTAATTAATCTTATCTGCTGGCTTGGAGTTGCCAAGTTTTGACTTCTATACTCCTCGTGAATAATATCCCATGTTTAGCCTTGAGCCGCCGTCAAAACATTCGCGCTAGAGTGACTCCCGGCGGAATTGATATTTTTTACTAGGACTGTCTGCATTTAACTAAACATTAATATGAATGAAAATTGGAAAAAAGGAAAAAATTAATATTTGAAATTTGAAAATCATAAAGTTTTAAAGTTTGTTAAATTTCTAATATGGTCAAACTTAGTTGCAAAGTTTCAACAAACTTTTTAAATTTTCCTGAAAATTCAATTTCGTTTGAATATATTTTCCCATTTTTCGTTTTCTTATAATATTTAGTATATTTTAGCGATTCTGACAGTTTGATTGTGAGTGAAACTATTTTTTTTTTTTAATTTTGTCGTTACTTTTATTTCCGTTTATATTTTTTTCAAGTCCTAAAATGGATTCTCCAATTTCATTAAATTTTTATTTTATTACGGAGGCCAATTATGCAATTTTCATTTAATTTATGCCTTTGTAGTTTGAAATTGAGAGGAAACTTCGCATAAAGTGTGAATTGAATTTTTAAATGAGCTTAATAAATTAATGAGGTCGAGCCCTCTCGCGTTTTGTGTCTCAAATGACGCCCCATTATGAACTTCAGCCTGACGCACAATTGGATAATTGGGAAATTTATGTGCGTCGTTTATTCGAGAGCCTCGGACCGATCTAAATAACAATTTAGTCGCGGTGCCACTTGACTATGCAGTCCATAGCACGTGATTGACGTGCTATTTTCGCTTATTTACTGTTAATCGCCCGCACTCGAAATATAAATGCCCGCCGAAAGCATAAGTTTTTTTCCCTGTCGGTGCGTGAGTTGTTTGTATTGAATTTCGTGATTCGCCTTTAAAGCGAAGCGACCATCGACTTTTCTCTCATTATTCTCTCTGTGGATCTCGCCGCGCAGAGTATAAAAACGGGGCGACTGTTTTGGGGCAATGGACGCGCAGCTCGTAAGGAATGTTTTATTCATTATCTCGCATCTTTTGATCCCACAAAGTAAAAAGACCCGGGGGAACAAAAACTTGAGTCGTGTACATGCAGTCGGTGTATGGTTTTTCGTCTCTCCCAATCGCGCTCTTAATTTGAGGTACGCGGTCCTGTGATGTTGCTTCGCTGGTACAGCCGGACAAATATTTTCTTTTCTTGTTACCACTATCAAATGAAGCTAATTCTTGCTACGCAAGCACCACGTCGGGCATCAAGTGCAGACTAACGCATTTTATTTCACATGCACGACTCGCTTGTTTTGTTCCCAGTTAATTTAAAACAATTATAAAAAAATAAATTCTACTACAAAAATAATAAGAGCAGAAAAATTTAATTCCTTCTAGTTGTACAATAATTTTTTAACGATATAAATAAAAGATTGCTGAGCAAGCAACAGGTTTGTTGATTATTGAAAATATAAATAATCGTTAAATTTCTATATTAAGATTTCAGCCAATAATGAATTTTGAAGAAAATTATGCTTTTTGCTTCTCATCTGCTTCTCATATAACAATGCAATCGACATATCAAATTATTTTTATTAATTTTAACTCACAATTTTTGTTTTACTTTTTGATAAAAATTATTTTAATGTTTTAAACAAAATTGGCTGAAATTAAACATTATTTTAAATATGGTTAAAAAATGATGATGAATCATTTAGTTTTATTCCTCCTTTCTCAGTTCTATGCGATTATCAATTAGAGAGGCCCTATTTATCTTACAGCATTTGCTGTGACTCTTTTAATGCCTTTTACCAAAAGTTTTTGGGTGCGTTTGTTTACAGAATGAGAAGCCACAAATTCGGTTTCCTCATAATGGTCTTTCTGTTTATTTACAATAACAGCAGATTCTCTTTTCTTTTGTTCGTCCCGAATTCAAACAGTCAAATGTGTTTTTCCTGTGATATATATATCTTTGATTTATACTAACAGGATTTTCCTTTTATTTATGCCCTGTACATAACACCTACACGCGCTGCTATATTTACATTATTAGTGATCCTCCCTGCACGGTATCTGCTTCCTTACATTTTATCAAGCCGAGGCTGCTGCATTTATTTAACTTTTAGCTTTTCTCTTCTACGCATAACAACCTGGCATGATTGCGACGAGTGCGTGTTGCATCGAACAAAAAATAATGTATATTGCCAAAGAGTCGACTGTCAAACAAAAGTACATCCATCTAATATTTTTGTTTTAGAGGCAGAGAAACGTCCAATCATTTAAATTTCCCGTTATATATTTTTTTTCGTGGAGCTGCACGGCGAATATGATATTGATATTGTCAATCACTTGGGAGTCTTTCTAGGAGGCCGTTGATTTTATTGCTTGGCAGTCGTCTTGGACGCGTGCTGCTGCTTTTTCTGGTGCTCCTGTCCGGCAGCCATGTAAGAGAACACGCACAGGACTGCATAGCAAATTTGGTCAGCCTGCAAGAGAAATATTGTTCACGACCCTTTCTTTCCTATTGAATTCTTTCATTAAATTTGGGAAGAAACAAAAAATAAACTTTGCGTACCAATGGGCGAAACTCAAATAAGGCAAAACGAAACAAAGGCAGAAGAACATGCTTTTTAAGGCTGCGGATCGCTGACTTGGCTTGGCGCGTGGCTTTCAATACTCTGTGCCACTTGCACAGACAAGACGCGGTGTATCGCAAGCAAAATTGCGTCGACCTTTGAAATTAAAACACGTAATCGTACAATGAGAAATATTGAAACCAAATTGACATTAACAACAGAAAATAAAGAAAATAAGGCAAAAGAGGAGAGTTTGTGGGAATCATACCATGGCAGACTTGTATCTTCTTTGTAAAACCATTCGAGTTTTTGGATCTGGAAAAGATAGTAAATAATATAATTTTGAGACATTTTATAAAATTAATTTCAGTTCAATCCACAAAATATAATATTTAAATATTCCAAATTCCTTTGTAGGAATTTTAACTGGCTCATTTACAGTTAAATTTAAATGAGGTAATTACATTATTTATTTTTCCTCTCAACCGCTGGTTATTGATTATTATATTAGTTCAAAGATTTATCTACTTACTGTATTCTTCAAGTACAAAAATTCCTCCCTTTTGAGTAAAGCACTTGCGGATGTGATCTAGTCGTACAAAAAACTGGAAAAAGGGAAATATCTTGTGAGACACTTGCGGACCCAACAAAAAACAGGCAAAACAAATTTCCAATCAACAAATTGACACTCTCTCTTCGTCATAAGAGTGCACTTCCAAATACCACTTAGAGAGAAGGAGATTGCAAAAACTCAGATGCACAAATTAGTGAGAGCAAAAACGCATTCTCTAAATATCAAAGAACACTTGCAGGAAATGTGCAGTGGAAAAAGACTATTGATCTCTGTTAAAAATCTATGGATAATGATCAAAGATTTTTGCAATATTCCTTGTCAAAAAGCAACAAGTTGTACAGCTGACTAGACTAGAAACAGAAAGTAAGAGAAATTTCACATGAACAGACCTCTACAGAGAACAACCATCATGTATTATGAATGAATGAATGAAAATGTGATGTTTGACAAAATGAAAAATGAATTTTAAATCGATGTGGAACTATATAGAAAGACACATCAGAGCACTTTGGTCTAGTAAGTCGATAGAACTACACCGCAAATACTGCGAGTCACACTGAAACCAATCTATATAAATGTATACAATAGTATAGTATAGTGTGTGTTGCTACAGTTACAACTAAATGCCACTTTTCTAACGGACAAGCACCTCTAGTCGAATGAATACAAGTGAAATTAAATTAATGACCAGAACACGAGTGGAGAGAAAAGGCCTCGTTTTGTCTGATTTTGTAGTCTACGAAAAGTTTCCACTTGCTTGCAGCGGCTCGTTTTTGATTCGAGCGCACTGCAAGCTGTCGCCTCGCACAATTAATTGAGCCATGGTGTGTGGAGAAGAGTCGGAAGAAATGGAATCGATAGTGAAAGAGAGATAGAGAAATTGAGTCCGGGGGGCACAATATGTTAATCCGCAAGCAGCATGCAAATAAACTTATGATCTCCGATATATATGCAGGTGAGCATGCGGGTGTGGAAACGAAAAACCGGCTTGGAAGAAAATGGAAGCAGCAGGCAGCGCTGTCCCTAGGAAACTTAAGAGATGGGCTTGACAGTTAAATAACTAATACAGTATGTGTGTGCAGCACCCATGCCTCTAAAAATCAGTCAATCAACCAACGACGCTTCTTTTTTTAATTTCGGTTTAGACGGGATTAAGTTTTTTTAAATTTTATTCATACAGGTATTTTGTTTTGTAATTTATATATAATTAGCGGTGTTCCTAGCCGTTCCTAAGTAAGTTAATTCAGTTGACAAAACACCATTCAGTGAAATATATGCTATTCGTGAGGGCAGGTAGTTTGCTAAAATTTGTGTTGTTGAGGGTTGTGGTTTGGGAATCAGTGAGTGTTTGCTAATTTATTTTTTAGGTGTGTGTGTCAGTGTGGGCTAGGAACGGCTTGGTGATTTTTCTCTAGGTAAATGGAAAAAATGTGACAGTCACAACCAACTATTCAAGAGAGAAGGTCTATGATTTCAAACAGGTGTTCTACTATAAATGATAAGCATAATCATAGTATATATAGAGATATATTAATGGAAATACCTCGAAATCCTGCCGCGTCGGAGGGAAAATATTCAAAGAGAAGAGAGAATGAAAATTAATAATGGAAAGCAACTTGAAATGGCAATATAACAATTGAATTGAATTAATCGGTAAAAAAAGATTTTCCACTGAAGGTCCATCTCAAAAGTTCCTAGTTGTGGGCCACCCGACTTGTTTTTGTCAATCACGGGAGAAATTTAAAAAGTTTGAAAAGAACAACCAAATAAAAAAGGTAGTAGGATTGTAATTCTAGACTTTGCTGAAATGCCAAAATAATATGAAAAAGGTATACTGGTCTAAATTTCAGACTCGAAAGTATCTCATGTAATGACCATATCAATAATAGTTTCAAAAGAGAGAGTAGTATATATCTTCAGAAACATGCGATGTAAACACATTAATATAATATAGTAGAGAGAAATAATGAATATGGAAGGGTCTTGATCATGAAATCAAAGGGAAATGATTTCGGTCCAAGAGCATCTCAAAGTGTAATATTAAAAGTTTTGAAATTTATTCTAGAGTGCGAGATATATATAAACAACTTTTGAGACACCCTTACAACACCTAAAGTGGTACAACAAAAATCAAATATATACTGGCTTCTTAAAATAATTTTCGCAAGTGCAGTTTAAAACAGGCTTTTGAAAATGGTCTAATATGAGGAGCAGAGAGTATAGAGAAAGATCGGCAAAATTCACTGTAGTTGTAACTGCATTGTTAGTGAGTATATTTTAAACGTCGCGGCAGCAGGAAAGTTTGAGATTAGGCCTTGCAGAGGACATTCAGAAATGATAAAAAAATGGTCAAAAGTTACATCCAGCATGGCATATTTTTGGAATTATTCCTCTTTTAATTTTAATCGGCAACCCACTCTGTTGATATATTTTACGCTTGAGGCCTAAGTTTGTTCACTTTTTCCTCTTTTCACGAAAAGTAATCAGATAGGACACGCTCTAATGATGATGGCTGGCTTCGATTCGAGCAAATATTAAAAATTGCGTGAAAGAGAAAATCGGGCGGTGTTTGTCAATAATTGCGACAAGTACCTTGCTATGTGCAAAAAGAAGTCCAACTCCCTCCATGCAGACCTGCAGCAGACCTCCCTCTCCGGTCCTCATGTCCTGCACCGGAAACTCGCCACCCAGCTCCACGCCCGCCTGAGCGCCACAGCCACGCGCCGCCGCCTTTTCCATCACGTCTTTTATGCAGTAGTACAGCTCCTTGCACTAATCAATGACAAATTTGTACATAAATCAAAACGATTTTTCTCAGGAAAAATTTCACACCTTTTTTGTGTAGTATTTGTGAAGCTGCGTTTGTCCCCCGTTTCTCCTCCAGAGGCACAAAACCTTTGTTTTGGGGCTGTAGGTCATGTTGACCAGTCTCTCAAACCACCACCTTTCGACAATGGCGCCGTTCACCGAACGCAGCACCAGCCCGTCCTCTCGGACTTCCAGAAAAAGGAGATTTCCAGTCGAGTCAACGCCTTGATGCACTGTGAAGCTCTGGCGGTGCATTTGTCGAGAACCGAGAGGCCGGAGGTCAATGTCGTTGCCGTTCTGAAAAAAAAAATATGAGAAGAAAAATTAGATTTAATAACTTAAAAATAAATAACTTACAAAGTGACCGATTTTGTCAAGCAGCTCGTGCACTTCCTGGCTGTAGACCAGACCAATATGACTTTTCCCCAAAAGACGGCGTACTTTATTTTTTATTTCTTGACGCGCAACTCCAACCATGACCATCATGGCTGTGACGTTGTATAAGAGCGTGGCAAGAAGTCTGTCCTCCTCGTGCTCGAGACGTTTTCGTTCAGTGTCGCTCAAGTGGCTATACCTAATTTTAAAAACCCAATTTGTTTAATTTAATTGGCTATTTCGAGCAATTATTACCTTTCCATCATTTCCCTCGGGCCTTGATCCATGCCCACCATGTCTCGTTCTTGGGACACGGCGTCTAAGAACGCGTCCTCCCAGAACTGCATTTGGTCCCACAACGTTGACCGCTCCTTGCCAAGGAGGCCTGGTAGCGAGTGAAAATTTTTGAGTTAGTGGGATATTAAGAGAGATGGACTCGATCTAGGCAACCGGTCGTATAGTGGTGCTCGCACGGTTGCATACATATCAAATATTGCAGGCGCTCACCTTCGTACAGATATGTTCTGCCGGATTCAGGACTTGGCGAGCCCACGTTTGGCACCATGTTTGCACCAGGGATTCGGAATCCTGAACTGAGAGAGGATTTGCTCGACCAAACGCTGGGGTTGCGGCGCCCCTGGCGTGGGAACTGCAATGAGTTTTTTAAATAATAAAATAATAAGCACTTCACGTATAATGGCAGTGCGTCAAAACAGGAAATTAGTGTTTTCAAGAAATCATGCATTAGGCAGGCAAAGAAGAAAAGACAAAGAGCACGGGCCACATGCAAATATTAAAAATTATAAAAGTTACAAAATATGAAGTTCTCCAATTCTCTAATTAAGTTTCTTCTTTACTATGAAATTAAAATGTGCGTTAATTTTATTAAAATCCCTAACTTCTAGGAAATAAAATTAGTTTTACTTCTTGCTTGAATTATATAATTATAAAAAATATTTATAAAGAAATTTTTGCTATTTATTATTTTTAATAAGAAAATTCTATCTACAACTTCATAAATGTTCTCTCACGTTTGTCTGCTCAATCTCGCTATCAGAGACCGTGCTTCTGAAGGATTGCTGTCCAGGACGCTGCCTCTGCAGAAAAGCGGGATTTGTGATAATACTGCCTGCGTCGCTCTCCTCGCCCGCGTCTTCTGCCTGCTGATTCTGAAACAAGCCCGCGCCACATCATGCCATAACAATTAGAAGACACAAAAACATGCCACAAATATATAAATATTTGGAATTATTCTTAATTATTTTACAAGAGGATGGACATGGAAAAAAAAACATTAAAAAAATCTCACGTCTTGATCATGTGATGACAGTTTAGCCATGAGCATGTGTCGTTTCTGATTGAGGACGTCTCTGAGAACATCTGCCGCACTTTGCTCTCCTCCTTCTTCCCCGTGACTTTGGGAAAGTCTTCTTGGCGTAACCGAAACGTCCGAGTGGGACGATTTCCTGCTCAGGTCGTGGTGATCAGGTGGGATGGGTGACCCCTGAGGGCTGTGAGGTGACCTTAGATTCTCTTTACTTCCATATGGACTTGAAGCCTGATATAAACATAAATAAATTATTAAGATATTAAATTTTATATCCGATCGCACCTGTGAAAGCATCGCTGCCGAGCTTCCGCCGCTGAGTTCAAGGGTGTTGGCACTTTCGCTCAAATCCCTTGACCAATAGTGCGTATGTGTCACCTCAAGTAGCTGGAAAGCTGAAGCCATTCCTCCGAGACCAAAGTTCGAGTATGTTACTTCCAAACCATGCACCACGGCCAATATCGTTTTCAACATGCCTTTCCACACAGCTCGACTGACGCACTAATTTAATTTTTTTCTCAATTAAATATTTTTATTATGTTGGTTTATCTTACGATGTCATCAATGTGATCGTCAGGCCCGACTTTCTTATCCAACGACCTGTTCAACTTGCTCAGAACGAGATTTCTGTAACTTTCATCCTCCATCAGCTTCTTCAGCCTGTTAAGTTTGAGCCAACCCACTCCCTCTCCAATCAAGACTTGATTTATGACCTGACAAAAATGGGATTAAATCTATTTATCTTTCAAGTCTAGTAAAAAAATCTTACATCTTTAAGGAAAGCTTGATTTTCAGCGTTCGTTGTATTTCTCTCTCCGCGCGGAACTTCTTCCCTCCTTGGCGGTGAGTGTTTGATCAGCGAAGATTTTTCCACCAACCCCTTTCGTCCTGTTCAAATTATTGGAACAAAAGTGTGAGAAAATGGTCAAGAGAGGAATCTCTAGTAGACAATCAATTTTTCTAAGAGGGTGTAGTGCTCTCACCTGTGGGAAACGGACCGAAAGGCTGCGTCCGAGGAGGCTCCTTTGGCTTTTGTTGGACAATGCTAGCAGTTGTTTTGGCAATTACGGAAGGGGCTGCTACTGTGCGCTTCGAGCCTAAGCATTAAACAAGCACTACGCGTGACTTTCTATTCTCTATTTCAATCAAAATGCTCCATGCTGAAGCTTGTTAAGATTTCCAATCTGCATTTGACAAGGCTGCTCTATGCAGCAAACCTTGCTTTTGCGAGCAGATGCGCAAAATACAAAATTTTAAAAATTCGTTCAACTTCTTCAGGCCATTTACTTAACTTGAAATTAGGGTAAGGATTTTTGGGATTAATTCATGACCTGGTATGATAATGAATGGTGATTATTATAAAATCTCATTATAGTAAAAAAGTATTTTTGCGGAAGTTTCGATTAATGCAGTTCTACAACTTTTTGATGAGATTGCTTGTGCATTAAGGGAAATTGTGCATCTGCAGTATTTTTTTTCTTTCTAAATTTCGAGTTTTTGATAATTGCCATGCTTAGAATTTGAGATAACTTTTCTCAAATGGCTTACCACGCCCGCCCTCTATGGCGTGTGCAAAAATACCACGAGATCATCAAATTAATATTAATATCATCGTTCAGTTTTTGTTTCATTAATATAAGAAAAAAAATAATACTAAAAAATTTGAGCTTACCGAACATGTTCGAGAACATGCTCGTTGTCTGCGCCGCAATTCCGTTCATCTCACTGCTGAAGTTGGAGAAAAAGTCCCTTCCGGCAGTCCTTCCAAGCTCAGGTGCCACGAGGGAGGTGCTCTGCTGCTCCGTGGGCGGTGGAGACTGTTGATTCTGCTGCTGTGGCATCATACCCTGGTGATGGAGCGGCAGACACTGTATTATAAGTGCGTCAAATTTAAGCTCACGCTAATTTCATAATCCATTCTTTACTTATTCCCACTTTAAAACATGCATTTTTTTCAATTAAAGAAAATATTTAAAAAATTTTATTATAAAGCCAGCATTAAAAGTGCAGTAAATTATTAATTATTCCAACCTTCAGCAATCCCTTTTTCGACGCAGCCTCTTTGGCACTTTTCGTAAAGTCGCCTAGGGTTGTTTTGCCCACGTATGTCAAGTCGCCAAGAGTGTTTTTGCTTATTCCAGCCGCACTTTTGCTAGCTTCAATGGCAGTCTTACTTGCCTCATGAACACTCTTGCCCGCTTCCTCGGCAGCCATTTTTGCTTTCATGGTTAGCTAATGATAAAAAATAAAAGAAATAGTTTATATTTTATATGAAAGAATGAAATATTATTACCTGTTCCAAAGGGGCAAAAACTTCTCTTAAATCTCCAGAGTCGTGACTTCCAGCTGAATCTGTTGAGCCCATTTTTTCTCGGGCTTGCATCTTGAACTAAACATAAGTCAAGAAATAAGATTTTTTAAACTAAATTAAAGATTCTCAAGCCAAAATCTATAGATACGTAGTATACTTATATTATTTTTTTAAATATATAATTAAAATTAAGAATGCAAATAACGAAACTCAACAGCACAAGCAAGGCGTTATGTTTACTCACTTTGTCCATTTGCGCGAGCAACCCATCTTGCGAGCTCTGCCTCGTGGTTTCTTTGACCAACTCTTTCGCCTGGGTGGTTAAATGCTCAAGCAGGGAGGTCTGACTACCCTGCCGACCTGCCGAGCCAAGACTCGAGGCTCTTGCCAAGACACTAGTAAAGCTTGATTGCCTCTGTGGGGGTGATTGGTGTGCGGCTACCTGTTAAGCGGTACAAAGCGCTACTATTTTTGCAAGTTGGTGATGATTTCATTTCTCTAAAAATCTTCACTAGCGTATAATTATTAACTGCATAATAATGCACAACATGTTAAATTTTAATTGAAAAAGAATTTTGCGTTACACAATCCACTTTTTCTTCTTCAAATTACTCATTATCATAACTGACTATTTTAAATTGCATTTCCTTTCTCATATCTACTGGAATAAAAATGTGCGGTGAAACTTACCACCGTTTTCGGAGTGGCGGTGGTGGAATTTGAGTCAGACTCCTCAGGGCTTGCTTCATTCTTGGCCTCTCCCTCTTCAACCTCTTTCATCCTGGGGGTGAATTCCAATTCAGAGTCCCTGTTAAAACTGGGAGAACTCAAGTCACTGCGGCTGGAGGATGTAGAGGGGGGTGACGATCCAGGCTGACCTCCCGCGTCTCCAGCAGTCAGCTCCTGATCCTTTCCTCCCGGAAGCTGCAGAACCGACGGCGGATGGTAAATTGATTTTGCGTCCAGTCCCGAACCCAGGGACATGGGTGTGTGGTCGTGAACACCTGAAAAGGCTGCAAAAATTAATAAAAGTATCTGACGAGAGGAATTATTCCTTACTTGGAGACATGTCGGAAGAGGCCATTTCTGACACGAAGTCGCTCAACGACGAATAAGACGAACTGGTGCTCTCGGCACCTTCGCTATCTGACCCGCTTTCGTCGGTTTTCGGGGCGTGTTCTGCCTTCTGGGCCGCTTTCAGGGCGCCCCTTAGGGAGCTGTTCTCGTCCCAGGCGGCAAAGTGCATTGGCTCGAGACTGTTTTGGAACCACTTGGCTTTGTCCCCGATCTGTGCTGGGTCGAAAATTCCAGTGTGCACCCGCAAGAATGCCACGTTGCTGGGGGTGAGCGACCACTCGGCCAGGAACTCGACTGCTTGAGTGCGTGCGAAGCGACTCAAGAAGTTGGAGTTGCGCGGCCTCGAGCGTAAAAAGCTGTTGATCTGGAAGGCGACCACTGGACGCGGGTAGAGACGCAGTGTCCGCGTGTGTTCGGTGAAGTTGGCCAGAAGGTTTTGCGAGTTGAAGAACCGCACCTGGTGGAAATTTTGATTTTTGTGTGTGATAATATTCAAAATTACTATTTAGATTAAAACCGCACCATTGCCACTCTGGTCGCGACGTCCACGCTGTCAACGTCGCTTCCGTAGATGAAAGGGTTGAAGGCACCCCCTGCCATCGGCTTTACACCAGGCGGTGGAGGAGGCTCTGCTATGGGTGGACCACTGAATCCAGCAGTCATATTGCTTAATGCCTGAAATTGGGAAATTTCATTAAAATTGTTTAATATCTAGAGCGCAGCAGGGTACAAATTACAATTTCAACCAGGGTACTAAAGTTAAGATTTTTTTTCTAGCTAAGATAAAAATTATAGGCCGTTTTATAATTTGAATTAACTAAAAGTTTGCAATATTTTTTTTAGCTACATGTTTGAGTTATATTTTTAGTTACTTTTGGCAAAAACGTTTAAAGACATTTTTGCAAAAGCATGCAGAAAGATGGAAGTAAAGAACATGATAGAATAGAAGGAAAGAAAATATTTACGCCAGCTTGATCCATTAGCTGCATTGCCTGTGATGGCGAAAGATGGACATAGAGAGACAAAAGAGAGAAAATATCACAGAAAACAATCACCACACTTTTAATCCATTATGCATTGGTTAAGACGTTCAAATTTTGGTTAGACATTAATATGTACAAATATTTTAAAATCACTTTTTATAAATATCTGCCACTTCTTCTTCACAACAAATTCAAATTTAGAAGAATCTCAAATTATATAATTTACCTGTTTTAAATGATTTTTGAGGATTGTTCCCTCAGGCTCAGGAAGATTAGGCAGTTCTTCACTAGTGGGTGGTGTTATTTTGTTTGAGTCTAAATCAACCAACCATATGTCATCAGGTAGCCTGCAAAACAATAATCAGTGATGTTCTTAAATGCATTGAATTTAATTACTTGAAATTCCTTTTGTACATGAAGAAACTGGCAGGCACTCCTATTACGTAGGGCGTTGGTGCTAGAAGAAGCTGCAAATTTTTTCATTTGTATGAATATGAGTATGAAATTTATGCAAATATTTGGCATTTACCTGCTCGGCGCAGCTCATGCAAGTAGGCAGCAGAGGGATAACAGGAAACATGTACTCAAGGGGGTAGATCAAGTTTACAAAGGCCATCACTGACATTGACAGGGCGTTGTAGTCCCGTGATTGCAAGACCAGCTGCAAATTATTTTTTTCAATTTTAAGTAGTTACTGTCTTTTTTATTGAAGTTTAATTTTTTACCTTGTATTCAAGTAAAATTAGAGTAAGAACTTTGAGGCAAGTCTCGACACCAAGAAGTTCCAGGGGAAGGTGGAGAGGGAAGTCGACCAGGGTGAACCTGGTATGGTCGGGCAGTGCAAAGCACAAGGGTGGGTGCATGCAGCTGGGGAGGATGTCCAGCTCGACACGAGTCTTTCCCGGGACAGGCACAGGGGCGCTCAAAAGTCGCAAGATCCACGTCTCAATCTCGCGCACGTCATGCATTACAATGCTCGGAATGTTGTCGTGCACGTTGCCTGCCAAGACGCTCCAAACTGAATCCCTAATGGAAACAAAAGATTAAAAAAATTTAAAAATTATTTCTTTTAATAATTACATTAATTTCTCAAAGCTATATTACTACGTGAAGAAAAATTGATGTTACTTATTTAGTTATTGCTATGATGTATTATTTTTATTGTAAAATATTTATTGCTTTTAAGCAGAAATCTCATCTCATAATACTTTTTAGTTCAAGTCATTTAAATAATTTAAAAATAGCAATGAAAAAATTAATTCTGTAAAAACGATAATATCATTTTCAGTTTTTCTATGATAATTTTATTTAAATTAAACTATTTTACCTTGCAATCTGTCTGGAACCAACCCGTCTCGGCGATATGTTGTCGTTGCAGGCGTCAATGATGCGCTTCAGTACAAACATGCACTCCCTGAACTTGGAGAAGAAGGGGTGGTGCGACAGCAGGCACAACGAGGTCAGTGAATGGTTCCGCACCCTTTGGCGGCGCCGACTCGCTCGAGGCGACGGCGAGTGTGAACCTCCGCTTTCCGAGTCGCACGCGTTTGGCGGCGCCGTCAGGCTGCCCATCCGCGGCGGCCCAGGAATGAGCGGCGGGTGGTTCTCGGAATCGCGCCGACTACACTCGCGCTCCGAGTCGCTCGGCGCCACCGTGCTCCTGTAGTCGCTGAGCCAAACAAACAAAATCGCCCAAACTTGTCACAAGTGCTCAAAGTTTTTTCAATTAAAAAAAAAGAATAAAATATGTTTGGTTTCTGTTAAAAAAATCGACTTTAGAGAGAGGCATTTAAAAAAGTATCACGTAAAGTCCTTTATTTTAATAAAAATATGTCTAAATAAAAGTTTTTCCCTCATAATATAATATTTTTACCTGGAGAAAGCAGAATCCGTGCTCTTTTCCATGCTTTTCCGCCAAGATTCCCTGCGGAAGTTAGATGACCTGTCCCCTCGGCCTCCTGCAGCCGAACCTGGCGCGCCAGCACGCTCAATTGGCCGGTAGAAATTGACGCAAATGCCATAGCGGGTCTTGCCTAAAACAAGTTTTTAGAAATTTGAACCACTCAAAAGTAAAAATTTCAGATATATAAATAAAACACCTGTTGCTTTTATTAAACCAATTTTTAAAATTTGCTAAGGAAATATAAATATTTCATCTCACATTTAATCTCGTTTGAAAAATAATAATTATTAAAATTAAAAAAAAAAAAAAATAATGAAGAGAATATTTTTACCCGAGTCTTTCTCAGTGAGTGTGAACACAAAAGAGGTGGCCTCCCTCAGAGCAGTCTTGCGTGGCCCGACGGAAACGCATCCCTCAGGCTGGCAGAAGTAGACCATGTCGAGGGGCAGTGGGAAGTCCTTGTGGTCTTCCACGGGGTACCTTCGCAGCAGCTCGGGCGCCTGGATGGCACCCGAGTTGTTTCGCGCCGGCTGCCTGCATCCCACGATGGCCAGGTAGTCGGCCAGGCGGGGACAGAGGAACTTCTTCTGCACGTCGCACATGCTCGCTCACGTCACCTTGGCCACTCTCTCCTCATCGCAACACTGGCCTCCTGAAACAAACATTTTGGAGAAAAAAAACTTTAATTTTTTATTTTCAATTAGCAAAAAAGTGATTTAAAATAAAATAATAATACTTAATTAAACTTTTGCAATTAATATTTGCCTTCTTCTACTATTATAAAATTTAAAAAAACAATTTAATGATTAGCGACAAGAACGAAATATTCAAGTTGTGCAACTGAGGCGGCTTTGTATGTTTCCCAAAATCTTTACTTGTGGCGGAGCCTTTTTCTTTCAACAATTGATTATTTTTGAACATAACAAATGTTTCGTAACAATTTGGATAAATAAAAAACTATAAAAAAAGAATTTATGTTCAAAATTTAACAATTATTCAAATAATACTCCGTTAAATTCTGATTGATTTTGATTGTTGAATGAAATCCACAAGTAGTAGATTTTTGCACTTCTCGGTGGAATGAAACGGCGGGCACTTACAGGGCTTTGGTGTTTTATTACGCACAATTTAGCTTTCCATTGAATCGTGCTGGCGGCAATTTATTTTTCCGCAAACACAAATTGGAGCTGACGTCTTATTTGCGCAAACGAGCAAGGCGCCAGCAGCTTCGTCTAGACCGAAGTTCATTGGATAAATTTGGAACAACCCCTAAATGACGGACGCGAGCACAAATTGAGCAGGATTATCCAGACGGAAGTAGGCGCAGGGGCAATAACTTTCAATTTCGCGTGCCAGCTTAATTTCCTATGACGGTTAATTAAGAAAAATATTTAACTCCGTTATTAAGTGAATGAGCTAAAGGATTTATTACTATTATGCAAACAGCTTTAAAAAATCAGACGTTTAAAATATTCTGGCGTTTTCATTCTAGATCATTCAAACTTTACGGTCCGTTTCTTTTCACACGTACAACCCGTTTTGGTCTTGGCTCTCTCTCTCTCTCTCTCTCTCTCTCTCTCTCTCTCTCTCTCTCTCTCTCTCTCTCTCTCTCTCTCTCTCTCTCTCTCTCTCTCTCTCTCTCTCTCTCTCTCTCTCGCAGCTCTCGCGGGCACCAAAAACTGATCGATAAAATACAGAGCCAGGAGGACACATCATGGACTTGCGCAATCCCTTGTGCAGGCTAATCATAATACATTGTTAGAGAAGCACGGCTTTAAAAAGGTCAAGATTAGTGCACGACAAGAGAATTTTCTTTAAAACAACCGCGACTCTTTTTCACGTGCGCCACGACCTCTCTTTGTGTCGAATGACGTCAGTGCGGGAGAAAATCAGCCCTTGTAAAATTGATTTGAGCGGGTTGGGAAATTCGACGTCGCAATATGAGTATTTTTAGAATGCCTGGGAAATTTCTTAAATTTAGATCAATCTAGGTAGCTGGAAACTGGGATCAAATTAAAGAAAATTAAAATTTAGTTCTAATCAAGAAAATTTTTACGTAAGCTTTTTTTCAAAGATATTAAAATTTAAAAAACCTAAAGGGGGTTCTCAAAACACAAATGTAAAAATGTTAAAAAAAAATGTTAAAAAGATTTAAAAAAAAAATATTTGCGTTTTTCAATTTGCTTATCAATATAATTATCATTTTTGTATTACTCTAATATTTACTTTGTGTTATGTAAGGATTTTTTTTTTATAAAATTGAAAAATGAAAATTAATTTATTTTAGAAACAGTATCAATAACAAAAAGCTAAATTTAGTATTCAATTGGGGTGTTTTTCATATCTCTGGACCCTCTGATTTTACAAGACATACACACAATAAAATGCAAGGGATTCTTATGAAAGAAATTTTAAGATAATGAAAATCAACGTGGAAGAACGAAAAAGTGAAATTAGTGCTGTAAACGCCAACTCACCCGTCGCTCGTCCTCGGCCAATGCTGTTCACCGCAAACTCCACGGCTAAATGGCAGCCACGGCCCACCCTGCTGCACTTTTCACCGAGCGCTCTCGTGGTAATCGATGGTGTCCGCTCGCTATGGCGCATGCCCGCCACCCCCTTTCACCCCCGACTCGAGCCCCGCTGACCTCATTGCTGCACTCGCGATTTTTGCCACTCTGCGACTTGCTTGAATTGCTCGACTTCTCGCAGGACGTAAAGAGGCGCCAAGATGCAGAAAAGAATAATAAGGGCGCCCACCCCAAAACACGCCGCCCTCGCTAAGATGACGTGTGTGTCCTTCTCGGGGAATATAAATATATGTACAGTCGACAACTCTATGTAAAAGTGTAGCGATAATTTCCTTGTATGAGGGATATGACGTCACGTCTTTAGATAATAAACCTTTCCATCTGTCAACCGCACACACTGCTTCATCATGGGGGTATTTATTGCCGTGTGCGTTGGTGGAGTGATAATTGAGCCGGCAGCTCACGTGCGCCCCCTTTATTAAAAAGCCACCTGAAATGTGATGACGACTGCGATAGATTGATCTCACTCCTGGGCGCACAGCCCCTAGGGATTGATGGACCTCAAAGTTTTAATTAGGTCTTGCCTTCCTCCGTTAACTAGTTCCGGTGGATGAAAATTTGGTTTCGCCGTTGCGACAAGTTTCTGATTACAGTTTTCTACCGAACGACGATTTTTTTTTGTAATTAAGGAAAAGTTTAGGTATAATTATAATAAAAAGTCATTTCAAGTTGATCAAAGTTCTTAATAATATTGAACTCTAAACTTTCCTTCAACTTCATTCAACATCTAGATATTTGTGATTTATTGGCTACTTTTATTAAAATATTTTCATATTATTGCATACATGTCAGGATAATGAAGAGCAAAGAAAGTAATAAAGTAAATTTTAATAATACTATTTTTAGTTTTAAATAATTTATGATTTCCAAATTGTTAAAATTTTATCATCATGACTTATCAAATTTGAATATTAGTATTAATTTTGATTATATTACTTTTAATCCATTTCGTTTATTTCCAAAAATATTTCTGAAAAAAAAAAAATCAAAATTTGTTTGTAGAGAAGCTGGACTTTTTTTCATTTAACAGCAGCAGCGGCAGTTTCTATATTTTCATTCTCTGTCATTTTTCCCTGAACCTTAAAATTGCATTTGTCTCCTGCATCGGTTGAACAAAAAGCCCTTCAATCTCTGTGGTGCTAATTGTGAGAGGTGCCGGACTTCTTGAACCTGTTGATCATCGCCTCACTGACTCTTATCATTTTCTCATCTCTTTTCTCTTTGACGCTGTTTGAAGTCGTGAGTAGTGAATATGATTTTGTTGGCGTTTGTGGTGTGGATTTCGAGGAAGCGATTCATGATAATGGCCAAACCAAAACCAACTTCTTCTGATTTTAAAAAATTCGTGCATACAATTTTTTTCAACACTATAGGGCGTAAAGTCATGTTAATTTGTAGATAAAAAAAATATTTTATGATACGAGTCTCTTCCAAATTAGTCAAATATGTTTTGGATAAGCACTGGCTGTCACGACAAAATAACGTTAATTTCGCTATCTTTGGAAAGTTTTTATTTATGATTGCTATTATTAATTTAGTGGCCTCCGGTTAAATAATTCTCAAAATCAAAAGCTTCATGTAATATATATTGAGCGCTCGGCCTTGACTTTGAACTTGGTGCCGCCAGGGAAACTCGGCACCACTGTATGCACTGCACGCAATATTCCCCACGAACGGTGCTCACCTGCGCTTTCAACCAAAACTTGCTTGGCCAGCCAGAAACGTATAAACAGTCCAGTAAAATGATCTCGCTAATCGGAGTCGTGGCATTTTTGTTCATTTTTCTGGACGCAAATTATTTCGTCCGAATCGCGTTCACGATCCTCTTTGGACGGATTTTCCAGTCAAAAAAGAAGCCAAATGAACAAACAGCCATTTACGGTGAGTCGGATATGACAACGCAGAAAAATAATTATTTAAATTGATAGTCCGATTTTTTTTTAAATATTAGAAGTACTGGCCACACTTTAATTTTGATATAATTTTCAATATTGAAAATTTTCAGGGTTGTGTACAACACAGGATGTAGATATTTTTGTCCGCCACATGAACAACGCTCGCTATGTGCGTGAAATGGATTTTGCCAGGTTTCACTTCTACGATCGCACGGGACTGTATGAGAGCATTGTAGAAAATAAGGGCAATGCCCTGCAGGGCGCTTGCAACATTCGTTACCGCAGGACCATTCCCATATTTACTCCCTACAAAGTCATAACCAAGGTAAATTGCTGCATTCTGCAAATGTCAAATATTAAATTGATGTCTTGATTTATTTGAAGTTGGCCGGTTGGGACGAAAAATCCATCTACCTTGAGCAGCACTTTGTCACTTTTGACGGATTTATCAGAGCGGTGGCACTGAGCAAGCAAAATATTGTTGGCGTTAATGTGAACCAAATGCTCAAAGACTATCCTAAACCTCAACAAACACTCGATTTGACCCAATGGCTGCAAAGCATTGAAACCTCAAGCGAAAGACTGCGAAAGGACAAATAATCTTATAAACAAATCTTGCTCAAATTAAATATTTTTTTATCTGTTGAAGGTTTTGTTGAAAATAATAAAAATTTATTTGTTGGGATAAATATTTTCGGTTTATTATTGATTAATTAAAATTCTGAGTTGCTATAATACTAGTGGAGTAACTGTCATTGAATTTGTAAAATAAGCATCTAGCAGAAGGTTTGACTAACACTTTTAGCACAAACTAAACAGCTCACATTTTAAGCTTAAAAATTTTAATCTGCAATTTTTAGAATTCATTTTAGAATTTGCAGTAAGTTTCCAAATCTCACGTAACCAAATTAGCGCGAGTGGAGTAAATATCATTGCAACTAAAATCTGCTCCCACTTCCAAGGAACTTTGGCAAATAATTAAACATAAATGCCCCATGCTTAGCTGCCAGCCTTGAAATTAACTGCGAGGCCTGCCTTCTAAATTTCTATAAAGCAAGTTTCAGATAATTTGGAGTAACAACAATTAAATTGTGACTGACAGCTAGAGAGCTAAGTACTTTAATTACATTGATCATGGACCCGATGGTGGTCCTGGCGGAATGGTGGCGTCCCCAGGCTCGAGTCTCGACGGCACTTGATCCAGTTCTCTATCCTGCTCAACTTGCCATGCATCGTCCTGAAACACATTTTCGAAATAAAAATTATGCCAAAAATCAAATCTTACAAGAGGTCCAATGGGTTTCTAAGTTTCTGCCTAAAATTTCTAATCAACCAATAAGGTTTTTGAGGAATAAAAGATTAAAAGTTATAAAAACTTAAGAAAACTTACATTCAAGGCAGGTTGCTGCTCAGCCGACAAAGTGATCGCTTCCAAGTTGTCCAACTGTCTGGCCATTTCCGGAGTGGCCGCACCCTCCGCTTGACTGCCCCTGCCCTCTACCTCCTGCAGGGCTGCGTCGTGGCTCTGGTCAGCCTCGGCCAAGTCTGCATCACACAAATCAACTTCAGCAGCTTCAGCCCTAGCCTCCAAAACTGCTTTTGAAGCATCTCGCAGGGCTGCAGGCAACCAGCAGTTGCGCTGCGGGGGAGCCGTAGGCACAGCAGCTTCGCCCATCTCAGAGTCACTCGAATCCAGCTGGAAGTTAGACTAATATTCGTTACAACATATGAATGCTACAAATTTTATCTTATCTAAGAAGGAAAGTGTTACAAAATATCAGCAATAAGTAAATGAAGGGGCTCAATAAATCATGATAATGAATGTTATCCAATCTGGATTAATTGCAGAAAGAATTGAAAAAACTGCGCTTTTTCTCATAATAATTTTTTATCGCCATTTAAAAAAATCACCTGATCATCAGGAGAGAGTAAATCCGAGTTGTTAGTCTGCAGGCTGTCAGTCTGTGTGTTAGTGAGAATCATGGAGCTGCTGTTTTGATCAGCCTGGGACACATTTTCCAATAACTTAAAGAAGGCAAGTTCTTTCAGCAAGACTTCCGCAACTGTGGCCAAAAGTTCTTCCCCAACATCTCTTAGCCTGCAATTGTAAAGAATCAATTGAAAGTAGTCTGAAAAGTTTTTTAAATTACTGACCAGCATCCTTGGAACTTGGCAAGAGCATCAACAAGTCTTCCGCTGAGTTGATTTTGGACAAATGTGTTCAGTACAGGTTGGTGGGCAATCGTCAGGTGACTCAGGGTCCTCTGTGTGATTATCTCCAACAGGGCAGGGGTGCAACAATCTTCACGTCTGCTCTTGAGAAACGGCATCAACTGGAGCAGCAGGCTCTGGATTTTACTGTCGACTTGGTTTTCATTCACTTGGCGCTAAAAACAGGTACAAATGAAATTTTGCAAACAAAAATCAGACCCAAAATTTCACCTGCGGAGATTTTGTTGTGGGCAGAGCAGCAGCTCCTTCTGGAGTTTCAGCCCTGCCATTCACACTAGCTTCCTCCAAACTTATCAGTTCCTCCTTTAGTTCGACAAATTTATTAGTTTTCAATAACCACAACTATAAATCAAATTCGCACCCTTCTTCCAATCTCTCGAATGCTACTCAAAACCCTCTGACAGTCAGACGTGCATCTCAAACCTTTCAGCTCTCGAAAAAGTTGCGGAAGGAATTCAGGTCTGCTTTGGTTGTGGGCCACCAGTGAGGCAAGTTCAGTGAAAAGTTGTTCAGCATTTGAATTAGGACCCCTAGAGAGATAAAAATGAAAGTCCAGACTTGGATTTTTCTCCTTCAAAACTAACGGATTGTGTGTAGGTCCTAGAACAACATGCTGTGGAATGGGTGGACGCTCAGAATTAAGCTTTTGCTTCCTTGACTGTTGAGGAACAGTTCTCGAGGGAGACGGCTGGCTTTCTTCGTTGCTCCTCAAAGAATTGTGGGATCTGTCTGTGAGAGGACTCGGATGCTGCAGTTGACCATCATTCAGTTTTGTACTGGTGGACAACAAGTTTTGCCGTGAATAGCTGAAATCAAATAAGAAAATGAAATACTTATTTGTCTTTTAAATTTAAAATATTTTTCACATTATTACCTTCGAAAATTGTCCCAGTAGTTGTTGGCTCTGACGCCTGGAGGAACTTGATTGTTGAGAGTAACTGGTGGGCAATGACGAATCATAGGTGGAAGGGCGGACACATTGTTCGGAGGCTGACTTCCAGTCCAAGGAAAGTGGGTGTTTCCAGGCAACAGGAACTGAGGTGGTCCTTCACACAGGTTTGGAAGGGAGTGCGCCCCCGACACGGTTGCGGCCGCATTTGCATCACTCGAATTATTGAACGGCGTTGGGAAGTTCTGCTCACTGCATGCAAATCGTTCTTGCATCTGCAAAATTAATTTAACGAACTTCGGAATGATTCAGACATAATATAAACTTTACATTTTGAATAGTGGCGTGCAGATTCATTATCTCCCTCTGCTGCATCCAGAGCATTTGGCAGCACTGGCTCAGGGTGGTCATCATCTGGGCAGCTATAGGGCTGGACGGCCACCAATTTTCAGGAGACGGGGCGCCCCACTGCCACTGCTGCATCATGGACTGGCACGCTGCGTTTGATGCTTCAAGTTGTTGCTAAAAATAAGTAGAATGAAGTCAATTCAAAGACACTGGGAAATTACAAAATAACATTTAAAATTATGAATAGATAGTTTTCAAAATTTAATCCAATATGTAAATAAATGCAAACCTGCAAAAGCCACCACTGGGCATGCGGAGTGGCTTCATCACCCATAGGCCTCGGAGTTGCAGCGCTACTTCCAGAGCGTGGAGGAACATCATAAATTGGAGTTGAAGACTCAATAGGCGGCTCTGGCCAAATGGGTGGTTTGTTAGCTACATAAAGTGATAGTAGTTACTTTGCTTGTTCACAATTTTAATAAATATTTACATGCAGGGCTTTTCTGCGCATTTTGCACTTGTCGAAATGCACTTGGGGCCAGACTTTGAAGTCGAGGTGTGGACAGCGCCACATGTGGACCAGCAAGGTCAGTCTCCCAGGCGAGTTCCTCACTCGAACAATTAATGCTTGGTTGCTGCTCAGATTGTGATGGCACAGCCGAAATCATACTGCCTCCCCAGGTCGCACCAGTGTCTGATACACTCAGCCCTAAACCTTTGAATGCTCCATCAAAATTTAACTCGGGCAGATTCTCAAGTTACCTGAAGTATGGCAAGTGTCTTGGTTGATGGAACTTTGTCCTTGGTCTTTCCGCATCATCTCCTCTAACTCTTGACGTTTCGCTTGCATGAAGGCTCGCTGATTTCGACCAGTTCCCTCAGCATGAACAGTACTCTGAAAAGTCAATTCAAATATTGATTTCCAAAAATGTAATTAATTTCACTTACAGTTACATCTGGCTTTACGTTTTTGTTCTTCCTGTGAGGTAACACTGGGCTGGGTGTTTTGGGTTTTGGCTGTTGAAGATAAATTCTCATCAGCTGCTCCAGCTCTTGATTAGGAATTTGCTGTTCAACAGCCCTTCCAGTGCTAGAGTAGCTGCAATTTAAAAAAAGTTGGTCCCTCAAAAGCAAAATTATTCATTTATGCACCTATTCACTGATTCTTGTCCATCCATATCATCTTCGGCAACCCCGGCTGCGTGCAAAATTTCCTTTAACTGCTGCAGCTTTTGCTTAGCTTTGTCTAGTTGCCTAGTAATTTAAAAACAAATTTTATTCACATCTTAGGGCATTTAAAAATAGCCATACTGAGCTTTCATGCGAATTTCCATGGCTTGGTCATCAAGAGCCTTTGGCATAGTATCGGAACCCCTAAAAATATTGTCAGGTTTTGAAGAGGAAGACCTCGAGTGATCACGCCTCTGCGAAGCTTCGTTAGCGGCCAAAGCCGATTTGATGGATTCCTAACAAACATAAGTTTAAATTGTGGCTTCAAAAATTACTTCCAAACTACATATGGCATTTCTCCTTGATTGATAGCTGCCACGAGTGACTGTAGACTTGCAAGTCTGGCTTTCATATTGTTCAGCTCTTGAACTTTGGCATCAACATCAACGAATGACGCTTCTCCATTGGTAATCTCCTCCTCTTCTTCGGAGCTACTAGAGTTTTGTTCTTCCCGATCTAAATTTTTGATATATACATTATTAAGTATTACTATTTTATAAAACTTTTAAAAATACCTCTATTTGTGGGCTGCATGGCTTGCATGTCTCGGTTCAACCTGTCAACTGTCCGTTTCCTGTCATGGATTTCCTGCAGGCGCTCTTGAATAGCCATGTACTCGGCATCTAACTCTTTATCCTGTTCGCCTAAAAGACCCACAACTTCATTGGTAGACAAATCTTGGAACTGGCCTGTCAGGCTATCGGCCCTATCGGTCCAACTATGAAGGAACTCTTGCGAATTTGGGTTCCGCAGCTGCTGTTGAGCTTTCTCTTGGAGTGAGATCAAGGCAGCCTGATGCTGAACTAAAGCTTGCAACTGAAATAATTGAAAATCAATAATCTAATAATGAATAAAACTAATTTGCTTGTTTATTACCTTTTTCTGACTTTCTTCGACTTTAAGCTTCAACTCTTGATGCTTTGCATATTGTGCAGCAGTCGGACCAGGAGATCTCTGCAAAATTATGAATAAATTTAAACAATTCCTCGAATTCTTATCAATTACCTCTTCTGACGAAGAAGGTCGTCTCCTAACTTGCTGCTGGTTGACTGGCATTTGATTTTGGTCCCGAACTTTTGGAATTGCTCCTCCAGCAACTCTTTGAGGAATAGCATTGCCGTTTGTTAGGCCCTGCAAATTATTGAATTTTTAAAGAAGAAAAAATACATAGGAAGCAAACAAAAAATTAATAATAAATATGAAGAAAAAGAAATGCTCAACTAAAACTGTACTTTTTGTGTGTATAATAACTATGAATTGAAAGGTAACAAAGAACTGTTTCATATGAACTTTGTTTGAATGGATGTAAAAAAGCATTATATTGTGTTGTGAATTCCAGCAAAATCTACAAATGGCACAGAATGCATGATTCGTTATCAAAAACTTGTAGAAAAAGCAGTGCTTAGATATTTCTGGTGTTTTTAATGAAATCAGAAAGCCCACAAAAAGCTATAAAGTTTAGCAACGCAGTTTTGATTCACACAAAATTTGCAAGAACACGCTGAATTAAAACTCGTATTAATTTCAACTCATGCAATTAAAAAATATTCTCATTAGTGTTGCAAACACTTAATTTGTGGGGTGATTCATTCATTTGAGAAACGGGCACCTCATCGTTTGACGGAAAAACGTCTAGCATCTGAACAAGTTTCCTCTCGCTATCTTGCAACTCTGATTGCATTCGACTGAGTTTGACAGCCTGAGCCAGATGTTTCTGCTTTGAATACAACATTATTTTCTATTTTTAACTTAAATAGCAGCCATAAATATAATGGTATCATGATTTTTTTTTCAATTCCAAGCAATACCTACTTTGATAAAAAAAATTTCTGCTCACCAAATCTGTGGAACCGTTCAAAGAGTCCATCAGTGCTGAAGTTTGCTTCACATAATCTCGAATTTGGTTCAGGCGGCTCAAGACTTGGTTTCTGTCAGGCTATGAAAATTAAATAAATTATTTTTTATACAGCTGCTACCGTGTTAAAAATATTACAATCCTAGAAAAATTGTTCTTTGTGGCATCAAGCAGGGCATTGGCACCACTCTCTAATCTCTGATGATGGTCGACTCCGTTCATTATTCTAGTATCAACCTCTAGATCAGGCGGTGACTGGAAATAAAAATTCGGTAAAAAATGTTTTTAGAGGGGAAACTAGAAACTATATTAAGAAATTTGTAAAATAACTAAATATTTTGAAGTTTACAATCATTAGAATTTTCAGTAAAATTAAATTATAAAAAAAAATATTAAAAAACCTGAATTTAAAAAAAAAGAAAGTTTTGAAAATTGTAAAAATAACGGTTTAAAAACTAACCAACTGATCCCTCGCACGAGCATGTTGCTGGGCCCCGAGCACGCCAGGCATCATTGGCGTGCTCTGTCTAGATCTTGGACCGCTACCTCCCTCTAAAAAAATTGAACTTATGAAAATGAAAAATTAATTTATGAATATTGTTCTCACCAGCAGCCATGAATGCAGCAGCAAATTGTTCGGCAAAGTCTGACGAGGAGGGCAGGTCCCTTGCGCTGTTTGTCTGTCTTGCCGGGTGCCAGTCGGTCGCCTGATAGCGAGAACGAACAAGAAAAAGTTAATTCTATTATTAGACCCCGTGACGCGTACCCCGACCGGAGGGACGTTAGAATTTACCTGCAAGTTGTTCACAGGGGGCCACAGAATTTGTTGCTGCTCGTCGTTGTTCTGCGCCGAGGGATTCGGTCGCTTTTTCGCCTTTGGCACGGTCCCCGTCGGCTTGGACATGGTGTCCGCCGATCAAATCAACTCTAGAGCGTTCAAATTCCTCGTTTCAAAGTTGATTAAGATTTTTTTGGCCGTCAACATCGAATTATTGTCGATGTTGTTTAATTAAATTTCTGTACATGGCACCGGAGAAGGGGCGTGTGCGAAAATAGAACTGATGCAGCCAATTAAAAACGAGTATCGGTTTTACTTCGCTCCCATTGGTCCAGTCGAGCTAAAACAGCGGGAAATCAGCGAGGCCAAGAGCGAGGCCTTCTGTTATATTTACGTTATATTTTACGTTTTAACTCTCATAGTTAAGAGAACAAGAAGCTTAATTCTATTTAAAATTTATGCAGATAAATTAACCAAGTTTTTATCATAATATCAGTAAAAATAAATAAAAATTTTGATCAATATTTTGACTATTTCTTTATTTCTTATCATTTTAATTTTATATTTATTTATTTTTATTTTTTTTTTATCAATAATTTCTTTTTTACTAAAACGCTTTTCACTTAAAAATCACAAATTTTATTTTCTTTTTTTTTATAATAATTATGCAACATTTAAAAATTTCTGGACCATGCAGTTTTACACAGCTGTTCTTCAAGAGGTTAGGCAGGAGAGTCTTGCACAGTTTTTTTGATCACTGTTCATAATTATTTTAATCAATGTACACTTTTCTCAGTGATATCACAGTTCATTGTTCCTGCTGGACAATTCTGGCTGACTGTGCCCATTTATAGCAATGGAAACATCATCCCCTGGAGAATGCAGCCTTGCAGGTTTGCTCGGATGACTCTGGGTCGTATTTCGCCTTGCTCGTGGCCCTAATCGTCTCGGCTGGCCATGACTCTTTTGGGAATTGGGCAGTCTTAGACTGCTGAACGTGGAGAGTCGTCCAGTTGGCACCGAGGCGATGCTGTGTGATGAGGCTGTCAGCTCAGGAGCAATCATGTCTGGTGGACGTAGGTGCGATTTGCTGAGGGCTGGACTCGGTTGAACGGGGCTGGATTCTTTCACCAAAATGCTTGGTGCTCGACCACCTTAATTGAGATTAGAAATTTTAATTGAAAAATTTGATAAAAATAATTTTACCCGGTCTTTTGATTGTGTGTCTTCTCTTAGCCTGCACCAGACCATAAACGACAGCAGCCAGGCTGCTTGGTGCCGTGGGTGTTCTGGCAAGCCCAGCTTTTGGCGTTTCCTCTCTGCCGAGAACAAAATAAGTCTCCATCTCTCCTTTTCCTTTCACAGGAACAATGCCTCTGTGCTGCACGCGAAATCCACATCTTTCAAGTTCCTTTAAAAAAAATTAATTTATTACAACAATAATTTAATAATAATACAATAAAACTCACAGCAGCCGTGTCTCTTGGCACTTGTACTTTTCCCTCAACCCCAGTTGAATCCATTCTTGAAGCCTCATTCACCGTATTTCCCCAAACGTCAAACACCGGTTTCCGGGCACCAATGACGCCACCCACACACGGTCCACAAGCAATGCCAACTCTGAGCTTAAAATTGTTGAAAGAATGCATGTTGAGGTCGTCAAGGCGCTGCTGCATGGCGACGGCAAAATCGACGAGGGCGCACAAAGCTTCGTGGGGTGGCCGAGGGTACTCAGGGTCTACTGGACTTTCGACGTTGTCTTTTTCTTCTGGGTTAAGGCCAGCAGCTGCCATATAAGTTGAGCCAACAGTTTTTATCTATTAAAAACATTAATTAATTAATTTTTTTTCAAAATTTTCATGATAAATTTAATCATATTTATCGATTAAATAAAATTCGGCTTCCTTGGATTTTATTTCATCAAAAAATGAGCAACTAGAGTGTAAAAAATTCCACAACAACAACTACAAGAACCTCTATAGAAAATATCAAAATTATAAAATTATAATTTTATGCTCTGACCTTTTCAACGGAGCTAAATCTGGGCTCGTCCAACAACTCGTCAAAATCGACTATGATTTCATTCAGCAGACGAATGCACTCCATGCCTTTGTTTATGTCCTCGGAATAAAAATGCGTAAAACTCGGAATTGATGCAAACATCACGGCCACGGAATCTCTCGCTTGAGAGTAGAGCTCGTCCGTCTTTCTTGCGTCTTCGTTCAGAAAGTGAGCAGCGACGTGACCTGGTAAAATGTTGGTCAGTAGAGCAGCATTTGAGCGCCTTGTGTCAGCCATCTCGTCCAGTTCTCGTCCGGCGGCCTGCGCCCACAAGAAGTCCAGGCGGGCCGTCACTTCAACAAGCCGTGCGTGGTAACTGACGGCCACCAAGAAAAGCAGCAGCAGCATAAGCATTTGCGACCACAGGGGGAGCCAACCACTGCTGGAACTGCAAAGTTTTAAAACTCACGTTGATAACAAAAAAATTTTAACTCACTTTGGCTCAAGTGGGTGGTTGAAATAAAAAACTGAGGGGTAGCCGACCATGATTGTGATTATGTAAATTGCCACCAAGATAAAAGCCAGACAGGTTTTGACCAGGTAGTGCAGTTTCAGTGTAGAGGCCAGAGCAATAAGTGTTAGCACCCATGTGAAAACTACAAACTCTGCCGAGTGGCACAACTTTGCCTCCACTACTTCTTCCTATGAACATCCAAAAGCAAAATTAATGCTAGCCCTGATGAGATGAATTGCGTGCATTTCAACTAATTGCGGACAAAAATTCACCTGTTGAGTTGCTGTCCTTTTAGGTCTAGCGTTAGAGTCGTTGCAGGTCGGAACACAATCTTTGCAGATTATGGGTGGTGGTTGCGGAGCTCCAAATAAGAAGGAGAAAAAGAATGCGCCAACGCTCGAACTCGTGGTGTTACTCTCTGTTCCATCGTGGTACCCTAAATCCTCTGTGGAGACAACCTTAAAAATAAAATTATTAAAAAAATTTTCCGCATGAAATAAAGCAATTTTTTACCAAACTGACAGTAGCAGCCGTAGCCATCAAGCAAATTATTATTGTAGCCAGGGCCGTCCTTTGATTTCTTTGCAATGCAAGAGAACTTGAGAAATCGCGCAAACTTTTTGGTAGCGAAGGAAACTCTTCAGCCATTACTAGGATAAATGCGCCCACCATAGCAAGGCTAGTGAGGCCCAAACCCAAGAATAGCGCAAAGGAGCTGAATTGAGGGGGAATTTAAAAAGTTAAAAATTGTATGATTTTTTTATATACCTGGGCAGTATTATTAGCTGGCAACAAACTATGCTGATCCAAACAATGCAGCAACTGAGCATGTTTGATTTGAACATATCTTCTCTCCTTTGGCAAAACTAAAATAGTTTAAAAATTCAAATGAATATTCGTCTCTATTAAATATAAATCACCCGACCATTGCTTCCGTGTCATGATCCCTAAACCGAAGTGTGATCCTATCAACATAGTCACTGCGCATTCTGTTGTTGGAGTCCACTTCAATACTGTGATCAATCAATTCATCAACATCCTGCGCCATCGAGCTTCCTGGCGCTGGAGTTACAACGACCTCACAACTTTCGGGGTCGTCCTCAACCTCCAAAACAACCAAACCACCCACCATAGTTGTTTCCTCGTCTAAAGGTTGAGGGGTAGATAACTATTGACAGTAAAAATTAATTAGATTAATAATAAAAAAAATATATAATTTTTTTACATTTTCAAATGGAATTTCTGGTGTCCATTCATTGTTGGCCTCCTCGTCCATGGATCCTTGCGCCGTGGTGCTAACTTTATCGTCACTCTCTGAGCTGCTTTTATGTGTTAATTTCGGCGCCCTTTCTCTGCTCAATTAAATAAGAAATGAAAACAGTTCTGGACATGCAATTTTTTGTTAACCTTGGCTCGCAGATAATTGGTGAACCAGGAGCTCTGCTGGGGCCGCTGTCATCATGCCAATTGCGGGCTCTGGTGGTTGAGAGAAGTCGCCTAGTTTTTGGCCCACTGGCTTTGATCAAAAACGACTCAACACCGTGGTCCTTTGAATAATTTCAACATCATTAAATATCTGTTTTAGCATTAAAAAAACTTATACCTTTAAGTATGCATCCCTAGTATCCCCATTGCCAGGTTCTACTTCATAAGCACCATTCAGACATGCTAAAGTGGCCTTTGAAATGTGCACCCTCCTACATATAATCAAGAGGAATTTTTAAGTATACTAAATTAAGAAATAATAGACTAACCCTGGGATGCCACCACTTTCCATGTGGTTAGCAAGGGTCACGTCATAGGACCACACATCAAATTGCCATTTTCTGAGTCCAAGCACTCCGCAAAGAACAGACCCAGAGTGAATTCCAATTCGCATGTTTAAGTCAACCTTTAAATTAAGAAGTTTTCTGTGAAAGAAAATCAAGTTACGCCTTGGGTTGTTTACGTGAGTTTTCAGTCGAACGGCTCTAATAGCGCGTATCATGTGCAGGCCCATTTCTACGCAGCATTGAGCGTGATCAGACCGCGGCTCCGGCAGCCCAGATACACAGTAGTAGCAGTCGCCCAATAATTTGATTCTCAAACATTTGCACTCCTAGTGATCAACGTTAATTCATCAATTAGGGCAGCATCTCGGGATTTGATTTCCAATTAGTGGGCCACAAATATTTGCAATTGACTATTAACTTCTTTTAATACTGAAATAGGGGGTTGCTGGGAACGAAAATTTAATTGAAACTCACTTTGAACTGAATAAGGGTGCGTTAATTCCCATTAAATACTTAAATTAAAAATCATATATATGAGCAATTGTATTGGTATATATTTTAATTAAATTTGTGACAAAATTGATATAAGTAATGGAGAATAAATAAATGGAGAAACAAGGATATGAGAAATCTTACCGAAGCTAATTTGTCAAACCTGGCGAACAAGTCGTTGAGCACTCTGACTAGCTCCTGCGCGCTGCACTGAGTGGCCAGGGCTGGGGAAATATAATTTTTTTAAGCCAGGGTTCCGCAGGCACGTAGGATGTGTTTAATTTACCTGTGAAACCCTTGATGTCGGCGAAGAGGATGCTTACGTTCTCGTAGCGGTGAATATAAATCTTGTGGAACTGACTAGGGGTGAAGGCGCCGTTGTCATTTTCCTCACGTGCGATGTCCCTTATCATCTCTCTGGCCACAAAGTCTGGAAGCACTGCAACCAGACCGGCGCCACTGATTTTATTATGCATTTCAAAGGTGCACCCCTCTGCCTCCACCAGAATTCAATTTATTTTTTCTGCCTGCTGGCTGCGCGTATCTTTGCAGCTGTTTTCCGGAACGACCCAATAAAAAGAAAATATGGCCTGACAGGCGACTAATTTTCCTCACTCTAGTCTCAAATTGAATTTTATTTCGTGCTTGGTTATTTATAAATTATATTCAAAGCATACATAATTGAGGTCTCTGAGCATAAATTAATTTCCTGAGTAAAAAACATCTGTTGTTGAATAAAGATTACCTGACAAGAGAAGCTTCTCCTGGCGCTCTGTCTCTCGCTGCGTTTTAATTCTGGCCTCCAGCGAACGATGCGTCTCTAAAAAGGCTTTCCTTTGGCCTCGATCTGTCAGGAACTTTGTGTAGAAGCCGGCTGCATTTACCCCGGCATAGAGGGCCACGGTTGCTAATACTCGCTTCATTACACATCCCCTTTCCTGTCACACCCAGAACACAAGACAAACGCAATTTAGGTTCACTCGCACATCATCCGTAAATATAATAACAAAGCTCTAGTTGTGCTACACTTATCTCGCTTTTTTACTGTAATCTACTAATTTTGCGAAATGAAATTTCTAATTTTTTGAGTTGAACCCTAATTTTTACTTTTGTTTATCAATTTATATAAAATAATCATTTCTAAAATTGACAAAAATGGTTTTTTCTCTAGTTAAAAATATTTTGTAGGATTAAATTGACAATTGAGCTTAAAAGAATAAAAATTCAACAGAACGTTTAGTAAACAATCAACTTATTGGCATACCATTGACGTTTGCTCAGGCAGGATGCTTATAATGATGTGGACGACTGCTGTAATGAGGGCGGCACAAACGCTCCAACGCAAGGGCAAGGGCAGCATGGCGTAGGTCACAAATTCAATGAACAGCACATACCATACAAGTTCGGCAGAAGGCGCAAATCCCAAGCCTTGCCCAAGAAACCCTGGAAATTAGCAAACTTTCACAAATCTTGGAAATCTTAAAAAATATGAACGTAATTAAAGTGGATGAAGTTCCAAAAGCGGTGGGCGGTGTTAAAGGCAAATAAAAAGAAAAATTGCTCGCTCCCTCACTCGCCCTTTGGAAACAATTTTCCAGGAGCGGCTTACTTCTGAGAAGGGTTGAAAATGACTGTGACAGAAAAGAGAGACGAAAAAGAAAAAAAGTTCACATAAGAGAGGGGTACCTTGTGCGTTGAGCAATAACCAAGTGCCGACGGCGCCCCACTGCAGGTAGTGGTTGGCGAAGAGACGCCAGCCGCCCAGAATGCACAGACCGATGTTGGCCGCCATCGAAATCGTGGTCCACGCAATAGCTGTCGGCTGTGAGAAAAGAGAATCCACTTTAGGAAAAACAAACCACTACTTGTAACAAATCCAAACAAAATGAAAAGAAAATCATTCTGTTCCATATTATTATATTTTTAAATTAAAAAGGAACGGTTTTTTGAATTGAAATGAACTTTCATGAAAAATTTGGTACGTTTACAGTAATTAATAATTATGTTATAATTTCTACTATTTAATGCAAGTTTACCATTAAATAATTAAATTAAGAATCACAAAAATAGTTGCAATTTATTAGATAAAACAAAAAATAAAAATTATTGTCTATAAATTGAACATAAAAATCAAAATTCATATAAAAATAAATTCCATACCGGTATTCTCCCCTCCCTTTCTGAAAGAAGGGCGGCGAGCAGAAGGGCCAGTTTAACAGCCAGGTCTACGCAGTTGACGATCATGAGTGCCTTCTGCCGTTGGCGGTGCGAGTATCTCTGGTAGGCAAGCTCCAGGGGCCTCGAACAAAAGCTGTTGGTGAGCGACGGCAAGTAAATGCCACGCCACAAGGCGCCCCTCTTGAATACCCCGTGGGATCTTTTCTGCAATCACAAGGATTCGTACCGAATTTAGCGTCACCTGAGCGAACACATTTTCCAATAATCTGGATCCAGTGACTTTCCAGACAAAGTCCACAGTGACAGCGCCTGTGTCACTCGATTCCCTGCTGGGAATCGGAAGGCGACGCAGACCGAGCGCTAATCCGCTTTAGAAGACGCGAGTGGATTGTGTCTGGAGGTCGTGCTACGCGTGGAAATTGCAAATTTTCTCTACAGTCACGCACACAGCTGCAGAGCACGAAAGCTTATCCCCATTGTAATTTAAAATTTTATTAATGCAGCTCGTGTTAAATCTTTGTATCGTATCAATCCACAACATTAATTTAATTTTGATTAATATTTACAATGAAATCGTTTAATTTTTTATATATGATATTTATCACGCTGCTATAGATGTATAAAAAGATAAAAAATAAAGTAAAAGATGGAGGAAAAAGCAGCACGTGTATTGCAAAAGAAAAAAAAATTCTGTACGTGTAATAGTCTACCTGTGCAATCTCCTCGTCATCATTTTGCGCCGGTGAAAGAGGTTCGCCGGACGTCGGGGTGGCCATTCTTCAGACCAGCGGCGTTTTCAGGTCACTTGACTGCGCTCGAATCCTCAGCCGACCCCATCCATCTCTGCAACACAATATCACACACATACGTCAGACGCCGCCTGCGACTTTGGACTTATGCAGCCAGCGGGGCAGGCTTGCCCGACCGGTTGCATTTTCCCCTGCTGGCGTTAAATTCAGCAGCGTGCTCCCGTGCTTTATTTAACTTGCAAAACCAGAGTTACGTCGGTAGCAAACAAAATCACGTGCATAAATTTTAAAGGGAAAGAAAAATCTAGAAGTTTTCAACCAAAACATTTGCTCTGCAAACACTGCAAATTGATTAGCCATGGGTTCGGCAGTGTTGTCAATGCAAATAAGTGGTGCCACCGTGAAAGGGGCTTTATCTTAATGCACATTTTGTCAATTCACCCCTGGCTAAAGTTGCTAAGCAACCGGCTTTTTATCAATGGCAATTAGTGCAATCAAATTTGCATGAATCAACGCTACTGATTTGCAGATTTGTTGAAATGGCCACTCGACCAAAATGAGAAGTAATTCTGTGAGATTTTGATTACATTTTGAACGCAAGCAGAGAATAAAAAAAATGAAATGTGATTTTTATGCCGTGTAATAAATGAGGCAGCAAATGAGAGTTCAACAAGATTTCTGATATTCGAAGCTTGTGTGCAGCTAATTGCAAGTTGGAGTCAATAATTCAGTTAATCAGAGCCGCTTCTGCCGTCAGAATGGCCGGCAGGTTCTTCTCATTAATTAGGAATCAGGGCGAGCAGCGACCTCGTGGGGCTATAATCCAATCACTCGACTGCTGCTCCTCGCCGCTGCGGAAATTCAATTTGTCTAATTGCAGTCGTTATGCAACGCATGCGTGAATGAATCACCCGCTGACCGACCGACCGACCCACCCACATCCCTCTCTGCTTAATGCACAATGGGATGATTACACTTAATTAGCAGCGCACAAGTCTTCTTCGCTCGTTTCATGCAACGATGATTTGCCCTGAAGTGCCGAGAGTAATTTGAGTCTGTCGAGGTTGCTTCTACGTGAGACCAAAGGGCGAAACAAACTTCTCCGCGTGGATAAGGCCTGGCTCCTCGTTCATATTAATCGGTACACTTTGTGAAATTCGGCCTATTAAGGACACTCTCAAGAAATAAGCATCAAGCTAATAGTGCACACAATTTTAATCTATTCTTAAACCCGGTGCCTAATTTGGAGGTTCATATACTGAATAACATTTAATTAAAAATTTCATAAGTTTGACATGCTAAGTTGGTAAAATTTAAAAAATAATTTGTTCGTTGTAAATTAAAATAATTGGAAAGAAAAAGTTTGCTTTGTATTATTTAATGTGATGGAACTGAAAAAAATCTGCTAGCTATAAATATTAATTTATTATTGCTGTATTTTTCCACTTTGTTTACATTGAATTGTTGAAAACAATTTATTAAAAAAACGAATTGTTCGACAGAACAGCACCACCACAACCAAAAATTTTTCTAAAACTTCCGATACAAAAAGACTCCATCCGCTGCAAATAATTATTAAATAATAATAAGTAATTATTAATTTTTATTGTAGTTTATTGTAGTAGAATGTTTTGCAGTGATTGCTTTTGAGCTTTTATGTAAAATAAAAGAATGGCAAAAATGTGAGCGCGTGACTTATTTTTATTTTTTTACTTCAAAAAGTGATTAAGTTGTTGCAGAAAATTTTTATTCTTAAATATGACTAAAAAATCATTTAGAGGGGTTCGCTGTTCTGCTAAGTCTCAAAATGGCGTCACATAAAAATTGGTGGCCTACATAATATGCATGATTTTTATGTAATATAAATTTATCTTTTAATCTTGTAGTTTATACCAGTTTACACATCAAAAATAGACGATGGAAAATTCAAGCTCAACTTACCGTTGAAAAAAAAATCAATTACAATTTATTTAATTATAACTCAGCAAGCCAATGTAATCTTTCCAGTGCCTCACGGCTACGGCAATTAGTGCGTTAAATTGAGCCTAAAAGTTTTACAAAAGTTTTAGGACCCCTTGAAGGTTACCCGATACCATGCAACCCATACAAGGAAATTTTCCAACTGTTCCAAACGAGAGTGCCACACACAAAGACTCTACTAAAATTTCCTCGGGCACGATCATCGCCTCTTTGAATTTGCTCACATATAACTTCCACAAAATCCAAGAGAGTTGTTCTCTAAAAGTTCGTTTCCATTCCATCAAACTTGTGTACATGCGTTTCCGATGAGTCGTGGCAAGCCACGAATGAAGAAACTTTGTAACCAAAAACTTGCACAATAGCCGTTGTAGCTGTCGGGCAATTTTATAGTTTACACTCGCCAGCCCTTTTTCTAGCCGGCTGTGCTGAATAAATAAAACCGCCGCAGCGGCCGGCCAAGATCTATCATTCACTCTGTTGAGCCCTTCTCAAGCGAGCGCGAATTAACAATTCAGGCCTAATAAAAGCAGCACCTGCACATTATTCATCTCATTCCCCTCGACACCCATTTTCTTTGGCCAAAGGGTTCGTCGCCGATTCTTCTTGTGATGTGGCTTTTTTGACACGGGGCGGGTGATAATTATTTACACTTTATACACAGGCTGCGGGCGCGGGACCTCATTAGGCGGCGTTAAATGAGGCGCGAGGGATTCGCACAACCAAGCCCTAATTGACGTGGCTGAATAATGCGCAGCAATCATCAAAAGCGAAACGCAACACTCGACGAGAAACCCCATAAATCCAGCGTTAAGCAAGGAGGCGGCGCAAACAAGCAATCGGAGGAAACGAGAGAGAATCCATGTCTTTCTCCTTCTCGTTTTTTATTTTCCTTTTACCCTCTTCTCATGAATTATTGAAATAAATGAGCCGCCAACTGCATACAAGCCGCAAACAAAGAAAGGCAAATCACGCCTCTCGACAGCAGCAGTTGAGAAAAAAAAAAGATAGAATATCTGCTGGCGCCCTGACGGTCTGGAAAAATGGAGCAAACCAAGCGGAAATAAAGCTGTGCGAGGTGCTCCTGTTTGCAGATTAAATATTAACTTGGAGAAAAGTGCTGGGGCTGCTCCTGAAGGAATGCCGAACGATGAATTATTTCCTTCACCTAGATGGAAAATTCTCAACCATCAATTACTTTCCTTCTGCTTGACTCGGGAATTGCGAGAGCCTCAGAATCCAAAAATACTCCAGGCACGTAGTTTCTAGATTTAGATTGCATTCAATGGTTGGATTTGTTTTCTCGCTTTATCATCTAACGACTCAATTTGCTTGGGGCAAGTCAAATTAAATGCATTTATTTTTTTTTATGCAGAGGAAAGGATTTTAACACCTAATTTAATTTGCAACTAATTGTACAGCTGGAGGGAAAATTTGTTTCAAGATGCATTTAACAATTAAGGTTTTCTACTTAAAAAATTTTAGCTTGCAAATAATATAAAAATACAACTTTTCATGGAAAACTAAATAACTCTTATGTAATATCAGTGGTAAATATAATTATGTTGAAACTTTAAAAAATTATCAAACTTTTATTTGACAAATTACGTATAAACCTTAAATTATTTAAAATTTTAAGTTTTGGATGCTGAATTTTATAAAATTAATTGCCAAGTTAACTCTATATTATTTGCAATAATTATTTTATTGAATTTTAATGTATAATGTTATATCTATTCAAATAAGTTTTCCAACAAGCTAAACTAACAATTTTTTCACGCTTGCCTTATTTTTAAACTCTCGGCCACTCGAGCTCAGCAGTGGACGCACAGAAGTGTTTTGCATAAAGCACTAATAATGCGCGATGATGAGTGAAAACTACGCGGCGCAATTCACACGAGAGCCCTGAATAATTATGCAAAGCAGCCTCGGCGGTAGCATACCGCAAATAGCAGCACGGCTTTGGTGTGTCTTAATTAAAACCGTGCCACACCTAAATTGGAACGCACCCGGGCGATGTTATCATTCCTCACGTGGCCACATTTTAACTCAAGATATTGCAAGCCGGGCAGATAAATTATCTGCAGGTCGCTGCAATTAGTTAGCGTGCGTGCGAGTGACGTCCAGCGGACCCCCTGCATATATTAGCCCGGCTTAGTGTTAAATGGGCCACAAAAAGCCCCAGGCTTCTTTTATGAAAATGTATTAAAAGTCAATTATGAGTTGAAAAGTTAAGCCGAATTATTAAATGCATGGAAAATTTTGCTCAAAGTGAAAACGGTAGCAGAGAAGAGAACTTAGGGACTTTATTATTTACAGCCAGCAGCATGAAACGCGGCTTCAAACTTGGGCGAGAGAGCCATTTTCGAAGACCAAATCAAGAGAAATAACTCGAGGCGAGAAAACTTTTCACTCACTCGAGACGGCGTTGCCTTAATTTATTGACTTTGCCGACGTCCCCTTTGTTCGCAACGGATGCCTCTGTCAGGCCAAGGCGGCGTGAAATGTTCGAAAGGCTCATTGAGCTTGAAATTAAACTCTTGGAAAAAGCAAAGCGAGTCCATTCATTAATTTGTCTTTGACAGAACACTTCTTCCAGGCAATTTGAAAATTAAAAACTGCGGAACAGAACTCTTTTTTTCCCTGTCGGGCTGGCAAACGTCAGTTCGTTTAACACGGCGGCGAGAACGAGATTGTGGCTTTCGGTGTGTGGCGATTGGTCTCACCCTTAATTCAAATTGAGTCGCCCTTGGCGCGAAATCAATTTGACCGAACACAATGCAGGCGCTAATCTGGTTATCCCCAACCGCTGACCGACCGTCAAGTCGAGAGCAATTCTCCAGCCGCACCCTGGGGACAGACCTTCAGTGCCAATAACCATGCACTCAGAACCCCTGCAATCATCCTAATCAACAGCCCTCCAGCCCCTCGAGCTACTTCCGAAATCGTTCGTTGCTGCGTCAAGAGCACACACGTGTATCGAAATTGCGGCTTTTTGTTTCAATTCGTGGAAGTTTTATCTCAAAAGCCCGTTTTGTAATAAACTGTTGCCTAGAATTCAAAAACGCTCAGCGAACTTGGTAGACGAGGGTGTAAACAAGAGATGGCCCTTGTTGC